TTTCGTTTGTTTTCATGACAGCTGCACAATGGCTTGACTACTGGGATTTCCTGGCAGGGGTTTTAGTTTTACATATCTACTGAAGGCAAGCTTAATCCAGCTTTTTCTACATATAATGGTCCCTGGTGTCGGGCTTATTGCACTAACGCTGACAAGCATCCAGGAATGGATCTGGCAGGTAGACTGCCTTTGTGCCAGCATGCCTGGTGACCTTGTAGTTAGAAACGTGTGGTGAATCTCTAGTTATACCCCTATTTTAGTCTCGTTGACATGTTTTTCTTTGTTGAAGGTGTATTGAAAACGATAGGTGGCCCAGGAGTTGATACATTCCCTGATAAGGGCACAGCAGTTACCAAGTACAGCCCCTATCGAATATACATGTATAACTAAAGTGTATTGTGGTGAGCGAGCAACTGCTATACGTATAGCATGTGCAACATGGCAGGTTTACAAGCCACATTCTGAAGTATTGAAAACAAAGACGAGGTGACAGCATTGACCATGTAGGTATCCAAACTAATTTCATTAATATTATTGACTGAAAGTGGGGTACAAGTCAGTTTTACACTTCCTCAGTGTGTCTGTCAATGTCCCTACAGTTCTGGTTGTTTTCGCCTTGCCTTGTGTGGGTGGAACTAGTGCATGTGAGACCTTCTCATCCTCCAAAGTAATCAGTCACAACCACTTATTAATACCTCATGGACACAGTGTCAACAGTCTTTGGGCTTAGAATTAACAAAACAAACTTTGAACAAAACATTCCTGATCTGTGTATATGAAGGAAATAACAAGGTTGCATCTTCCTTCCACAGAAATGATGCCAGGATTTTATAGGTTTTCTACCAACCAAATTTTATGCTTTAACATGTGACATGTAATTATTGTAACAGACTTATCAACCAAAAACAAGGGAGATTGTATAACTCTCATTCCTTCTAAAAACGTCCTGACCATCTGAGATTTGTCTGGAAGGTCAAGCAGGATGGCTACATTTTCCAACATTTTATAACCCAAGTACATGTAGGTCCATATAATATCTGAAAAGAAGTGGTTATTTGTTTTTATTTCATAAAAAGTGATATTTGTGGAATATTGTTATGTGATATTTACTTTATTAGCCATAATGAGTCCTTGACCAAATGTCTCCATCTGCAGCCAGCGACTAGAACTAGGTTCCCATACATGGAATTGTACCCACCACCTGGTGGCACTGAGGGGCAACTGATTGTAACTCAAGAAATTATATTTGTGGTGGAGCTTTCTTCAAGGATTCATGTGCCATAGTACAGACATGTCTTTCTTCTCATTGCTCAATTCTACATTTCCAGTTACGTACTAGTAATTGTTTTTGATGACAGATTTTATAAAGAACAACTTGAAACAGTCTGATAGTTTGCTTTCTCATTTCTGTGCTCATTTTGCATAAATTTAAGGCAGTCTGCTGTTTATTATTGCATCCTGTGAAACCACACAAAGTAAGAAACTGTATAGATATACTAATATGTTGAGTTTCATCAGGCATGTGTTATTGTTAGATCAACCTGTATTTTAGGGACCAAAACCATTGTTGACATTTTTTCTGCAATAAAGCCTTTAAAATTAAGAATTTGTTTTATCTTATTTTGCGTTCCACCTGACTGAAAGATCACAGCTTACCTGGCATTGGAACAACATCCCAGGGCTCTTTGCCATCATCTGGTGTTGCACCTGAATCAACGCAAATGGTGGTCACACCCGATGTTAACATTGTTACACCACCCCTGTTTTAAGGCGTGTCACTCTGTCTCCTGTTACCAGGTAGGCGTGTCACTCTGTCTCCTGTTACCAGGTAGGCGTGTCACTAGGTCTCCTGTTACCAGGTAGGCGTGTCACTCTGTCTCCTGTTACCAGGTAGGCGTGTCACTAGGTCTCCTGTTACCAGGTAGGCGTGTCACTCTGTCTCCTGTTACCAGGTAGGCATGTCACTCTGTCTCCTGTTACCAGGTAGGCATGTCACTCGGTCTCCTGTTACCAGAAAGGCGTGTCACTCGGTCTCCTGTTACCAGGTAGGCGTGTCACTCGGTCTCCTGTTACCAGGTAGGCGTGTCACTTGGTCTCCTGTTACCAGGTAGGCGTGTCACTTGGTCTCCTGTTACCAGGTATGGGTTTTGTCAAGGAATTTGTTACAATAAGACATTGATCAGAGTAATGGCCAAATATTCTGATGTTTTCAATAACACGTACACCATATTTTGACAGTTAGTGTTCTGATATAAATATAATTTCAAGATCACAATAATACGGACTCCAAAACATAAAGCCGATTTCAGATTTAAAATTGCTAATTTAAAGTCTCAATCAAATAGTTTGTCAGTTGCTGAAGTCAGCATATTCCATTAATAATAATGAAAATATTATAACTTTGCTTCACATTTTGTGGTGTAAATGTTACGCCTTTATTTCTCTCTTCAAACGATGTTGCAGTCATATTAAAACTGGCGTTTTGTCAATGTGGCTATTTCTCTAAGAAATGGACTGTTAAAAATTCCTAGGTATAAGGGCTGGAGACCCTAAATGCAATAGATATCTATTACATTGACTTGACCTCTTGCCAAAGAAAATGAAGTAAGCGTTGAAATGAACCAATCTAGAGAAATAGTATCATTCTTACGAAACTTCTACCTCTATTACACATCTGCCATAAATCCTGTATTTTGGCTTCAATCACACTAACTAAATTTTCAGATTTTCATCAGACCTCCTCTTGACTGTCAATTACACGCAACTTGTTGTCGCCATGTAGTCTCGGTACTACCCAAGTCATGACGTCATAATGGCGGCAACCTCACTTTTTTCCTGTGTGTGCTAGAGTCAACACCTATTATAATAGTAGTAACGATCTAGCACTTGGTAGCAAGTCACATTAATCTAAGATTATTCAAATAATTTTCTGTAAATAACGGACATATAAGTATACCTTAATTTTGCTGCTGGAGTAATAAGAGCACACACGTAAGTATAGCTTGGTGCTCTTTGTGAGGTCAACAAGCAGTCTCCCTCTACCCCCGGGTGTAAGAAGTGTGGCCGGTTCATGGTCATGGGAGATCCTCATGAAATCTGCACAAAGTGCAGAGGCACTCCTGTAATAAGGATAAAAGATGTGAGAAGTGTGTCAACATATCTGATATTATCTTCTCCAAGATGGCCGAAGCTACGACCAAGGCCAAGAGACGTGAGGCCGCTAAGCAGAAGGTGGAAAACATCTCAGCTGAGAAAACAGCTTCCACCCCAGCATCTCTCTCTCCAGATATCCCATCATCTCCTGTACTCTCTGTGAGTCTTATTCATCAACTATTCCAGCAACAACCGGATTACAGCGCCAGTCATCAAGTTTGCTAACATTCAGCCAGTTCGAATCCATGGTTACCTGGACGATTTCCTAGCGGCAGACGAAGAGAAGCTCAACTACATCAGAACATGATATCCTTGGTCCAACTTATAACCCAACTAGGCTTCCCAGTCAATCCCTCCAAGTCCGAGACTACTCCATGTCAAGACATATACATCGGAGCAAGATTTCAGCCAGACAGGGTATATCTATGCCCACCAGAGTATCGATTCAACAAGACTATCAAGATGATTCAATCACTTTCACATCAACCCAGCAAGTTGCTGAGGTGATGGATGTCTCTTCCAGGCAACATAACGTTTCTACAGGATATGACCTTCAGAGGAAGGCTGATGCTAAGTCCTCTACAGACATGGATCAACTCTATACAATCTCACGGCCTAGAGTTCCAGACTCAGTTACCTCCCAGATTACTACGAGACCTCCATTGGTGGAATCACAGAGAGGATGTGATGATGGCAACCCTTTGACTTACCCGACGCCCGAACACTATCTATTTACAGACGCATCAGATTTGGGATGGGGAGCCCATATGGTCAATCTCACAGTACAGGGATCTTGGAACACAGAAGAGAAGAACCTTCATATCAACTGCAGGGAAATGAAGGCCATCTATTTCGCCATTCTGGAATGGAAGATACATCTTTATCAATCATCCATTCTCATAGCCACTCACAACACCACAGTAGTGGCCTATATTCAGAAGCAGGGAGGAACCAGCTCCCTGATGACGGAGACTACACAATTGTTTGCCTTGGCAGACTAGTTCAATTGCTGGATGGAAGCGAGACATATACCCGGGAAACTGAACATACTGTCCGACAGCCTTTCTCGCCAGTGGCAACAGAATGAACCTTAGATCCACAGATCTTCACCTGGATAACCAAGTTATGGGACACACCACACCTGGATCTATTTGCCACATGCAAGAACAACCAACCTTCAGTTCATGTCAGTCCGGTTCCCGACCCAAGAGCTCACCAGATCCCCACACCATTGATGGATTGGACGAATCTATTTGCGTATGCATTCCCACCATGGTCTCTCCTACACAAAGTCATCCACAAGGTGGAGGAGATGGATTGCGTAATAATTCTGATAGCTCCAAAATGGCCCAGACTACGAAGACTACTAATGGAGGAACTATCCAGTTACCTCTTCGTCAAGATCTGCTAAGAAAACTCAAGTCCATCATTTTCCACGTCAATCTACCCAGCCTACATCAAACTGCTTGGAAGGACTCCTCACTTTGATGCTATGTAGGTGAAACAAGTCAGTTTCAGTAGTACTCCTCGCTTTGTTTGGGACTGTATGGTTGCTATTGTAGGTGAAACAAGTCACTTTCAGTACTACTCCTCGCTTTGTTTGGGACTGTATGGATGCTATTGTATGGATGCTATTGTAGGTGAAAAAAAGTCAGTTTTAGTACTACTCCTTGCTTTGTTTGGGACTGTATGGATGCTATTGAAGGTGAAACAAGTCACTTTCAGTACTACCCCTCACTTTGATTGGGACTGTATGGATGCTATTGTAGGTGAAACAAGTCAGTTTCAGTACTACTCCTCACTTTGATTGGGACTGTATGGATGCTATTGTAGGTGAAACAAGTCAGTTTCAGTATTTATCAGATCTTTATTCAGGTTCACAAAAGCATAAAATTGATTCAACAACATATATTACAAAAGAAAGTCTTATATGTGGCCACATTGTATGTACATGCGTCCAAAGTAGTTGCTCCACCAAGATGTAAGTCTTTAACTGAACTTCAACTGATATTTAATAAATGTGTTCACATATCCTTTAAGAAAATAAGTCCACACAATATTTCTGGTCTTTGTACTTTTTTTAACATGGAAATATCAAATTTCTATACTGATTTTTTTTTCTATGCAAGCAGTGTTAGCAAATACTAGTACAAACAGGTGTAGAAACTCTAGTAAAGAATTATTGTGTGTGGTAAGTTAGTAATACAATGTATTGTATGCTACACTCTGATTATTATAGAACATACAGTAAAATCAATATTGGTTACATTCAAAGTCATATACTAAAGCATGGGAAACATTTTATCTCAAGTATATCAAGATAATCAAGATTACTTTTTAAAGGCTGCACTATGTCTAAAGACAGAAACTATAACTGCAGGTAGTTCTCAAAAACAACAACTAATGGGGTAAAAAACTAGATGTGATTGCAAAACAAACATTTTTAGTAAAGAATGATTGTAATGCTCGTCAAACTGTTATGTGTCAACGATACTTCTTGATGAAATGCTAGAAACATTACTCCAATATACAATCAGTTATTTGTGGATGGATTTCACTTAAATATGGTAGCTCAAAAATCATATAAAACATATTTTTCTAAATATCACAAAGTCCAGATCCTTTCTGAATACATAGGAATGATTATACATAGTCAGATTGAAAGTTTGAGTGGATTCAACAACATGCTGCATATCGTAACAAAAAACATTGTCATGATGTACTATAGGGTGCACAGAGTATTTATAAGGGGAAAACTATTCACTGTTGGAACAGAAAAAATATATCATCCAAGATAGTTAGAAAAACAAACTCTAGATATGAAACCTTATTTGAAGAGGCACACACTGATCAGCATTATGCAATCAAATGTATATAAAAGACATGTAATGTGTACATTATCATCCGCAAACGTTTTCAACCATTTCACAATAGTTGAACTCAGAAAAGTCAAAATAAACAGTTAACATATTTGGGATGTTTTTTCTCTTCAAATCTGTCCTATTAAGACATCCCCAAAATTAAGTAGGATTCTATATCACAATTTGGTCAAACTGTTTGATGTCAACAATATAAAAAACCCAGAATGGCCCCATCTTGAAAGTGAGTTAACTCAAAGTCGGACTTTGATGAAGTCCTCATCTTGCTTGTAGGACCGATTGTCTGTCCCTGGGTACACCATTCCATAAGTGGCATTGGTGACAGCTGGAGCTTGGTGGTCTTGTTTCTGGAAAAGCAGAAGCATTAGGAGGTGTAAAACTACAACAGAAGATGAGGACATGTCTGTTTTTGAGGTAGTCGCTCTTACAAACCTCCAAATGTATATCTAATAAAACAAGCACCCAGATTCCATTGTCATTCCCTCCTCAGCTATAGCCTGCATTATAGATTTGTTTGTTTGGTGTTTAACGCTGCACTCAGCAATATTCCATCTACATGATGGTGGTCTGTAAATAATCGAGTCTGGACCAGACAATCCAGTGATTGACATATTGAGCATCGATCCAAGCAATTAGGATACGATGATATACATCAGGTTAATCAGCGAGGTTGACCACCCGATTCTGTTAGCCTCCTCTTACGACAAGCATAGTCGTCTCTTACAGAAAGCATGGATTGCTGAAGATCTCTTCTCTATCTGGATCTTCACAGAGGTATCTGCAATTGGGAGACTTGATGGTTGCTTAATACTCAAGGTTTCTTTTATTAAATGCATATTTCTTTTTTGGGGACTATATGTTAGTGTATTGATGAGGTTGAGAAGAGAGTTGAGGTCATTGCATGATACCACATGCACAATACCTATTAACACTAATGTCATGTAACTACTTTCCATGTAAAATCGACCGAACTATTTCAAGATCATAAGTTCAAAAACAGCATATTTTAGTTGCCCTTCCTCTACAAGTTGATTTACTGGATTGTCTGTTACCTGTTGTCAGACACTACAGGATTGTCTGTTACTATTCAGACACTACAGGGTTGCCTGCTACCTGTTGTCAGACACTACAGGGCTGTCTGTTTCTTGTTGTCTGACACTACAGGATTGTCTGCTACCTGTTGTCAGACACTACAGGGCTGTCTGTTTCTTGTTGTCAGACACTACAGGATTGTCTTATATCTGTTGTCAGACACTACAGGGTTGCCTGTAACCTGTTGTCAGACACTACAGGGTTGCCTGTTTCTTGTTGTCAGACACTACAGGATTGTCTTATATCTGTTGTCAGACACTACAGGATTGTCTGCTACCTGTTGTCAGACACTACAGGGCTGTCTGTTTCTTGTTGTCAGACACTACAGGATTGTCTTATATCTGTTGTCAGACACTACAGGGTTGCCTGTAACCTGTTGTCAGACACTACAGGGTTGCCTGTAACCTGTTGTCAGGCACTACAGGGCTGTCTGTTTCTTGTTGTCAGACACTTCATGGTTGCCTGTTACCTGTTGTCAGACACTACAGGGTTGTCTGTTACCTGTTGTCATATACTACAGGGTTGTCTGTTACCTGTTGTCATATACTACAGGGTTGCCTGTTACCTGTTGTCAGACAAGACACTACTTGGATTGTCTGTTACCTGTTGTCAGACACTACTGGGTTGCCTGTTACCTGTTGTCAGACACTACAGGATTGTCTTATATCTGTTGTCAGACACTACAGGGTTGCCTGTTACCTGTTGTCAGACACTACAGGGCTGTCTGTTTCTTGTTGTCAGACACTACATGGTTGCCTGTTACCTGTTGTCATAAACTACAGGGTTGCCTGTTACCTGTTGTCAGACAAGACACTACTTGGATTGTCTGTTACCTGTTGTCAGATGCTACAGGGCTGTCTGTTACCTGTTGCCATATACTACAGGATTGTGTGTTACCTGTTGTCATATACTACTGCAGACCTATGGAACATACCTTCTCTATGCTGTATTCACTTGAGCCGCTCTGGGAACCCGTCTCTGCTTTGTTCCGACGCTGACAACAGCAGAACTGTAACACACAGTTACATATTGTATCATGCAGCACAGTAACACACAGTCACATATTGTATCACGCAGCACAGTAACACACAGTTACATATTGTATCATGCAGCACAGTAACATATTGTATCACACAGCACAGTGAAACACAGTCACATATTGTATCATGCAGCACAGTACACAGTCACATATTGTATCATGCAGCACAGTAACATATTGTATCACACAGCACAGTACACAGTCACATATTGTATCATGCAGCACAACACATAGTCACATATTGTATCACGCAGCAAAGTAGAGTCACATATTGTATCACGCAGCACAGTAGAGTCACATATTGCATCATGCAGCACAGTAACATATTGTATCACACAGCACAGTGAAACACAGTCACATATTGTATCACGCAGCACAGTAACACACAGTCAAATATTGTATCACGCAGCACAGTAACACACAGTCACATATTGTATCACACAGCAAAGTAGAGTCACATATTGTATCATGCAGCACAGTAACACACAATCACATATTGTATCATGCAGCACAGTAGAGTCACATATTGCATCATGCAGCACAGTAACATATTGTATCATGCAGCACAGTAACATATTGTATCACACAGCACAGTACACAGTCACTTATTGTATCATGCAGCACAGTCACACACAGTCATATATTGTATCACGCAGCACAGTAACACACAGTCACATATTGTATCATGCAGCACAAAAACAGTCACATACTGTATCACACAGCACACTACAACAGACACATATTGTATCCTGCAGCACAGTCACATATTGTATCCTGCAGCACAGTAACACGGTCACATTTTGTATCACACAGCACAGTAACACAGTCACATATTGTATAATACAGCACAGTGACACACTGTCACACATTGTATCCTGCAACACAGTAACACACAGTCACATATTGTATGACACAGCGCAGTAACACAGTCACATATTGTATCACACAGCATAGTAACACAGTTACATATTGTATCACGCAGCACAGTAACACAAAGTCACATATTGTAACACACATCACTGTAACACAGTCACATATTGTATCATACATCACAGTTACACACAGACACATATTTTATCACACATAACTGTAAAACAGTCACACATTGTATCATGCAGCACAGTAACACACAGACATATTTTATCACACAGCACAGTAACAGACACATATTTTATCACACAGCACAGTAACACAGTCACACATTGTATCCTGCAGCACAGTCACATATTGTATCCAGCAGCAAAGTAACATACAGGTACATTGTATCACGCAGCACAGTTACACACAGTCAAATATTGCATCACACATCACAGAAACATACAGTCACATACTGTATCAGGAGTGTGTTGGGTTTAACGCAGCTTTTAACAGTATTCCAGTTATATCGCTTAATGTTGGAGGAAAGCCAGGTCTCAGACGTTTACCACTTTGTTGAAACCCAAGAACACGGGTATGGTGCTGACAAACCTAGAAACATAATCGGGGAGAACCAGGATTCAAACTCACAATCATAGGTTTCTGGCATGCCCAAGGGACACAACTCTGCACAACGAATCACAGTGTCTAAGATGGCAGGGCCACCCGTGTCCCTGTATCTAGCAGCACAGTAATACCATCACATATTGTATCACACAGCACAGTAACATACACCTAGATAGGTCTTCAAACTATCTGTTGATGCTGTATGTATGCTACTTACATCTACAAGCATATATTAACACTGTGTATGCTACGTACACAGACCAGCACATGGTGACACTGTATGCTACTTACATAGACCAGCACATGGTGACACTGTATGCTACTTACATAGACCAGCACATGGTGACACTGTATGCTACTTACATAGACCAGCACATGGTGACACTGTATGCTACTTACATAGACCAGCACATGGTGACACTGTATGCTACTTACATAGACAAGCACATGGTGACACTGTAGGCTACTTACATAGACCAGCACATGGTGACACTGTAGGCTACTTACATAGACCAACACGGAGAGGAGAACCAGCCCCACAACGCCTGCCACCACGGAGATGATGATGATAACCTTCTGCTCCAGGGGTTCTGGCTCGGGCTCAGCTGGGGGCATGGCTGTTGTTGAGGATTCTTCTGTGGGAGGCTGCCCTTCAAACCGGTTGGTTCTGCTGTATAGCCCTGAGTTGGCCACCAGTGCCTGACCTTCAAACTTCACTGACATATCACCACTCTTTATCTGCAATGTTAGAAGTAGTCATTAAAAGTATTAAATCCTTTACTCTCAGTTTGTAGTAGAGGCATTTCCAAATCAAACTTGTATTCTTAAGGCAAAAATGCCCCAATCCAACTTATTCATAAGGCAAAAAAGACCCACTGGGCTAACAGCATTACTTGAAAAAATATGCTTTTAGGACAAAATCTTTGCAACAAATAATGACACAATGTCCTTGTGGGCTTCAGTTTGTGCAAACTGATCCACATGCCCAACATGGTTTACCATAATGATACTATAACATCACAAAACAACATTTTACAGTGGGGATCTATTCTGCAACGGCTTTGAAGGAAACTAGCCCATATGAATCGACGTCTAATGCTGAGAGTAATGTCTACAACCATCTCAGCATCATGTAGAGCCAGACAAGAGTGTGATGCACAAGTAGCCATGGCCCTGAAAGGGTTCCCTGTCACTGAGCTGGTCCACACTGTCACTGAGGTCCTCAGGACCTTGTCCTTGAGCTGGTCCACACTATTACTGAGGTCCCCAGGACCTTGTCCTGAGCTGGTCCACACTGTCACAGAGGTCCCCAGGACCTTGTTCTGAGCTGGTCCACACTCTCACAGAGGTCCCCAGGACCTTGTCCTTGAGCTGGTCCACACCATCACAGAGGTCCCCAGGACCTTGTCCTGAGCTGGCCCACACTATCACTGAGGTCCCCAGGACCTTGTCCTTGAGCTGGTCCACACCGTCACTAAGGTCCCAAGGACCTTGTCCTTGAGCTTATCCACACTGTCACTGAGGTCCCCAGGACCTTTTCCAGAGCTGGTCCACACCGTCACAGAGGTACCCAGGACCTTGTCCTTGAGCTGGTCCACACTGTCCCAGAGGTCCCCAGGACCTTGTCCTGAGTTTATTCACCCTGTTACTGAGGTCCCCAGGACCTTGTCCTGAGTTTATTCACCCTGTTACTGAGGTCCCCAGGACCTTGTCCTGAGCTGGTCCACACTGAGTGACTTGCAGGCTTGTGGAGATACCATATTTCCTCTATTAGAGGCCTGGCATCTATTCTGTATAATACTGACACTGCGCCAACTCACTACCTTACTGAATCCCAAACTTTACAGTCACACAAAGGGTACATTGGCAAGAAATGGTGACTATTAATCACTACATATCAAAGTACTAGATATCTGGCATGTAATTGCAGCCCAACTTCTGTCTTTATGTGTGTATCACACTGCATTAAGTAGATTCAGGCTTATTGGAGGTCCTGCATATCTTTTTGAGAAAATATGGTAGATGGAAGACTACAGCAGCGAACACAACACTTACTCACTCATTCACCTACTTATACCCATATGTTTGGATCACCCTGATTCATCAGTCTGCCAGGACAACATGTGACCTAGTGTGACAAAGTGTGGATCTTACCCTGTTCACCATCATGTCTGCCAGGACAACGTGTGACCTAGTGTGACAACGTGTGGCTCTTACCCTGTTCTCAATCATGTCTGCCAGGACAATGTGTGACCTAGTGTGACAACGTGTGGCTCTTACCCTGTTCTCCATCATGTCTGCCAGGACAATGTGTAACCTAGTGTGACAACGTGTGGCTCTTACCCTGTTCTCCATCATGTCTGCCAGGACAATGTCTGACCTAGTGTGACAACGTGTGGCTCTTACCCTGTTCTCCATCATGTCTGCCAGGACAATGTGTGACCTAGTGTGACATCGTGTGGCTCTTACCCTGTTCTCCATCATGTCTGCCAGGACAATGTCTGACCTAGTGTGACGACATGTGGCTCTTACCCTGTTCTCCATCATGTCTGCCAGGACAATGTGTAACCTAGTGTGACAACGTGTGGCTCTTACCCTGTTCTCCATCATGTCTGCCAGGACAATGTGTGACCTAGTGTGACAACGTGTGGCTCTTACCCTGTTCTCCATCATGTCTGCCAGGACAATGTCTGACCTAGTGTGACAACGTGTGGCTCTTACCCTGTTCTCCATCATGTCTGTCAGGACAATGTGTAACCTAGTGTGACAACGTGTGGCTCTTACCCTGTTCTCCATCATGTCTGCCAGGACAATGTCTGACCTAGTGTGACAACGTGTGGCTCTTACCCTGTTCTCCATCATGTCTGCCAGGACAATGTCTGACCTAGTGTGACAACGTGTGGCTGTTACCCTGTTCTCCATCATGTCTGCCAGGACAATGTCTGACCTAGTGTGACAACGTGTGGCTCTTACCCTGTTCTCCATCATGTCTGCCAGGACAATGTGTAACCTAGTGTGACAACGTGTGGCTCTTACCCTGTTCTCCATCATGTCTGCCAGGACAATGTCTGACCTAGTGTGACAACGTGTGGCTCTTACCCTGTTCTCCATCATGTCTGCCAGGACAATGTGTAACCTAGTGTGACAACGTGTGGCTCTTACCCTGTTTTCCATCATGTCTGCCAGGACAATGTCTGACCTAGTGTGACAACGTGTGGCTCTTACCTTGTTCTCCATCATGTCTGCCAGGACAATGTGTAACCTAGTGTGACAATGTGTGGCTCTTACCCTGTTCTCCATCATGTCTGCCAGGACAATGTCTGACCTAGTGTGACAACGTGTGGCTCTTACCCTGTTCTCCATCATGTCTGCCAGGACAATGTGTGACCTAGTGTGACAACGTGTGGCTGTTACCCTGTTCTCCATCATGTCTGCCAGGACAATGTGTAACCTAGTGTGACCTAGTGTGACAACGTGTGGCTGTTACCCTGTTCTCCATCATGTCTGCCAGGACAATGTGTGACCTAGTGTGACAACGTGTGGCTCTTACCCTGTTCTCCATCATGTCTGCCAGGACAATGTCTGACCTAGTGCGACAACGTGTGGCTGTTACCCTGTTCTCCATCATGTCTGCCAGGACAATGTCTGACCTAGTGTGACAACGTGTGGCTGTTACCCTGTTCTCCATCATGTCTGCCAGGACAATGTGTGACCTAGTGTGACAACGTGTGGCTGTTACCCTGTTCTCCATCATGTCTGCCAGGACAATGTGTGACCTAGTGTGACAACGTGTGGCTCTTACCCTGTTCTCCATCATGTCTGCCAGGACAATGTGTGACCTAGTGTGACAACGTGTGGCTGTTACCCTGTTCTCCATCATGTCTGCCAGGACAATGTGTGACCTAGTGTGACAACGTGTGGCTCTTACCCTGTTCTCCATCATGTCTGCCAGGACAATGTCTGACCTAGTGTGACAACGTGTGGCTCTTACCCTGTTCTCCATCATGTCTGCCAGGACAGGCAGTTCAGCGGATGGGGCGACCAGGTCTTTCTTGTCTTCCAGGGTTGTGTCCACTTTGATGCTCCCCTTGTACACCTGGCAACACAAGACACACCTTACAGCATACATCTACAGTGTTTTCCATGAAATGTCACCTGTGAGTTCTGAGGGTCCCTTTAAGGGACATAGAGACAAAGCATGTCGTGGAGGAATGGGCAGGGTTTGGACGTCTTTGGCAAGCTTTGGTGAGGCATGTGGGGGCTTGAGGTTGTTTTCCGATCTGCTTGGACGTCATTAGACCTACCTGAATATAATTTGACCTACCTGAATATAATTTGACCTACCTGAATATCATTTGACCTATCTGAGCGTTGTTACACCTTCCTGAATGTTGTTACACCCCTACTTGAATGTTGTTACACCTACCCTAATGTCCTTGATGAAATCTTCAGCATCAGCTATGCCTGAGCCCTCTATGATTGACATGATGACAGCTCTGAAACAACAGGTCAACTACATGTCAACTACATGTCAACAACAGGTCAACAACATGTCAACAACATGCCAACAACATGTCAACAACATGTCAACAACAGGTCCACCACATGTCAACTACAGGTCCACAACAGGTCAACTACATGTCAACTACATGTCAACTACATGTCAACAACATGTCAACAACATGTCAACAACAGGTCAACAACAGGTCAACTACATGCCTACAACATATATTCATCTCCACAAGATTTAGCCCTATCTCCCCCTGAGTCAGCATTCTGTGTAAAGATTTCGGAAATGTTAAATTCCATGAACAACAACCTTCCACATATGGTTAAAATGAAACCCATCCAGATTTCTCCCTGTGATTAAACAAGATGGCAGTTTGTCTGCAATTCTTTAACCTGAGCGAACAGGCTGAACTGTTATAGTCTCTCCCAATCCAAGCAAGACAAGCCTTGTAATGAAGAACAGTCCCAGGATTTCCTCCTCCTAAATGTTTGCTCACCTCTTGAATTCCTCTATCTTGTTGGCGACAAGGCTGAACTCATGGTCAAACTTCATCGTAATCACAATGTTCACTGTCTCATTCCGACCTGGAAAATATGTTTACAGGGGTACTTAGATTCTTGATCCTAGCACACTGATCATACATTTGTTATCCTGCTCAATTCACTCACAAGGTAGCTTTGTAAAAAGATGTTTTCTGTTCTGATCAAGCAATAACAGTAGACTTACCGCAAACTTCGTACAAGTCTGAAAGCTTGAGCCATTGACCGACACCATCCACACACCAGCAGCGGTCATCTTGACACTGTTTGGGTTCATAGCGGCCATCAGGGCCACATGTAGGCAGGTAGACCGTGGTGGTCCCGGTCACCAGCATCTCTCTCTTCATCTCCATCTTCTTGGTACAGTGGGTCATCTGACAGTGGGTGTGGGTCACTGCCAACACAGCCACATATAAACATGCAGTACACTGGCCATCTGACAGTGGGTGTGGGTCACTGCCAACACAGCCACATATAAACATGCAGTACACTGTCCATCTGACAGTGGGTGTGGGTCACAGCAAAACACACCCACAAAGTCACATCTGTTGTCATAACGGTATAAAAATCTACACTGAAGCACATTGTCATACCCATATTTAAACCGACTCTGTTATACATTGTCACAACCATACTTAAACCGACTCTGTCGTACATTGTTATACTCGTAATTAACCACCACTGTCGTACATTGTCATACTCGTATTTAATCCATCACTGTCATACATTGTCATACCAATATTTAAACCGACTCTGTCGTACATTGTCACACCCATACTTAAACCGACTCTGTCTTACATTGTCATACTCGTAATTAAACCACCACGGTCGTACATTGTCATACTCGTAATTAAACCATCACTGTCGCACATTGTCATACCCATATTTAAAACAACTCTGTCATACATTGTCACACCCATACTTAAACTGACTCTGTCGTACATTGTCATACTCATAATTTAACCACCACTGTCATACATTGTCACACCCGTATTTAAACCGACTCTGTCGTACATTGTCATACTCGTAATTAAACCACCACTGTCGTACATTGTCAAACTCGTATTTAAACCAACACTGTCATACCCATACTTAAACCGACTCTGTCATACATTGTCATACTTGTATTTAAACCAACATTGTCATACATTGTCATACCCATACTTAAACCAACACTGTCATACATTGTCATACCCATATTTAAGGCAGCACTGTCGTACATTGTCACACCCATATTTAAATTGACTCTGTTGTACATTGTCACACCCGTATTTAAGGCAGCCCTATCGTACATTGTCACACCCATATTTAAACCGATTCTGTCGTACATTGTCACACCTATATTTAAACCGATTCTGTCGTACATTGTCACACCCATAGTTAAGACAGCACTGTCGTATATTGTCACACTCGTATTTAAACCAATACTGTCATACATTGTCATACCCAGACTTAAACCGACTCTGTCATACATTGTCATACTCGTATTTAAACCAACACTGTCATACATTATCATACCCATACTTAAACCAACACTGTCATACATTGTCATACCCATATTTAAGGCAGCACTGTCGTACATTGTCACAACCATATTTAAACTGATTCTGTCGTACATTGTCACACCCGTAGTTAAAACTGGACTGTTGTATATTGTCACACTGGTATTTAAGGCACCAGTGACGTACATTGTCACACCCGTATTTAAGGCAGCACTGTCGTACATTGTCACACTCATATTTAAGGCACCACTGTCATACATTGTCACACCAGTATTTAAGGCACCACTGTCATACATTGTCACACCAGTATTTAAGGCAGCACTGTCGTACATTGTCACACCCATACTTAAACCGACTCTGTCATACAATGTCACACCTGTATTTAAGACAGCACTGTCGTATATTGTCAAAACCTTTATTTAAGGCTGTACTGTTGTACATTGTCACACCCATATTTAAGGCAGCACTGTCGTACATTGTCACACCCGTATATAGTTCGATTCCCGACATGGGTACAATGTGTGAAGCCCATTTCTGGTGTCCCCCGCTGTGATATTGCTGGAATATTGCTAAAAGCGGCGTAAAACCATACTCACTCACTCACTCACACCCGTATATAAGGCAGTTCTGTTGTATATTGTCAAAACCTTTATTTAAGGCAGCACTGTCGTATATTGTCATAACCGTATTTAAGGCACCAATGTCGTACATTGTCACACTCGTAATAAAGGCACCACTGTCGTACATTGTCACACCCATATTTAAATCGACTCTGTTGTACATTGTCACACCCGTTTTTAAGGCAGAACTGTCATACATTGTCACACCCATACTTAAACCAAATTGTCGTACATTATCACACCCGTATTTAAGGCAGCCCTATCGTACATTGTCACACCGATATTTAAACCGATTCTGTCGTACATTGTCACACCCGTAGTTAAGACAGCACTGTCGTATATCGTCACACTCGTATTTAAACCAATACTGTCATACATTGTCATACCCAGACTTAAACCGACTCTGTCATACATTGTCATACTCGTATTTAAACCAACACTGTCGTACATTGTCACACCCGTATTTAAGGCAGCACTGTCGTACATTGTCACACTCGTATTTAAGGCAGCACTGTTATACATTGTCACACCCGTATTTAAGGTAGCACTGTCGTACATTGTCACACCCGTATTTAAGGCAGCACTGTCATACATTGTCACACCCGTATTTAAGGCACCACTGTCGTTCATTGTCACACTCGTATTTAAGGCAGTACTGTCGTACATTGTCACACCCGTATTTGAGGCACCTCTGTCATACATTGTCACACCCATATTTAAGGCACCACTGTCATACATTGTCACAACCATATTTAAGGCACTACTGTCATACATTGTCACACTCGTATTAGAGGCATCACTGTCGTACATTGTCACACCCGTATTTAAGGCATCACTGTCGTACATTGTCACACCCGTTTTTAAGGCAGCACTGTCATACATTGTCCCACTCGTATTAGAGGCATCACTGTCGTACATTGTCCCACCCGTATTTAAGGCAGCACTGTCGTACATTGTCACACTCGTATTAGAGGCATCACTGTCGTACATTGTCCCACCCGTATTTAAGGCAGCACTGTCGTACATTGTCACACCCGTATTTAAGGCAGCACTGCCGTACATTGTCACACCTGTATTTAAGGCAGCACTGTCGTACATTGTCACACCCATATTTAAGGCACCACTGTCATACCTTGTCACACTCGTATTTAAGGCACCACTGTCGTACATTGTCACACCCGTATTAAAGGCACCACTGTCGTACATTGTCACACTTGTATTTAAGGCAGTACTGTCGTACATTGTCACACCCGTATTTAAGGCACCACTGTCGTACATTGTCACACCCGTATTTAAGGCACCACTGTCGTACATTGTCACACTCGTATTTAAGGCAGTACTGTCATACATTGTCACAACCGTATTTAAGGCACCACTGTCGTACATTGTCCCACCCGTATTTAAGGCAGCACTGTCGTACATTGTCACACCCGTATTAAAGGCACCACTGTCGTACATTGTCACACTTGTATTTAAGGCAGTACTGTCGTACATTGTCACACCCGTATTTAAGGCACCACTGTCGTACATTGTCACACCCGTATTTAAGGCACCACTGTCGTACATTGTCACACTCGTATTTAAGGCAGTACTGTCATACATTGTCACAACCGTATTTAAGGCACCACTGTCGTACATTGTCCCACCCGTATTTAAGGCACCACTGTCGTACATTGTCACACTCGTATTTAAGGCAGTACTGTCATACATTGTCACAACCGTATTTAAGGCACCACTGTCGTACATTGTCACACTCGTATTTAAGGCAGTACTGTCATACATTGTCACACCCAAATTTAAGGCACCACTGTCGTACATTGTCACACCCGTATTTAAGGCAGCACTGTTGTACATTGTCACACCCGTATTTAAGGCAGCACTGTCGTACATTGTCACACCCATATTTAAGGCACCACTGTCATACCTTGTCACACCCGTATTTAAGGCACCAATGTCGTACATTGTCACACCCGTATTTAAGGCAGCACTGTTATACATTGTCACACCCGTATTTTAGGCAGCACTGTCGTACATTGTCACACCCGTATTTAAGGCACCACTGTCGTACATTGTCACACTCGTATTTAAGGCACCACTGTCGTACATTGTCACACCCGTATTTTAGGCAGCACTGTTGTACATTGTCACACCCGCATTTAAGGCAGCATACACCTTGCCACTAATTTGATGAAAGTTAAAGTATTACAAGTCAGACAAGCAACCTAGTATGATATAAAGACAACAAAGCACCCACTTGCTGTACAGTCAGTGATGTTCTCATTGGTCAGCATGTCCGTGAATACGGCTTGACATGTGCATGGATCCACATGACACATGGCACATGGATCCCTCCCACAAGTCTGGGTCTCACACACGTTGGGGCACAATCTGGGGGGGCAGGCAGGCTCCGCTGGAAACAGACACAAAGCAGGAATAGGATGATCCCATATCAAGCATATTTTGCACACTGAGATATACATTGTTTGATAAGCTATTGCACATTTGCCAAGACACTGTTTCCCAGGTAAATTTAAAGGAAACAGACTGTTAAATGATGGACAACATGGCATTCCAAGAGCTAAGTTGGACATGAGTGTAGCAAGGTGTCTCTGTAGTCAAACCTGAAGGTATGATAAACTGGAAGATTTCATTCATTATGAATTAACCCTAAGACCAATGAGACCATTAATGGTAGCATAGCATAATTCCACTGTGTTGATAAACATGTGATTTATCATATGATGGGTAGTGTTTTTGGAGAGATAAACAAACAAAAGAGGTCTTAATTCTAACAGGGCCTACACTTTCAATGAGCATCATACATTCAACCTGTGCTTAACATTTCCAATAAGATGTCCTAATGTTTGGGAGCTTCTGCAAACAAACATGCCTGCAAATCAATTGGCTCTGTTTAATAAATGACACAGGTCAATGTAATATAAGTATGTGACCTTGACCTTTTACCAACTCTGTACTTTATTTATATGTACTTCCAAAGTAGCAAATGCACACATCTAAAGATTCTGTTAGTTTAAGCATTGCATAATGTCATAAAGACTTAATTTCTGTTGTGTGTTTTGGTATCATAGATATCAAACACAAACAAATACATTTTTTATTCCTTACACATCTAATTGACATGATGACACACTCTATATGCTATATGATGGAGGTCTGTAAATAATCAAGTCTGGACACGACAATCCTGCGATTGATAATATCACCATTGATCTACGCAATTGGGATACGATGACATGCATCAACAAAGACAGTGAGCCTGATGGCCTGATCCTGTTAGTTGCCTCTTACGAAAAACAGTTGTCTGTTATAAACATGGGTTGCTGAAGACCATATTCTAACCTGGATCTTCATGGGGTACAAAAATGGATTGCTGAAGACCTATTCTAACCCAGATCTTCATATGGGACAAGAATGGATTGCTGAAGACCCTATTCTAACCCGGATCTTCATGGGGGACTAGAATGGGCTGCTGAAGACCTATTCTAACCCGGATCCACTACTAATGTCTTCTGAGACTTCTGGGGGACTCCTGATTCCTAGCTGAGTTCCCCTAGTGCTGCACATCACTGAACCTTACCTTGACACGAGGCCTTGGGTTCTGCATACATCACAGCGCACTCATCCTCTGCAAGGAAGAGATAACAATAACAATCCTCCTAACAATGAGACATAAGTGATTAGCCTTTTCATAAAAATTCAGCAACATTAACAGAGTGTTCTGTGCTCAACACCTTCACTGTAGATAAAGTAGAGTATTGCCTACCCACTCCAGATCACCCTCTGTATCAATCTCATTAAAATCAGATGTTTTACTCCAATACAACACCACTCTGTGCGAAGATGGACATCTTCACAGAAGCTTGTGTCAGGCTCATTTATAAATGACATCATGTATAAATATCCACAACAATATGAATAGTGTGGCTTTATTTTTTTGCATTCAGAACTCCCCAAATATATTCATTTTCAATGTACAGAAATCAGATCTGATTTTAATGAGATTGCCTTATATATATATACTTCTGAAAACAATATGGGATGTACCATCGAGTTTGTGACATCAGTAAATGTTAATAATGATTGTGACCACGTCTTGCAATGTCTGCATGCGTTTGAGGATTCTGATGGTAGCTCTGATTAGAAGTCACTCCACTTGCAGAGCTGCGGAGAGTTGGTCCAGATTGTGACGCCCCCCCCACCCCCCAGGATGCTGGCACACACAATGTTCAAGGTCACTCTACTCAGTGAGGTGGAAGATAGGACTTTCAGCTTGCAAAGGTGAGTACCTAGATGTTTCCATGATACTACATTGGCACACAAGCTGGATATGCGTTATCCTATACATGCAAACAGGACCAAGACTGGCCAGAAAACCCCAGGACAACAATGACTGGACATCCACTGCCCTGAGGTAGGTGATGGCAGCCCCCCCATCACTAACCCTCAACCATATCGGTTGTGCTGTGATGTAGTACACTGCAGGTATCTCTCATCAATTGCCTCACAATACAACTCAAGATAACTGTAAAACCTATAGATGATGGCCCTAAACTTGATGATCTGAAGCTAACCATTAATGCTGAGAGTCTTATCTTAAAATCTTCAAAGCATTTTTCATCTTTATTTTTATGACTTTAAAAGATTTTGCGTATGCAAATTATATAGCTTTGAATTCAAACTTTGAAATAAAGATATTAACACAAAAGTTACATGGTATGTTCAATACCTCTGACATCAAGCTTTGCTTGTATGCTCACAGTTGTTCTACTTCTGACATGAGGAAGTATATAAATATGGCAAGAAGGATTGAAAAAGGTTAATATTTGAAACTTCATATGCAAATCCAACAATGAGAAAGTCAATGATCCATGATGCCATTATTACCATATAACTGTAGCGTTCTCATCTACATCTCCTATCACATGGGGTAAAAGACTTACTCATGTTCAAATACTAGAAAATATGACAACAATCAATGTGCCGGTGCGAGTCATCCACAAAGTGTTTATAGTACTACAGCACTCTTAAGCCTATGATTAACTATAGAGTTAACTATGATAGGTTGTAATGCTTGGAAGGTCGTATTGCTAGGAAGGCTTTATATTTTCGGAACCCAGCGTTTTTGAAATAATAGCACAGGATCCTATTTTATGAGATATTAACAACCCTAACAGAGATGCAGGAGTAAGGCAATGAAGACATCAGGGAACGAGGGGGAGTGGAACATAACCTACCGCCACATGTTTCCACCTCCTCAGTCTCCATCATGAACTTGTGGCTGCAGTCTGGTGAGCACAGGTTGACCACACAGGTGGCATTGGGGTTGCCGGGACACACCTTGCCCATGCAGGTATCAAGGCAGCTCAAGTTGGGGGTGCCCCCATTGCTGCAGTTCACTGAAATACACATGCATATACTGAAGGTTGCACAGGTAAAGAGGGAATGTTGATATTAGATGTTTGTTTGTTGTTTAACTCTGCACTCAGCAATGTTTCAGCCATATGACAGCAGTCTGTCTATAAATGAAGACAAGACACTCCAGTGACTGACATTATGAGCATCGATCTATGCAATTTGGATATGATGACATGCATCAACCAAGTCAGCAAGCCTGACCACCTGAATCCATTAGTCACCTCTTACAAAGCGTAGTCGCCTTTTACGGAAAGCATGGGTTCCTGAAGACCTATTCTACCCCGGATCTTCACGGGTTAATATTAGATGCATTTGTTTTATTGCAAACCAGTAGACAACTGTACACATGAGTTGCAGATACTGGGGAGGTGACAGTACTCACTACTTCACGATACCATGTACAACTACTGTGTAGGAAGAAGCAAGCGTAATGTTACAGTCACTTCATTACAAACATGACATATGTATTCCATTCATTACAAGATGAACAAGGTTGTGTATATATATCTTACCTGCTTGGCCTTCGATGACTGTATATTGTCCTGAAACATTGACATGAAATGTAAAACATACCCACAAGGACATGAATGGTAATATTTGCCATGACACCTCACAGTCATGCTAAACTGAACAGTTAACTCATGAAATGCCACAACAATTTACAATGTTATCATGGATAAAACCACTGTGCATTTTGTGACTTAATTGTCAACACATATTTGTGAAATTATTTTACTGGTTTCCTTCCTGCCTGAGCCTGTCAAGTCTATGACCCATTAGTCCTCACAGTGATGGCCAGATCACTGGACAAGAGACAAGTCCTCACAGTGATGGCCAGATCACTGGACAGGAGACAAGTCCTCACAGTGACGGCCAGATCACTGGACAGGAGACAAGTCCTCACAGTGATGGCCAGATCACTGGACAAGAGACAAGTCCTCACAGTGATGGCCAGATCACTGGACAAGAGACAAGTCCTCACAGTGATGGCCAGATCACTGGACAAGAGACAAGTCCTCACAGTGATGGCCAGATCACTGGACAAGAGATAAGTCCTCACAGTGATGGCCAGATCACTGGACAAGAGACAAGTCCTCACAGTGATGGCCAGATCACTGGACAGGAGACAAGTCCTCACAGTGATGGCCAGATCACTGGACAAGAGACAAGTCCTCACAGTGATGGCCAGATCACTGGACAAGAGACAAGTCCTCACAGTGACGGCCAGATCACTGGACAGGAGACAAGTCCTCACAGTGATGGCCAGATCACTGGACAAGAGATAAGTCCTCACAGTGATGGCCAGATCACTGGACAAGAGACAAGTCCTCACAGTGATGGCCAGATCACTGGACAAGAGACAAGTCCTCACAGTGACGGCCAGATCACTGGACAGGAGACAAGTCCTCACAGTGATGGCCAGATCACTGGACAAGAGATAAGTCCTCACAGTGATGGCCAGATCACTGGACAAGAGACAAGTCCTCACAGTGATGGCCAGATCACTGGACAAGAGACAAGTCCTCACAGTGATGGCCAGATCACTGGACAAGAGACAAGTCCTCACAGTGATGGCCAGATCACTGGACAAGAGACAAGTCTTTATCAGGGACTTATATGGACACTGATGTATGGACACTGATGTGTGGACACTGATGTGTGGACACTGATGTATGGACACTGATGTGTGGACACTGATGTGTGGACACTGATGTGTGGACACTGATGTGTGGACACTGATGTATGGACACTGATGTATGGACACTGATGTGTGGACACTGATGTGTGGACACTGATGTCTGGACACTGATGTGTGGACACTGATGTGTGGACACTTATGTGTGGACACTGATGTGTGGACACTGATGTATGGACACTGATGTATGGACACTGATGTGTGGACACTGATGTATGGACACTGATGTGTGGACACTGATGTGTGGACACTGATGTATGGACACTGATGTATGGACACTGATGTGTGGACACTGATGTGTGGACACTGATGTGTGGACACTGATGTATGGACATTGATGTGTGGACACTGATGTATGGACACTGATGTATGGACACTGATGTATGGACACTGATGTGTGGACACTGATGTGTGGACACAAGGGGTCCGGAAACCGTCATATGCGCCGGACATGTCCGATTGGGAATCTCAAATGTCCGTTTTAAAATATTGCTTACCGGACATTTTAAAAAGTATTGTCCGGACATTCTTAAATTTTGACCGGACATGATCAACAGTTAGGACTGAGCAGTTTCTGTCTGCAGTTGCAACACAATGAAGATTAACTACACTGACAAGCTTTGTTTGTTTTGATTGCTGTAAATACATCGTACCTACATGATAGTCCAATCGGTCAATCACTGTAATAGGCAATAAACTGAGTTGACACTGATTAATCGCGGATTAATTACTGAGAACATCTTGTTAATTTGAGTGAAAGGTGTTTACAACTGTACATTAATATCTTGCATCATCGATGTACCTCATTATCCTCACAATGCTACGATACGTAACCTCAGACAAGAAGCGAAAGCGTGACGACAGCCAGTCGACCGATGCAGATCAGTCGAGCGGATCTGCCAAACCCTCAAAGTCTGGACGATCATTTTGTAAGTCGTGGCTAACGACTTTCACTTGGTTGACATACAATGAGGATTTGCAGATTTTATTGTTTTCAGTAGCTAGTCGTATATTGAATCTTGATTGACCGCCATTTTGCTTTCTCGGACGATCGATATACAATTTTTTTATGGTCAATAAATAAGTACAGATGAAAAAAGTATTCAAATAACTATTGCTATCAACGATATTTTTGTATTTGTGATTAAATTATCTGACTTGTTTTTAAAAAAATCTTTAGTTTAAAAAAAATAAATTCCCGTGAGGTCACGTGATAACCAAATATGGGATAATAGTCTCGATCCAAATGTTACAACGCGTACACTTGAGCAGACTCATGAATATAACTCATGAATATTAATTAGACCGTTCACTACGTTAACAGATCGTTATTATAAAAGAAACAAACGTATGTTTTCCATGTAAATCTAAAATGATATTATTTGTTATTAATTGTCCGGTGAATTAAACAATTTAAATTGAAACAATTCATAATTCATCATACGTAAACTTGTAATGTGTGTGAAAAGTCGTACTAAAATACGCTATTTGAAGGGGGCGTGGCCTAAATGCAAATGTCCGATTGGGATTTTAAATTTTCCGGACCCCTGGTGGACACTGATGTATGGACACTGATGTATGGACACTGATGTATGGACACTGATGTGTGGACACTGATGTGTGGACACTGATGTATGGACACTGATGTATTGACACTGATGCATGGACACTGATGCGTGGACACTGATGTATGGACACTGATGTGTGGACACTGATGTGTGGACACTGATGTATGGACACTGATGTGTGGACACTGATGTGTGGACACTGATGTATGGACACTGATTTAGGGCTGATGTTTTCATAATGGAAACAATTATCACACTCACCATCATCCTGACAGATCACGCCATACTTCTTTGCAAGGCTGCCCTGTATAGGCTGGCCATCCCCGCTGACACACCAACAGTAACCATGGTGACACTGCATGGAAGTGTACTTCTCGGCAGAGCATGTTGGGACATTGATGCCACTAATGTGGGGGTTGGCAAACACATCTGTAAAACATAAGATATTCAGTTATCAAGAGAATCATAAAAGTATATTTTGCATTACCAGACATTCTGCACACATGAGTGCATTGATCACCAGGCTGCTTAGTGCTGATGGCAGACATGGAGACAGTAAGGGTGTCTGTGGGAGACACATGTCCCTCAGTTACAGTTTACGAGCATGGTACAAGAAGTAGTTGATGTCATGTTTTCTTCTTGTCATACAAAGGAAGCTAGAGGTGAACTTACATCTGCACTCAGCCCAGTGAGCACATTTGCCATGTGTACAGCTGTAGTCAATGCCAAGGCTACACTTCTGTTGGTCACCACACTCCTCCATCTGTCAAGTAAAAGTCAACACATGTTCATGGTCAGGAGGTATTGGCTGAATGGAGGTGGGCTTTTTCATGCAGCTTGATTATTGTGCCTGTGTCTGTGTCTGAAATATTGTGTGACTAGCATGTTTCTCCCTATATCACATATTGTATTTATCATGTCACAAGACTTAACGTTTCCTTTTATCATTATGTTGTTGCTTTTAGCATGAATTCACACAATTGAGTGAGGAGGAGGTGATATATGTAAGTAAGGATAAGACATGGATGAACAACGCCTTTATTACAAGAGGAGCAGCATTCACACAATTGAGTGAGGAGGAGGTGATATATGTAAGTAAGGATAAGACATGGATGAACAACGCCTTATTACAAGAGGAGCAGCATTCACACAATTGAGTGAGGAGGAGGTGATATATGTAAGTAAGGATAAGACATGGATGAACAACGCCTTATTACAAGAGGAGCAGCATTCACATGATTGAATGAGGAGGAGGTGATATATGTAAGTAAGGATAAGACATGGATGAACAATGCCTTTATTACAAGAGGAGCAGCATTCACACAATTGAGTGAGGAGGAGGTGATATATGTAAGTAAGGATAAGACATGGATGAACAACGCCTTTATTACAAGAGGAGCAGCATTCACACAATTGAGTGAGGAGGAGGTGATATATGTAAGTAAGGATAAGACATGGATGAACAACGCCTTTATTACAAGAGGAGCAGCATTCACACAATTGAGTGAGGAGGAGGTGATATATGTAAGTAAGGATAAGACATGGATGAACAACGCCTTATTACAAGAGGAGCAGCATTCACACAATTGAGTGAGGAGGAGGTGATATATGTAAGTAAGGATAAGACATGGATGAACAACGCCTTATTACAAGAGGAGCAGCATTCACATGATTGAATGAGGAGGAGGTGATATATGTAAGTAAGGATAAGACATGGATGAACAACGCCTTTATTACAAGAGGAGCAGCATTCACATGATTGAATGAGGAGGAGGTGATATATGTAAGTAAGGATAAGACATGGATGAACAACGCCTTTATTACAAGAGGAGCAGCATTTCGGTGTTCATCCATATATCTTATCCAAGAAGAGGTGATATATACTGTAAATTTTGAAATTAATGCGAACGTGAATTAAATGCGAAAAATGTGAGTGGTCTTTGTTCGCATTATTAAACATCGCAGTCATATCAACAATAAGACATTTTTGATAGCAGAAATACCAACTTAGACATTCACTGAAAACAAACAACTATGTATTCCACAACACTGTTTATTGAGCGGCACTTGTAACAAGTGTATAAACAATGTCATTCAAACACTAATTAGTGAATTGTCACTGCTTGGGTCAAGATAACAGTTCTACTCACTTATGTCGTTTCGGGGAAGAGGAAGCGAAGGACCCGCAAGTAATTTTCAAGAAATTTGAAGTCCACTTGGAGCCAAGAAGTAACTTCAGAGTGCAGAGATTCTACTTACAAAGATACAGGCAAGACACATTGGAATCAGTCGACAATTATATGACCAGATGCAAACTACAGGCCTTTAAATGTCGTTTCGGGGAAGCCGAATTAAAAGAGAGATTAATTGAACAATTAATCATTGGGACAAGGATTCCGGAGTTGCAGAAGGAATTATTGGGCAAAGATGAACAGATGTCATTGGATCAAGCCATGGATATAGCTAGAGTGCATGAGGCATCCATCAACAACATGGCCCAACTGCAAGGGGTACAGACGACGAAGACTGACATTCACCAAGTAAGGAAAGAGCAGCCATGCAAATACTGTGGACGACAACACCCACCGAATCGCTGTCCAGCTTATGGCAGTGAATGTGAAAACTGTGGCATAAGAAACCACTGGAAAGTGATGTGTAGAAGGAACGCCGCACAGCACACACCATACAGGGGCAGAGCAAGAGGCAACAGTCGAGGCAGAGGCCGTGGTCAGCCTCACACTAGAAGGCCACACAGAGGTAGAAGTAGGTCACGACAAGGACAACGTTCAGTGAATAGCATGACAGGTAATGATGACCTGGATTTCGAAACAGCTTTCGAAACACTAACATTCGAGTCACTTTCAATTGATGCTATACTCAACCACAGAGACACTAGAGACGAGGTTTTCGTGACCCTCAATATCAGTCTAGAAGACAGACCACAGCAACCAGCCACCCTCAAAGCCAAAGTCGACACAGGAGCCCAAGGTAACCTCCTACCCCTGCGCATATACCAACGTATGTACCCAAATACACTGGAGAGCAATGGGAAGCCCAATGCAAACTCAACTAAGCAGAGCAGCACCATACTGAGAGCCTACAACGGCACACGAATAGCCCAGTATGGTAAAATATCCTTACCCTGCACCTTCAATGGCCACACATCTCAAGCAGACTTCTTCATCTCAGGCGAAGAAGGACCGGCCATCCTTGGACTCCCTACGTGTAGGCAGCTGAGAGTCGTAACCCTCAATTGCGAAATAAAAGACTCACCTCCAACGCAGAAGGTTGACGGGAAAGAAGACCTAATAAGAAGCTACCCAGACAGATTTCAAGGCATTGGCCAGTTCAAGAAAGAGTGTCATATTACAGTCGACCCCTCAGTACCGCCAATGATACAAAAAATCAAGGTCATCGCCAAAGTTACGGAACCAACTGACTGGGTGTCAAGCCTGGCATACAGCAGGAAAGCTAGCGGCAAGCTCAGGGTATGCCTGGACCCGAAAGACTTAAACACAGCCATTAAGAGGCCCCATTATAAAACCCCTACCCTTGAGGAGATAACCCACAAATTCTCAGGAGCGACAGTATTCTCCAAACTGGACGCAAGGCACGGCTATTGGTCTGTCAAACTCGACGAGGAATCCAGCATGCTGACGACCTTTAACAGCCCATTTGGCCGCTACAGATTCCTAAGACTTCCCTTTGGATTGAATCTGAGCCAAGATGTGTTCCAAAAGAGTATGGACATGATCCTAGAAAAGTGCCCAGGCACAGTTGGCATAGCAGACGACATCGCGGTATTCGGCAAAAATAAAAAGGAGCATGACAACAACTTGATCAACCTCATGGAGGTCGCCCAACAAAGCGGCCTGGTATTCAACCCTGGGAAATGCGAAATCAAGACCGACCAGATCAAATTCTTTGGACTTGTATTCGATGCAGAAGGTGTCCACGCCGACCCAGACAAGGTAAAGGCCATCAGGGAAATAGGATACCCAAGCGACGCCAAACAGCTCCAAGAATTCTTAGGCATCGCAACATACATGGGACCATTTATTCCCCACCTTTCCCAGATAACCGCACCACTCAGGGAACTGATCAAGAAGGACGTGGAATACAAGTGGTCAGAGTCCCACCAATCGTCGTTCAACAAGATCAAAGAGACCATCTGCAAGGAAGTAACGCTGACTTACTTCAACCCCACACTGGACTCCACTCTCAGAGTGGACGCTTCCATGAAAGGTCTCGGAGCAGTCCTGCTGCAAAACGAAAAGCCGATAGCATTCGCCTCAAAATCTCTAAGCGAGACAGAGCAAAGGTACACAAACATAGAGAGGGAGATGCTCGCTGTTGTATTCGGGTGTGAACGCTTCCATACATATTTATACGGGAAACAGTTCATCGTGGAAACAGACCACAAACCATTGGAGATGATCCACCTCAAAAACCTGTCAGCAGCGCCCCAACGACTTCAAAGAATGCTACTACGGGTACAGCCTTACGACGTGACCATCAAATACAGACCGGGAAGTATGATGGAGGTGGCAGACGCCCTCTCCCGATCACCCGGCAAGACCAGCAAGACAATCGACTTGGACATCCGTGTAGACCTGACACAGTTCTCCGACAAAAAGATACAGTCCCTAAAAGAAGAGACCAGTAAGGACGCTACACTACAAGCTCTAAAAGAGATCATCTTGGAAGGCTGGCCTGAAAGACCAAAGCAACTACCAGCCCCCATCAGGCCCTACTGGGCATACAGGGACGAACTATCCATTGAGGATGGATTACTGCTGAAGGGGGATTGTGTCATCATCCCAACAAGTATGAAGCAAGAGATACTAGGAAAACTACACGAAGCACATCAGGGGATAGAAAAGACCAAACTCAGAGCGAAGACATGTGTCTTTTGGTGCGGCATCGGGACCGACATTGAAAACATGGTAAAAAGCTGCCATGTGTGCCAAGAGTTCCAGAAATGCCAACCTGCAGAACCCCTGCTCCAACATGAACTTCCCACACGACCGTGGCAAGTGCTGGGAACCGATCTATTTTACATGGAGGGAGAAGAATACATCATAGTAAGTGACTACTATTCTAAATTTCCCATAATCAGGAAGATGTCCGGAGGCAGCAGAGGTACCATCTCAACACTGAAAGCCATATTTGCAGAACAAGGCATACCAGAGAAAGTCATTAGCGACAACGGGCCACATTTTTCAGCTGAACGATTTCAAGAATTTGCCAAAGCCTGGGGATTTACCCATATAACATCCAGCCCACACTATCCCCAGTCGAACAGCTTCATAGAGCGGCAAATCCAAACAACAAAACGAACACTGCAAAAAGCCAAGCTCTCCAACATCGACCCCAACATGGCTATGCTCATATTACGTGCAACCCCAATCGATCATAACCTTCCATCACCAGCTGAACTCCTAAACACCCGGAAAATGAAATCGAACTTACCAATGAGGGTCAAAAACCACAACACCATGCGGGAAGACGTTAGACGCCATCTAGAAGAACGACAACTTCAGCAAAAGGAACACTTTGACAACAGGGCAGGTGAGGAGCTTCCGCCACTTATCCCTAACCAGCCTATCAGTGTCAGAGACCAACAATCTGGAAGGTGGAAGAATGCCACTATAGTAGGAAAATCACCAGAGCCAAGGTCATACATAGTGGAAACCACAGAAGGCTCCATCCTACGTCGCAATCGACGTGATCTCAGGGAGATCACTGAGGAAAAGAGAAACACCAGCGCTGCCCCACTCGAACCACTGAGACAGGGAAACCAATCTACCTCACCCCACCAAAACCAGCGGCGGGTCTCCTTCAACCCTAAGGACAACAAACCACCAACCAACAAACAGCTAGACAAGTTCGAGAAGCGCCCAACCACCACAACATTGCAGGGCCATTGTGATCCCAGCTCAGAGACAGTTGTATGTCGAACAAGAGCCGGAAGAGAAGTGCGACGACCAAAGCACTTGAATGAGTGACTCTAAATATAAATGTGAAATATAAAAGCAGACTAGTTACTCCTAGTGTGCCAAATAGGGTAGCAGACTAGAATAGCTCAGCCAACAGTTATGTTATGTTATGTTATGTTATGTTATGTTATGTTATGTTATGTACAAAGTGATCTACCTCAACCTACTGTGTCATGAACTGCTCAAGAATACCAAAGAACTTTAAAAGTGCAATTAGTTGAAAGTGCATTTATCTTGCACAGTGAGACCATCCGTCAACTTTCTCATCAATCATAATGTAATCAATTCCATGTTGTCCATCATATACTACTGATATCCACACGCCGTAAGTACCTTATCAAAAGAAGGGGGATGTGATATATGGACTATATTGCAAGACTCACCACTACCCCACTAGTCATATCACCGGCGTAGGGATATCGATACGTGCTCTTGTACCGCCATTGCTATACAGTAAACATGTAGACTGAACACGCTCTCGTTATCTATGCATAGACTCACGACCTTAGAAGCCTCGATAGCATAGAAATATTACACTGATCACTCCTGCAAGTCCAGACAGACGCCAACAACGCAACACAGTGTCTTTGTTCTTTGCGACTGCGTCAAAGGCCAACACGAGACAGCGCACATATATTGTTTTAGCGGAAGTGCTCTATTCAGCACTATTAAGCTATTTGGTGTGTGATTGGATTAATGTAAGGTTGGATTAAAGTAAGAGTTCTCCTGTAAACCTGACAGAGGGCATTTTATTTAGACATAAATCCACTGATGCTTGAGAGGAGGGGGTGTCGCATTTTTGGCTAGGGACCAGTGGTCGCATTCTTTTGGAGACGCATAAATTTCACGATTTACAGTATGTGAGTATATTAAAGTGCCCACATCTCTCACTCTCACCTCAGGCTCGGAGTCCCCTGACATTTACCTGATGCCCAATAACTTTCTTCTCTTTTTCATATTAAAATTAATCTCTCCATTGATTCAAATCATAATTAAACCCAGTTGAACCTACCTTGCATGGATTAGCTTCTTCATGACCTGAAACACACCACACAGTATTAGATGAATGTGCTGAACGATGTTCCCTTGTACAACTTGAGTTGACAGTGCAACACACTGTCAGTATGGTAACAACATTTCTTACTCGAATCTACCACGCAAAATAACACACTACACTGCACATGTGGTTGAAATATTCATAAAAGTCTTGAAGTGACGGGAAAATCCAGTCAAATATTAAATCCAGTCACGACTGAAGTTTTTAATCACTGCCCCTTGCATACAAGAAAGGTCTTTTTCTACAAAACTGAACACCGAAAAGTGGGGTTCATCTTATACATGAGTAAATATGGTATCAATATGTTATTATCATTTGTAATTAGTAAGAATAACACACAAATTAATATAACACAATTGAAATTTTAAATTTTGAAATCCTTTTGACAATTATAATACAAAAACTTCTTATGTTATACATTTATATACAGCACTTATCAACACATCTTGGTGCAAATGCGATTTATTTGTTCCCCGACCGGTGGACCCATATTTATTTCAGTTATCATTCTCAACTCCCTGGGGAGTATACAACCATGCCTAGCATAAAGGGTTTTTACATCCACCTCACATATTGTGTACCCATTCCCTGCTGTGAACAGAGGCACATTTGAACTAAGTCATTTGCCCAGGGTGACACCACACGTTTTGACACCTGTGTTTCGGGTGTATGTACGTATTCATGCTTCAACCATCTGATCATGAGTGAGTGGGTGAGTTTGGTTTTACGCCGCTTTTAACAATATTCCAGCAATATCATGGCGGGGGACACCAGAAATGGGCTTCACACATTTTACCCATGTCGGGAATCGAACCCGGGTCTTCGGCGTGACGAGCGAACGCTTTAACCACTAGGCTACCCGACCGCCCCCCATCTGATCATGTAAAGATGAGTGAGTTCTTTGGAGTACACAAGGTGAATGTACTGTACACTACAGTAAGTGACAAGACTGTAAAGACCTGTATACATTGTTATTCCATAGGCTGAACAACACCCTGGTTACGAGCAGGAAATGATCTCAGCTCCTGGCACTAAGGCAGCTCTCGTCCACACCAGCCCATAATATCCTATAACATGTTTTGTGAATAACAATATAGGTGGCGATTTCTCACTAATTGTACATGAAGCTGTTACACTATAACCTACATTCCTCATAGCATTCTTCAACTGTGTTGAACTTGTTGTCATTGCCGTCACATCCACCGTACACAAACTTCTCGCAGCGGTTGCTGGTGTGGTTGTAGAACCACTTGGGCATGAACGCTCGGCACATCCCTGGTTTGGGGGCCAGCTGACAGTGGGGAGGAATACTTTCAGGCTCTGTGGAATTGGTACAACAAGAAATATATAAAGAGAGTCCAACACACACTGGCCAGGGCCTTTGTTAACAAAGTCATGATTACTCTGGCTGAGAAAACATCAGGAGGCATCATGAAGAAACATGGAATGGTTTTGAGATAATAATAAACTTGTTCCTTTTAATTTACCATTTGAATAACAAATATTTTTATAAGAAACAACATATATAACATTATCAATAAATTAAAAAAGGCAAATTAACTTCCCCGGTAAGTCTAGATGTGTGCAATGTTGCATAAGAAATATTTTAAGTCCATAACGTTCCAGGACTGATGGGTAGAGACTATCATATTCAGTTTCATGTAGTTCTATGTATAACTTGCTGAGTTCTAATATCCTAGTTATACAGAAGGCATTAAATGTGGTCCTAGTTTAAATATTATGGTATTTTGCACCAATTCAAATGTGTAAGAGGTTGGTACCTACATGACCAGATGCCGGTCAAGGCTCTCATGGGGATACATGTCATCTGTGATCATGTTCCAACATACACTGCAGTCTCCAGTGAACCCGGTAATAGCACATGTTGCACCCTAGACCAGGTTGGTTATGTGTGCAAAGTTGTATGTGAAACTATTGAAAAGAATTTCAGTTATGTTTTAGTTTGCAAAATGAAGAGACAGATAATGGTGTCGCTATGTGGGGATAATACCTTAGAGCCTGATTATGGTGTCCTTGTGTGGGGATAATACCTTAGAGCCTGATTATGGTGTCGTTGTGTGGGGATACTACCTTAGAGCATGATTATGGTGTCGCTATGTGGGGATACCACCTTAGAGCCTGATTATGGTGTCCTTGTGTGGGGATACTACCTTAGAGCCTGATTATGGTGTCTTTGTGTGGGGATACTACCTTAGAGCCTGATTATGGTGTCGTTGTGTGGGGATACTACCTTAGAGCCTGATTATGGTGTCGCTATGTGGGGATACTACCTTAGAGCCTGATTATGGTGTCCTTGTGTGGGGATACTACCTTAGAGCCTGATTATGGTGTCGTTGTGTGGGGATAATACCTTAGAGCCTGATTATGGTGTCGTTGTGTGGGGATAATACCTTAGAGCCTGATTATGGTGTCCTTGTGTGAGGATAATACCTTAGAGCCTGATTATGGTGTCCTTGTGTGGGGATACTACCTTAGAGCCTGATTATGGTGTCGTTGTGTGGGGATACTACCTTAGAGCCTGATTATGGTGTCGCTATGTGGGGATACTACCTTAGAGCCTGATTATGGTGTCGTTGTGTGGGGATACTACCTTAGAGCCTGATTATGGTGTCGCTATGTGGGGATAATACCTTAGAGCCTGATTATGGTGTCGTTGTGTGGGGATACTACCTAAGAGCCTGATTATGGTGTTATGTGGAGAGCTCATCTTACCTTCCACTTGGCCAGGCTTCATGTGATCTCCCATTGTCATGTTTCTTGTCATGTTCATTGTCATGTTTCTTGTCATGTCACCCATCTTGTTCATGGTATGCTGGGCATGGGCAGTCTTCACTCGTTGACGATGCAGTTGACATTCCGTCAGTCCTGAAAGAAGAGAGGGCTATCGACTCACAAATGTGTGTGACCTATCTCCACTGCATGCATGTCAATACATGCACACAGCTACAGAGACAGGGAGAGAGAGAGAGGGAGAGAGAGAGAGAGAGAGAGAGAGAGAGAGTGTGTGTGTGTGTGTGTGTGTGTGTGTGTGTGTGTGTGTGTGTGTGTGTGTGTGTGTGTGTGTGTGTATACATGTACACAGCTAAAGGTTTGTGTATATGAGTGTGGCCTACATGTACACAGCAAAAGGTGTGTGTGTGTGCTACCTTCACTACATCCATGTACACAGCTACAGTTGTGTGTGTGACCTACCTTCACTACATACATGTACACAGCTACAGTTGTGTGTGTGCTACCTTCACTTCATCCATGTACACAGCTACAGTTGTGTGTGTGCTACCTTCACTACATCCATGTACACAGCTACAGTAATGTGTGTGACCTACCTTCACTACATCCATGTACACAGCTACAGTTGTGTGTGTGACCTACCTTCACTACATCCATGTACACAGCTACAGTTGTGTGTGTGCTACCTTCACTACATACATGTACACAGCTACAGTTGTGTGTGACCTACCTTCACTACATCCATGTACACAGCTACAGTTGTGTGTGTGCTACCTTCACTACATACATGTACACAGCTACAGTTGTGTGTGTGACCTACCTTCACTACATACATGTACACAGCTACAGTTGTGTGTGCTACCTTCACTACATCCATGTACACAGCTACAGTTGTGTGTGTGCGTGTGTTTGCCTACCCTCACAACATACATGTACACAGCTACCTTCACTGCAGTGTGTGTGTGTGTGTGTGTGTGTGTGTGTGTGTGTGTGTGTGTGTGTGTGTGTGTGTGTGTGTGTGTGTGTGTGTGTGTGTGTGTGTGTGTGAGACCTACCTTCACTGCAGTTGACCTCCCTGTTCATGTGGTCATAGAAGACAGCGCGGCAGCCACCACAGGGGTTGACCCTGCAGACAGCGGCCGGGTGGGCGGGGCACGAGTGCATGTGACACAGGCTGGCATTACAGCAGTGGGTCTTTGTACCCTGTTCACATACTGGACAAACAACAACACAGTAGTCAACATGTACATATATGTGATGCAATACAGACAGGATTACGCATAGGATAGAACCGCGAGCGAGCGACCTCAAAGTTTTACATTTTCAACCAAAACCAAAGTGGCATGTTTTATCCAACTTATGAACCACCCAAATGCAAGTAATATCAGAAGAAGAAAACATTGACATGCTTTATAGTGAAACAATACCGTGTGTCATGGTATAAAAGGAATTTGCCAAAAGCGTGGGAGAGAAAAACATGTGCAGCATGGACTAGCTGGAGTCATGACATGTTAATCTGAACAACTTCGATCCTCTGCCTCGGTAGCTCAGTGGGAAAACAGTGGGTTACGAAACTTAAGACGATATATGTGGTTGCAGGTTTGATTCACGTCATGGAATTTTAATGTAAAAATAATTGTGACTTTTAACCAATCATCAAACACAAATGTGTTCACAAGAGGCAAGTTTTTCAAACGTAAATTGTAAAACCAAGGTATTACAACTGAGAAGTAAAACCTCAAAGTAGGTTTAAAAGTGACCCATTTCAAAAGTCATCAAAGGTATTCCGATTCCATGATTCAAAACAGATACTAAGGTCATGAAACATGACACCTAAACAGTCATACATACTTGGTGGAAGATCCATTTCCCCTTCCGGCTGAGAGGTTTCAGGTTTTCCCATATCAGGAACTGGAAAACATAGGCAGCATTATCGCATATACGACTGAACGAAGCAAGTAAGACATCTTTAGTCTCTAGTCAAGTTTTATTGTGAAATAAAAAGGATTTTATTCCAGTGATGACTTACTGTAACTACAGTCTGCATATCCCCTGACTAATGTGTTTGGTATTTTGCGTCCATGAGAATCCACACACCAACAGATTCCATAGCTATCCAGACACTGTTGGGATCTCCATGTTCCGTTGTAGTTACATCTGCAAATAGCAATATTTGAATGCATTGCCTTAACTCATACTGTTAATGCACATGGTTTACCTGAAGGGGGAGAACAGTGGTCATAAGAATATTGTTTTTAAATGAGGGGAAGACAAAAGGACAGAATATGGACAGAGGCTGTAACATGGGAATTGAGGTCATGGGGCAGTATTATTTACCTAGGGATGGAGGTGATGGGGCAGTATTATTTACCTGGGGATGGAGGTGATGGGGCAGTATTATTTACCTAGGGATGGAGGTGATGGGGCAGTATTATTTACCTGGGGATGGAGGTGATGGGGCAGTATTATTTACCTAGGGATGGAGATGATGGGGCAGTATTATTTACCTGGAGATGGAGGCCATGGGGCAGTATTATTTACCTGGGGATGGAGGTCATGGGGCAGTATTACTTACCTGAGTATGGAGGTGATGGGGCAGTATTATTCACCTAAGTATTGAGGTCATGGGGCAGTATTATTTACCTAGGGATGGAAGTGATGGGGCAGTCTTATTAACTTAGGGATGGAGGTCATGGGGCAGTATTATTTACCTAGGGATGGAGGTCATGGGGCAGTATTATTCACCTGGGGATGGAGGTCATGGGGCAGTATTATTTACCTGAGTATGGAAGTGATGGGGCAGTATTATTTACCTAGGGATGGAGGTCATGAGGCAGTATTATTCACCTGGGGATGGAGGTCATGGGGCAGTATTATTCACCTGGGGATGGAAGTGATGGGGCAGTCTTATTTACCTAGGGATGGAGGTCATGGGGCAGTATCATTTACCTAGGGATGGAAGTGATGGGGCAGTCTTTTTTATCTGGGGATGGAGGTCATGGGGCAGTATTATTTACCTAGGGATGGAGGTCATGGGGCAGTATTATTCACCTGAGTATTGAGGTCATGGGGCAGTATTATTTACCTAGGGATGGAAGTGATGGGGCAGTCTTATTTATCTGGGGATGGAGGTCATGGGGCAGTATTATTTACCTAGGGATGGAGGTCATGGGGCAGTATTATTCACCTGGGGATGGAGGTCATGGGGCAGTATTATTCACCTGGGGATGGAAGTGATGGGGCAGTCTTATTTACCTAGGGATGGAGGTCATGGGGCAGTATTATTTACCTAGGGATGGAAGTGATGGGGCAGTCTTATTTATCTGGGGATGGAGGTCATGGGGCAGTATTATTTATCTAGGGATGGAGATGATGGGGCAGTATTATTCACCTGGGGATGGAGGTCATGGGGCAGTATTATTTACCTGGGGATGGAGGTGATGAGGTAGTATTATTTACCTGGGGATGCAGGTCATTTTGCAGTTTTATTAATATGGGGAGGGAGATCATAGGGCAGTATTATTTACCTAGGGATGGAGTTGATGGGGCAGTATTATTGATATTGGGATGGAGATCATAGGGCAGAATTATTTCTCTGAGCATGGAGGTCATGGAGCAGTATGATTTACCTGGGGATGGAGATCATAGGGCAGCCTCCCTTGTGATGCTGAAGTTTCAGGTGAGCCTCCCTTAGCTTCATGTGGCATGTCTGTGTCACTGAAACAACAAAGGTGATATCTCCACTCACATTCTCTGGTACAAGACAGACGTGGCCGCAGTTGTCTGGGTATTGCTAATGGAAGGACAACTCACTCTCTGGTACAAGACAGACGTGGCCACAGCTGTCCGGGTATTGCTAATGGAAGGACAACTCACTCTCTGGTACAAGACAGACGTGGCCACAGCTGTCTGGGTATTGCTAATGGAAGGACTACTCACTCTCTGGTACAAGACAGACGTGGCCACAGCTGTCTGGGTATTGCTAATGGAGAGACTACTCACTCTCTGGTACAAGACAGACGTGGCCACAGCTGTCTGGGTATTGCTAATGGAAGGACTACTCACTCTCTGGTACAAGACAGACGTGGCCACAGTTGTCTGGGTATTGCTAATGGAGGGACTACTCACTCTCTGGTACAAGACAGACATGGCCACAGCTGTCTGGGTATTGCTAATGGAGGGACTACTCACTCTCTGGTACAAGACAGACGTGGCCACAGTTGTCTGGGTATTGCTAATGGAAGGACTACTCACTCTCTGGTACAAGACAGACGTGGCCACAGTTGTCTGGGTATTGCTAATGGAGGGACTACCGGTACTCACTCTCTGGTACAAGACAGACATGGCCACAGCTGTCTGGGTATTGCTAATGGAAGGACACTCACTCTCTGGTACAAGACAGACATGGCCACAGCCATTGGAGCAGCAGCGAGTGTTGCCCATACATTCGGAGTCAGATTTACATTCATCCTGGCATGTAGCGAAGTAGTTGGGCTGAGGCTTGCGGCACTCGCCGGGCTTACAGCGAGCTGAAAGTACATAGTCAAGATCATAGCACATAGTAGCATTGCTGGCTAAATGTAGTCACATACAAAAGGAGGGAAATTGTTGTGGGTAGACCACCTATTTACAGTACCTATCAGTAGGGTAGCTGAGAGTTAGAATTTATATTTTATATAGTGTAATAGGAACGGCTGTCACAAACAGTGTCTCATGCTTTGCGTTGTGTACATCATTCTTAACCTACAGCCGACCTATTTCCCAGTTCTTTTGGGATGTAGAGGAGTGATTAGAAAAATAAATAAACAAAATCAGAGTAACAAAATATATAGTTTATTCAATAAATCAAAGAAACTCAAATTATAAACCTAACCCCCACCCTGTAAAATCCTAACATTACCCAACATGCTGTTTTGACTACTTTTCTACCTAGCCAGTTTGCCCTACATCCATCTTAAGATAATCCTGCATCCCTGCTATGCACTGCACTTCCGTAAAATGTCACCCGCCCCGCCCACTATCTTACTGGTTTCCCAAAGAGTCTTAACTCTACCAAATTCCTCTCATATTTTATTTAAGAAGATTTGGACATAGATCCCTCACAGATCTACTGGGAACTAGCTCCGTCACGGAGTTAAGAGTGGTGCGGTCACCTCACCTGTATCGATCAACCGATAACGCAAGACAGTCTACCCCAGGTGTCAAGCCCCCTTATATTTACCGCGCCAACCAACCTTGACCCCTTCCCACACCCATCCTAAACGCGATTGGTCAACAATCCGCCTGTCACCCAATCAGAATGCTACTATCAGACGCTCTGACCGGAACTTGAAACTAAAATGCACCCACGTGCAGACCATGCGATAGGAACCCAGCTGGAAATAAACATTTCCCCCATTCCACTGCCAAAAGGTAAGTTTTAAAGGAATATAAAGGTGGTAAATTGACTACGAGTCACCGGGAGTATACTGCATATGTTACGGTATTATTTTTAATAAAACTGTAGTTAATTTTTCATTACTGAAAATACGTTTCTGTCACATAGTAACATCAGATATAAGGTAATTTCATGCAGGATGGTTTTGATGATACATCAATACTTGAGAACAGATATATTTATGCTGGCTTAACATGAATAACATGAGACCTTTCTGTGACACATTTCCCTTAAACTGACTGTGACAGTGTGTTTCTTCTCGGAAATAGCAATCAGCTGTACATACATTTTCTCCAAATCTACCGGTGATTCAGTTAAAAAGTACCCAATGATACAACTTCTTGTATGCAATGGTTGGAAGAAATTGTATCTGAAAAAATAATTTTATCAGGAATAATATCGTGTTGTTTTAGTTGCAGCTTTTACTATATATATATTTCAAGCGTAGCACTTTGGTACAGCTGATTGCTATGGCAGGATATGATTACGTATGGAACAATTTGACCAGTCACCGTAGGGACTTCCCACACTATGTGTATTTCGATGGCGAAAACGTTTTGTTGACATATAATAGACAAATTGCCACAAATATGACTTTTAACGAGTCAAAGTATGGCATTAATGAGTATCCATTCTCTGTCAACTACAGTTTGTTTCAAGGTGTCAATAGCGGTAATCTGACCGTGGTTGCTGTAAATAACAGTGAGTTGTGCGATGTACCGATCACTTTACAAACAATTTCACCAAAATTGGTGTAAACAATATTGAACAAAATTTTTAAAAATTAATAAAATATATCACAAGCATAAGTCCAGATAAACAATAAACACAATCTTATAACCAGATAGTATAATAATGGGATTAAATTGCAAACTTCAGATCGTATTTGTTGACTGGTATTTCCGGTGTTGCATGCTTACAGTGATCAGCTGATAATGTTTTTGGAGATGAGGGAAAAGTCATTGTTTCAGTGTAAATCAAGTTTAATAAAAATGTAAGTCAATTTTGGCAGCTATATGTCACCGCGAGCTATAACCGAGATAGCACCATATTGAAGGACGCAAAAGCGAGGGAACACTGTAACGAAATACATGTCGCTCATATCATAAATAGATGACATGTCTGTTACAGAAATAAACAGGAAGTACACTTGCGCAGCAGGTATCGAAACTCAGGAGATAATTAAAAAGTATATATTGTTTGTCGTAAGAATCTTGTTACTGATGCTTAGATGTCAAAGCGATAGTGAACAGCTGATGAATGATTTTGTGAGGGAAATGGCTGACATTACACAGTGGCTGACATTTTAAGTTTTTGATCAGGGATGGTGGGTTTAACAATAAAAGAAACATGATTTAATTAACAAACAGTTAAAAAAATGTTTTCTCATAATCAGTATTTAAAAAAAAGAAAACAAACCACAAGACGCATGGCTGAGTGAGTTTGAATGGTGGAGGTGAATATAGATGGCAAGGTCTCTGAAGTATTTTGTTCTGTCTGTCCTAAATGATAACTGAGAACATAAAACTTTATGAAATTTAACAGGAAAAGTGAAAATAGGACGAGTACAAAATATTATCTACTTGCTCCGCAGGACAAGTTGGGTTTAAGAAATTTTGAGCCCTGCTGTGACATCATCAGTGTATGTGACATCATCTCTGCCAGTGTATGTAAGGTCATCATTAATGGTAGTGAACATGACAGTGACGTCATCAGTGCCAGTGTATGTAAGGTCATCATTAATGGTAGTGAACGTGACAGTGACGTCATCAGTGCCAGTGTATGTAAGGTCATCATTAATGGTAGTGAACGTGACAGTGACGTCATCACTGCCAGTGTATGTAATGTCATCATTAATGGTAGTGAACGTGACAGTGACGTCATCAGTGCCAGTGTTTGTAACGTCATCATTAATGGTTAGTGAACGTGACAGTGATGTCATCACTGCCAGTGTATGTAAGGTCATCATTAATGGTAGTGAACGTGACAGTGACGTCATCAGTGCCAGTGTATGTAAGGTCATCATCAACGGTAGTGAACGTGACAGTGATGTCATCAGTGCCAGTGTTTGTAACGTCATCATTAATGGTAGTGAACGTGACAGTGATGTCATCACTGCCAGTGTATGTAATGTCATCATTAATGGTAGTGAACGTGACAGTGACGTCATCAGTGCCAGTGTATGTAAGGTCATCATCAACGGTAGTGAACGTGACAGTGACGTCATCACTGCCAGTGTATGTAAGGTCATCATTAATGGTAGTGAACGTGACAGTGACGTCATCAGTGCCAGTGTATGTAAGGTCATCATCAACGGTAGTGAACGTGACAGTGACGTCATCACTGCCAGTGTATGTAAGGTCATCATTAATGGTAGTGAACGTGACAGTGACGTCATCAGTGCCAGTGTATGTAAGGTCATCATCAACGGTAGTGAACGTGACAGTGACGTCATCACTGCCAGTGTATGTAATGTCATCATTAATGGTAGTGAACGTGACAGTGACGTCATCAGTGCCAGTGTATGTAACGTCATCATTAATGGTAGTGAACGTGACAGTGACGTCACCAGTGCCAGTGTATGTAAGGTCATCATGAATGGTAGTGAACGTGACAGTGACGTCATCAGTGCCAGTGTATGTAAGGTCATCATTAATGGAAGTGAACGTGACAGTGACGTCATCAGTGCCAGTGTATGTAAGGTCATCATTAATGGTAGTGAACTTGACAGTGACGTCATCAGTGCCAGTGTATGTAACGTCATCATTAATGGTAGTGAACTTGACAGTGACATCATCAGTGCCAGTGTATGTAAGGTCATGATTAATGGTAGTGAACGTGACAGTGACGTCATCAGTGCCAGTGTATGTAAGGTCATCATTAATGGTAGTGAACGTGACAGTGACGTCATCAGTGCCAGTGTATGTAAGGTCATCATTAATGGTAGTGAACGTGACAGTGACACCATCACTGGCAGTGTATGTAGTTTCATCATTAATGGTAGTGAGGGTGACAGTGACGTCATCAGTGCCAGTGTATGTAAGGTCATCATGAATGGTAGTGAACGTGACAGTGACATCATCAGTGCCAGTGTATGTAAGGTCATCATGAATGGTAGTGAACGTGACAGTGACGTCATCACAGACTTCATCAGTATCTGTGACTGATGGTGGACTGGCTTACATCTGTTGGTCCCGCACTGACTGCAGCATTCCTCAAGGCTGTTGAAGTTGTTGTTGTTTCCCTGGCAACCACCATATGTGAAGCGTTGACACTGCTCTGATGTCCTGTTGAAGAAGTACCTGGGCATCATTGCCTTGCATGGGCCTGGCTCCTTGGGTTCATGGCAGACATTCAGAGGCACAGCTGAAACACAGGCACACGTTGGTCCCATGCATACACACTATAAGTTGGAGCAGGATCGCTCGGGGTACACAGGGTTTTATGTGTCCTGCATTAGGTTTTATACCAAAAGTAACGAGTGATTTTGCTGCAATGAATTTATCTTACTGACATGTTTCAATCTGCCATTGTCTCTAGTTTGGGTGGAGTAAATAATTTGGGGGTTCATAAAAAAATGTTACAATGGGGGAACTATGAACAAATGGGGGGTTGTAAGCAAAATACGAAACAGTCCCAAGACCTATCTCATTGTTGCCATTACAATTGGGCAATACTTACTCTCTCTAGGGTTCGACTTACTCTCTCTATGGCAGGCACACCTTCTCTAGGGCAGGCACACCTTCTCTAGGGCAGAACTTACTTTCTCTAGGGCAGGCATACCCTTTCTAAGGCAGGCATACCCTCTCTAAGGCAGGCATACCCTCTCTATGGCAGGCACACCTTCTCTAGGGCAGAACTTACTTTCTCTAGGGCAGGCATACCCTCTCTAAGGCAGGCATACCCTCTCTATGGCAGGCACACCTTCTCTAGGGCAGAACTTACTTTCTCTAGGGCAGGTATACCCTCTCTAAGGCAGGCATACCCTCTCTATGGCAGGCACACCTTCTCTAGGGCAGAACTTACTTTCTCTAGGGCAGGCATACCCTCTCTATGGCAGGCACACCTTCTCTAGGACAGAACTTACTTTCTCTAGGGCAGGCATACCCTCTCTATGGCAGGCACACCTTTTCTAGGACAGAACTTACTTTCTCTAAGGCAGGCATACCCTCTCTATGGCAGGCACACCTTCTCTAGGACAGAACTTACTTTCTCTAGGGCAGGCATACCCTCTCTAGGGCAGGCATACCCTCTCTATGGCAGGCACACCTTTTCTAAGACAGAACTTACTTTCTCTAAGGCAGGCATACCCTCTCTATGGCAGGCACACCTTCTCTAGGACAGAACTTACTTTCTCTAAGGCAGGCATACCCTCTCTAAGGCAGGCATACCCTCTCTAAGGCATGCATACCCTCTCCAGGACAGAACTTACTTTCTCTAAGGCAGGCATACCCTCTCCAGGACAAAACTTATTTTCTCTAGGGCAGGATGTTCTCTCTCGAGGGTAGGACTTACTTTCTTTAGGACAGCAGAAGGATGGTCCATCCATAGGATCCACATTACACTCATAACCCTCAGGGCATAAAGGCTGTCCTCGTCCACAGTAGACCGTAGAGCCATTGGGGTGATGGTACTCCACTCCCACTCTGCATTTCTTGTTGCCTTCATCAACTGCAACAAATAACATGCACATTACAACGGATAAAACCACTGAATAATATATTTTGTTGTGCTCAAAAATAAACCTAAACCCCTCAATTGGAGCTACAGACCTCAATCTGTATGTCTCTCAACATAGGATGATGCCCACTATGTGTTGGCATAGTGCAGTAACTGAGCTATGTCTTACCTGTAGGCAGTGTGCAGTAACTGAGCTATGTGTTACCTGTAGGCAGAGTGCCCCAACTGAGCTGTGTGTTACCTGTAGGCAGAGTGCCCCAACTGAGGTATGTGTTACCTGTAGGCAGAGTGCCCCAACTGAGGTATGTGTTACCTGTAGGCAGAGTGCCCCAACTGAGCTATGTGTTACCTGTAGGCAGAGTGCCCCAACTGAGCTGTGTGTTACCTGTAGGCAGAGTGCCCCAACTGAGGCGTGTGTTACCTGTAGGCAGAGTGCCCCAACTGAGGTATGTGTTACCTGTAGGCAGAGTGCCCCAACTGAGCTATGTGTTACCTGTAGGCAGAGTGCCCCAACTGAGCTGTGTGTTACCTGTAGGCAGAGTGCCCCAACTGAGCTGTGTGTTACCTGTAGGCAGAGTGCCACAACTGAGCTATGTGTTACCTGTAGGCAGAGCGCCCCATATGAGCTGTATTACCTGTAGGCAGAGTGCCACAACTGAGCTATGTGTTACCTGTAGGCAGAGTGCCACAACTGAGCTATGTGTTACCTGTAGGCAGAGTGCCCCAACTGAACTATGTGTTACCTGTAGGCAGAGTGTCCCATCTGAGCTGTATTACCTGTAGGCAGAGTGCCCCAACTGAGCTGTGTGTTACCTGTAGGCAGAGTGCCCCATCTGAGCTATGTGTTACCTGTAGGCAGAGTGCCCGATCTGAGCTTGGTTACCTTTAGGCAGTGTGCACCTCCGTCCGCAGCCAGTCTGACAACACTTTCTATCCTCAGTGCAGTTTCTGTCAGTCCTGCAGTAGTCCTTGCAGTAACGCTGGTTCCCACTTGGCCTCACCATGGGACACATGCCAGGCTTCTCTGAAAACAACATAAATTTCATACATCTTGTGTTTCTGCACAACTTCCCATTTCAAGTATGTAAGCTCATCATGATTACTTGTGCTAATAGTAGTTACTATCCCTAATAGGAGTGTTTATACCTTAATAATTTATGAAACATGCTTGGACTAGTAGGATAATGCCACCAGAAAGTCCTGTCCATGAGAGAGGTGATAGTGCTACAAGTACTTCCTGTCCATGAGAGAGGTGATAGTGCTACCAGTACTTCCTGTCCACGAGAGGAGGGATAGTGCTACCAGTACTTCCTGTCCACGAGAGGGGTGATAGTGCTACCAGTAATTCCTGTCCACGAAAGGGGTGAAAGTGCTACCAGTAATTTCTGTCCAAGAGAGGGGTGATAGTGCTACCAGTAATTCCTGTTCACGAGAGGGGTGATAGTGCTACCAGTAATTCCTGTCCATGAGAGAGGTGATAGTGCTACCAGTATTTCCTGTCCATATGAGATCTGATAGTGCTACCAGTAATTCCTGTCCATGAGAGATCTGATAGTGCTACCAGTACTTCCTGTCTATGAGAGGGGTGATAGTGCTACCAGTAATTCCTGTCCATGAGAGAGGTGATAGTGCTACCAGTACTTCCTGTCCATGAGAGGGGTGATAGTGCTACCAGTAATTCCTGTCCATGAGAGAGGTGATACTGCTACCAGTACTTCCTGTCCATGAGAGGGGTGATAGTGCTACCAGTAATTCCTGTCCATGAGAGAGGTGATAATGCTACCAGTAAGTCTTGTCCATGAGAGAGGTGATAGTGCTACAAGTACTTCCTGTCCATGAGAGGGGTGATAGTGCTACCAGTAATTCCTGTCCATGAGAGGGGTGATAGTGCTACCAGTAATTCCTGTCCACGAGAGAGGTGATAATGCTACCAGTAATTCCTGTCCACAAGAGGGGTGATAGTGCTACCAGTGATTCCTGTCCACGAGAGGGGTGATAGTGCTACCAGTAATTCCTGTCCACGAGAGGGGTGACAGTGCTCCCAGTAATTCCTGTCCACAAGAGGGGTCATAGTGCTACCAGTAATTCCTGTCCATGAGAGGGGTGATAATGCTACCAGTAATTCCTGTCCACGAGAGAGGTGATAGTGCTACCAGTATTTCCTGTCCACGAGAGGGGTGATAGTGCTACCAGTAATTCCTGTCCATGAGAGGGGTGATAGTGCTACCAGTAATTCCTGTCCATGAGAGAGGTGATAGTGCTACCAGTAATTCCTGTCCACGAGAGGGGTGACAGTGCTACCAGTACTTCCTGTCCATGAGAGGGGTGATAGTGCTACCAGTAATTCCTGTCCATGAGAGAGGTGATACTGCTACCAGTACTTCCTGTCCATGAGAGAGGTGATAGTGCTACCAGTAATTCCTGTCCATGAGAGAGGTGATAATGCTACCAGTAAGTCCTGTCCATGAGAGAGGTGATAGTGCTACAAGTACTTCCTGTCCATGAGAGGGGTGATAGTGCTACCAGTAATTCCTGTCCATGAGAGGGGTGATAGTGCTACCAGTAATTCCTGTCCACGAGAGAGGTGATAATGCTACCAGTAATTCCTGTCCACAAGAGGGGTGATAGTGCTACCAGTGATTCCTGTCCACGAGAGGGGTGATAGTGCTACCAGTAATTCCTGTCCACGAGAGGGGTGACAGTGCTCCCAGTAATTCCTGTCCACAAGAGGGGTCATAGTGCTACCAGTAATTCCTGTCCATGAGAGAGGTGATAGTGCTACCAGTAATTCCTGTCCACGAGAGGGGTGATAATGCTACCAGTAATTCCTGTCCACGAGAGAGGTGATAGTGCTACCAGTATTTCCTGTCCACGAGAGGGGTGATAGTGCTACCAGTAATTCCTGTCCATGAGAGGGGTGATAGTGCTACCAGTAATTCCTGTCCATGAGAGAGGTGATAGTGCTACCAGTAATTCCTGTCCACGAGAGGGGTGACAGTGCTACCAGTACTTCCTGTCCATGAGAGGGGTGATAGTGCTACCAGTACTTCCTGTCCACGAGAGAGGTGATAATGCTACTAGTAATTCCTGTCCACGAGAGAGGTGATAATGCTACCAGTAATTCCTGTCCACGAGAGGGGTGATAGTGCTACCAGTAATTCCTGTTCACGAGAGAGGTGATAATGCTACCAGTACTTCCTGTCCATATGAGATCTGATAGTGCTACCAGTAATTCCTGTCCATAAGAGAGGTGATAGTGCTACCAGTACTTCCTGTCCATGAGAGAGGTGATACTGCTACCAGTACTTCCTGTCCATGAGAGGGGTGATAGTGCTACCAGTAATTCCTGTCCACGAGAGAGGTGATAATGCTACCAGTAAGTCCTGTCCATGAGAGAGGTGATAGTGCTACAAGTACTTCCTGTCCATGAGAGGGGTGATAGTGCTACCAGTAATTCCTGTCCATGAGAGGGGTGATAGTGCTACCAGTAATTCCTGTCCACGAGAGAGGTGATAATGCTACCAGTAATTCCTGTCCACGAGAGGGGTGATAATGCTACCAGTACTTCCTGTCCACAAGAGGGGTGATAGTCACTCAGTGGTGCGGAAAATTTAAAATCCCAATCAGACATTTGCATTTAGGCTGCGCCCCCTTCAAATAGCGTATTTTAGTACGACTTTTCACACACAATACAAGTTTACGTATTCATAATATGATGAATTATGAATTGTTTCAATTTAAATTGTTTAATTCACCTGACAATTAATAACAAATAGTATCATTTTAGATTTACATGGAAAACATACGTTTATTTCTGTTATAATAACGATCTGTTAACGTAGTGAACGGTCTAATTAATATTCATGAGTTATATTCATGAGTCTGCCCAAGTGTACGCGTTGTAACATTTGGATCGAGACTATTATCCCATATTTGGTTATCACGTGACCTCATGGGAAAAGTGTTTTTTTAAACTAAAGATTTTTTTAAAAACAAGACAGATAATTTAATCACAAATACTAAAATATCGTTGATAGCAATAGTTATTTGAATACTTTTTTCATCTGTACTTAATTATTGACCATAAAAAAATTGGATATCGATCGTCCGAGAAAGCAAAATGGCGGTCAATCAAGATTCAATATACGACTAGCTACTGAAAACAATAAAATCTGCAAATCCTCATTGTATGTCAACCAAGTGAAAGTCGTTAGCCACGACTTACAAAATGATCGTCCAGACTTTGAGGGTTTGGCAGATCCGCTCGACTGATCTGCATCGGTCGACTGGCTGTCGTCACGCTTTCGCTTCTTGTCTGAGGTTACGTATCGTAGCATTGTGAGGGTAATGAGGTACATCGATGATGCAAGGTATTAATGTACAGTTGTAAACACCTTTCACTCAAATTAACAAGATGTTCTCAGTAATTAATCCGCGATTAATCAGTGTCAACTCAGTTTATTGCCTATTACAGTGATTGACCGATTGGACTATCATGTAGGTACGATGTATTTACAGCAATCAAAACAAACAAAGCTTGTCAGTGTAGTTAATCTTCCTTGTGTTGCAACTGCAGACAAAAACTGCTCAGTCCTAACTGTTGATCATGTCCAGTCAAAATTTAAGAATGTCCGGACAATACTTTTTAAAATGTCCGGTAAGCAATATTTTAAAACGGACATTTGAGATTCCAAATCGGACATGTCCGGCGCATATGACGGTTTCCGGACCCCTGGTGCTACCAGTGATTCCTGTCCACGAGAGGGGTGATAGTGCTACCAGTAATTCCTGTCCACGAGAGGGGTGATAGTGCTACCAGTATTTCCTGTCCACGAGAGGGGTGATAGTGCTACCAGTAATTCCTGTCCACGAGAGGGGTGATAGTGCTACCAGTAATTCCTGTCCATGAGAGAGGTGATAGTGCTACCAGTAATTCCTGTCCACGAGAGGGGTGATAGTGCTACCAGTACTTCCTGTCCACGAGAGAGGTGATAATGCTACTAGTAATTCCTGTCCACGAGAGAGGTGATAATGCTACCAGTAATTCCTGTCCACGAGAGGGGTGATAGTGCTACCAGTAAATCCTGTTCACGAGAGAGGTGATAATGCTACCAGTACTTCCTGTCCATATGAGATCTGATAGTGCTACCAGTAATTCCTGTCCATGAGAGAGGTGATAGTGCTACCAGTACTTCCTGTCCATGAGAGGGGTGATAGTGCTACCAGTAATTCCTGTCCATGAGAGAGGTGATAGTGCTACCAGTATTTCCTGTCCACGAGAGGGGTGATAGTGCTACCAGTATTTCCTGTCCACGAGAGGGGTGATAGTGCTACCAGTAATTCCTGTCCATGAGAGAGGTGATAGTGCTACCAGTAATTCCTGTCCACGAGAGGGGTGATAGTGCTACCAGTACTTCCTGTCCACGAGAGAGGTGATAATGCTACTAGTAATTCCTGTCCACGAGAGAGGTGATAATGCTACCAGTAATTCCTGTCCACGAGAGGGGTGATAGTGCTACCAGTAAATCCTGTTCACGAGAGAGGTGATAATGCTACCAGTACTTCCTGTCCATATGAGATCTGATAGTGCTACCAGTAATTCCTGTCCATGAGAGAGGTGATAGTGCTACCAGTACTTCCTGTCCATGAGAGGGGTGATAGTGCTACCAGTAATTCCTGTCCATGAGAGAGGTGATAGTGCTACCAGTATTTCCTGTCCACGAGAGGGGTGATAGTGCTACCAGTAATTCCTGTCCACAAGAGGGGTCATAGTGCTACCAGTAATTCCTGTCCATGAGAGAGGTGATACTGCTACCAGTAATTCCTGTCCACGAGAGGGGTGATAGTGCTACCAGTAATTCCTGTCAATGAGAGGGGTGCTTGATACTTGTAAATAGAAACTTTTTTTTTTGAAAATTGGAAATTTTAGCATTATTTGTATTTTCATATACTTATCTTTTCTTACACTATGCTTTTTTTTTTTTATCCTATGTGGAAACGTGTTTGAACCCCAGGTCTTTGAAAGGCATTTAGAAGTGATACACATAAGGTAGAGAATTTATTGATGTCAACTTACTAAGACAACAAAAGGTGGAAAATAGCAAAAGCATTCGCTCCAGCACACCCCAGCATCTGCATGGATACGACCAACAACTGGGTTAACTTGCTCTCGTGCTCGGTAACATTCCACTCTTTGACCACATGCATCTCTCTACTCTTATTCACTTTCGTAGAGGTATCAGGCTAAAGGAACTGAGATGCAGGGATGGTCGGGTGTGATTTCCAATCTTTAAGCGTTTCCTATCTCACACTATGTATTTAATCCCATGGTAGGATAGAAGGCCACAGATACCCTAGCCTGTATAGACTACAACCGTGAGATACACACAAGGAAGCTGGATGATGACCCAAAACATTACGCGAAACAACATGAGATCGGGAATACATGCCACATGTGTTTCATGTTTGTTGTCATTCAAAAAGTGACCGCATAGCTGCATGTAAACGCATAGATGAATCAGCTGACAACTTAGATTGACCCTGGTTTGTTCTACATGTATGGAATCTTTAAACATGTCACAGCACTATCTCCGACAGACAATAGGATGCGACTGTTCATCATCTCTTTTAACACTACAACAAGGGGCCAATCTCTATAGTTGGAAGGGCATCTCAAGTGGGAACCAGCTGAAGCCTGGTCACCCAAAGTTGACCTTGACCTTGATTCATGTGAGTATTACCAAGGTCTCCATCGCCTGGCGTGCACGAACTTGGCATCGATGTGAACGATCGTGTTCTGAGGAACGTCGAGAGCATCAGTCCAATCCTGAATGCTGATCCTTAGAGCGGGAGAGTGGCTCCCGATCCTCAGACCCCTGATCGTCGATCCCATGTGGCTTCCTACTAACAATCCTGAGATAGATGATTGGGAGTGGTCGGATGAGAAGCCTTGGAAGGACTGGTCAGATTATCATTCCTCCCACGATCATGCGAGTGTGACAATTCTAAGAATGGGATCTTGAACAGAGAAGCGTTCACCGTACTTGACTCAGGAATGGTGAGTAACACGGATCTGCGGTCTAGCATATCTGTACGGATGCACATCTAGATGTTGAATAAGTTCATCTGCATTTTTCACAAGTTGGGCGAGGTTTGTCCTTCTTTCCCATGTTGTAGACAGTCTCAAACCACAAAAATAAGTCAAAGCAATCGGACACACACAGTGGGGATTAGAAAGAGAATGAGTTGGTAGAGAGACGCATGTGGTCAAAACGTGGAAGGTTACTGTGCGCAAGAGCACGTAATTGACCCAGTTGTTCATCGTAACCAAAGAGATGCTGGGGTGTGTTCGGGTGAATTTTTTGGTTTTAGAAGATTGAAACAGTGTTCAAGCACATTTCCACATAGGACCGAAGAAGAAGAAGAAGAAAGAGAAAGGATCGGTTTAAACATTAAAACAAGAGTCCTCAGAATAGGAAAAACAGTAAATGTAAACAGTAAAATCAGGAATTCTAAATTCAATTTACAGTAATATTGTAACTGTTGACTAAAACAGACCTTTCCCAGCACAACTCTGGTTGCATGCACTTTCTGTCATGAACTTGTTCTGGTTTCCATGGCAACCTCTGTACAGGAAGAGTTTGCACCTCCCCAGTGTGGAGTTGTAGTAGTAATAGTTGGACCATGTCTGCTCTGTGGCGTCACACCACTGTCCAGGGTTGGGGGTCAGCCGACAGACGTCACTGTGGCCTGTAGCAGACAAGACACACACACTTACATAGTTTGCAGTCAGGTGTACAGCAGGTTCAGGGTGTCTTGGGTGAAACATAAACACAGGTTTACTTGTCAGATACACAGTCATTTCAATTGCCATAAAAGAACTGCTTTTTTCTATCAGTACACAGTTAAATATGGAGATTTTTTATTGAAACAATACAATGTATAACATTCTAGCAATACTGCTCGCTGATAGTCTCATATTAGCATCAGACATTCTCCACAACTATTGTGTAACCAGGGATATAGACATGGCTGAAATAAAGATTATTTCATTCAGAAATGGCTGCTGACTGTCACAATGTTTGCAAGGTTTAATAAACAGCTTACACCTCACCTCGTATGTTAGTGAGTGAGCGATTTGGGTTTAATGCCGCTTTGATGCCCTTCCCTCACCCACACCCTTTCCTCTTCCACACCCTTCCCTCTCCCACACCCTTCCCTCACCCACAAACCTTCCCTCTCCCCCACCCTTCCCTCTCCCCAACCCTTCCCTCACCCACACCCTTCCCTCTCCCCCACCCTTCCCTCTCCCACACCCTTCCCTCTTCCACACCCTTCTGTCACCCCCACCCTTCCCTCACCCTCACCCTTCCCTCACCCACACCCTTCCCTCACCAACAAACCTTCCCTCACCCACACCCTTCCCTCACCCACACCCTTCCCTCTCCCACACCCTTCCCTCACCCACACCCTTCCCTCACCCTCACCCTTCCTCACCCACACCCTTCCCTCACCCACAACCTTCCTACATATTGTCATCTTCCTGAGGCAAGGGAGTTAACTCACTATAAAAGTCCAGTTTCCACCCTTGCCGAACTAGGCTGGTATTATTGAGTTACATTTTGGATGGACTAACGAGTCTATGCATAGTCCGATCAAAATTGCGCAACGAAATCGAAATCCAGTCCGTAAACTGCCGTGCAGATTTCCGTTGATTGCAGGATTTGCAAAAGATGTGCACCACCAAAGCCTTGTCAACAGATATTTTCCAAATCTTTTCATGTATTTAATCAAGATGCTCACATGTTTTGATGCACTTCGCGATGCAAGACCCATTTTATCACAATATAGATCTTGATTATTGATTAGATTGCCGCCATTTTGTTTGAAGCAAATGCAAGTTATACAAGAGGTGGAATCTGATTGGTCCACAGGAGAGGCTTAGAAGGGACATAACTCATAATAGCCACTGGTGGCACTACGATCGAGGAATTCCAGCTTAGTTCGGCAAGGGTGGAAACTGGACTTTTAAAGTCAGTTTACTCTCATGCCTCGGGAAGATGATATATTGTATGGTAGTGAAGAATAACTTTCGAAGGAGAAACACTAAAAGCATAAGCATTAATATTCCGGGGAGTCTTGGGAATTTGTATAGAGACTAGATATATTTCTGCTTCATCAGCAAAACCAGATATTTCCTAATTTATGCTATGAGTCTATGATAAAATCCCAGGCCCCCCAGATCAAATGGTCAGACCCTTACACTTTATGGAGAATCCTGAGAACTGCTGTGATACCAGTCTGGACCTATAGTTACTATGATACCACTCAATACAACATGTACAGTGCACTTAGGGTCAGATGACCAAAGCCTTGAAACTGAACAAGTACATACCCTGGAGGTCAATACAGCATACATGCTTGCCATAGGCAACGTTTTTACACTCGTACCCAGTTGGGCACTGCCTTGACCGTGGATCGCAGGCCCTGGCATGACCGCTCGTGTCATACAGTCGGTGGCCTGCCTCACAGTGAATGTCTGCAAGAGAGATCGGCATATGTCATTTGGAGCTACAGTACAGTTGAAATGTAGTAGAGTAAAGTGTTATCCATCTTTATTGAGGACTCTTAGTCCTGGGGAGGTTTCACCATTAATACCAGACCAGATTAAACACAAAACAGTGTGTGTTACCTCCAACAGCATTTAGCTGATTCTGTGGCCTGAAGCCTGAAACACTGCAAGCCCTGTACACTAATGACCTCTTCAAAGTGAATGTGGACCTGACAAGGTTTAAAGTTGACTGACACTAACATGCAAAAGCATTGAGACATATCACAGGTGTCTGCATCCAATCATTCTTACCCATTATACCCTGAACCTTACTGAGCGCTGAACTTAATATTGAGAGTGATGTTCAGCTTCAGCGTTACCACAAACAGCAAATGGTCTAGAGATAAATACATCCATATTTTGAGTGTTTCTGTTTCTCCATAATCCTTTTCACACACTAACAAGCTAACAGATGCTACCTGATGAAGAACATTCAACACAACATTTTGTACATCATTTCGCCTTGTAAACTCTTTCATTTGTCTGTATTTTGTTTAATCTGAGCCCTGTGGTCAGTGATGCAAGTTCTACATTAAAACCCCAAGATACAACTAGGCCAAATGCCCCAGTGTGTGGTGACTAGGCTAATGTCCAGACTGGGAATGCACTGGTTGACAGTCCTGCAGTAACATGCACAAGGCAGCACAGTTTCACAACAGTGAACATGCTATCTTCAAATCTGAGCAACTCCCACTCAACAACATAGCTTTGGAAGAAGTGTTGTAATATCCAACTTTTTGTTCCATACAAATCTACAGTGCATCCACAATTACCTCCACAACGTGGCCAGTGAGGGCTGGGGACTCGTGAACTGGGTATTGGGTCGCCTGATTCGTTTACACAGTAGCACCATTTCCGGCTGCCATCAGTAATGTCGTGATCACACTGAACTGGGTTAAATCCCCGGGCGGAACAGTTCGCCTTCATGACAGGCAGAGAGGACATATTGTCATATGTCATAAACATCGTCTTGAAGTAAGCATAGCGTGGGTCCATGATCATGTTGAACAGCCTGTGTCTCTTCTCACAAACACTGGGTGCAGGCTCTGTCAGGAGAAGAGAGAAAACATTGGAAGAGGCAAACACACCAGAAACTTTGAGATCACCAAAAACATCACTCAACAAGGTGCTGGACAAATTTTGGGTTCATGAGTATATTTGTTTGTTTGTTTGTCTGTTTGTTTGTTGTTTGCACTCAGCAATATTCTAGCTGTATGATCGCAGTCTGTAAATAATCGAGTCTGGACCAGACAATCCAATGATTGATATACCATGAGTATCCATCTACGCAACTGGGATACGATGACATGCATCAATCATGTCAGCAAGCCTGACCACCCGATCCGTTAGTGGCTTCTTACAGCAAGCACTATCAATTTGCGAAAGACCTATTCTAACCGGGATTTTCACAGGTCGGTACTACTTTGAAAGATTTGTTGATGTCATCATTTTTACAATGAAGTGGTGTGGTGTGGTGTGGTGTGGTGTGGTGTGGTGTGGTGTGGTGTGGTGTGGTGTGGTGTGGCAATTGCCAATTGCTAGAAAACATATCTGATAAGAGGGCATGAAATTCAGTCTATAAGGCTCTCCATCTCTGGGACGGCTGCAGTATTTCCAAGATGAGGATAAGACTTGAAAGAAAGGAAAAGGATGGAAAATAGACCTGTTAGAATGATAAAGGATGGAAAATGGATCTGTTAGAATGATAAAGGATGGAAAATGGATCTGTTAGAACGATAAAGGTTGGAAAATGGACTTTGAAACAGGACAAAGGATGTAAAATGGACAAAACTGAAATGGCCTCTCACCTCCATCAGCTAGCATCCTGTCACAGAAGGGTCCTTGGTATCCAACGGGGCAGGCACAGAGGTCTCCCTGTTCCCAGCTGCCCACGCACTGGCTGCCGCTCTGGCAGATATTCATGTCCTTGAATCTGACACAGACACTTCTAAACAGGGCAGACATATTGGCAACTGTGGACAAAAGACATTTAGGTTTACTCTATTTGAAAGTGATTAAAGGTGATACTGAAGGCAATATGAAAGTGCAGTTGAAATCTGTGATACCACCAGTGTTTTAATAACAAAGGAAAAGCAGCAACAGAGACCAACTGAAGGCCCACAACAGAGAGTTACATCAGTTATAGTTGAGACTACACACTTAGGATTCACTGTTCATTAAAACATTCATTATCTTAAGTTTACTTAGGTAATACAATTTTTAAATATTTGAAGTAGAAAAAAATTATAATCCCTCTGAAAAACATTGACATTAAACAGCCATAACCCACTAATGATTAAATGACTTTTGGTCATTACCAAAGTGCATCACTTTGCCACAATGGTCCAGGGATGCAGAGAGACAGAATAGATAGTTATTTTCATTGCAGAAAAAGATGACAAGAAAGCTAAGCTGTTAACTGACCCTGGTGCGGTGCTGCTGTGTCGTTCATGGGCCCGAGGCAGCGGGCACTGCAGCCCACATTGCAACACTTGTCATGGCCGCCACAGTCGTAGTCTCCCTTGCAGGACATGCTACACTCAGTCGGCCTGGCCATTCCAGTGGGGCAGTGTCCAGGCTTCACTGTAAAGTAAGTTGTGGCATGAATCATTTGTCTCCCAGTGGGGCATTTTACTCTCACACCGAATGAGTAAACATGTAACATCACATCGACAATGTCTCATTTACATAGTTACAAGGATTTCTGTTACAATTTGTAACCAGAAGAAATTTCTCACCGGTGCAGACTGGATCCGTGGGTGGCCTGGTGTCAGTGCCATTGATGCGTTGGCCTTCCATGTTGGAACAGAAACAGTGATCCTTTTGCTCGGTCCTCAGATTATACTCGCACTGCACACGTTCGTAGTCTCCGCTAGCGTTGCAGGAAGGCCTCCACATGTGTGTCGTCGTCCGGACCCATGCCATGGCACTGTGCATCATTGCTGGGTAGGTCTGGTTGGCCTTACTAGTCATGGTGTCATTCTGGAGGAATTTGGACATGTTCTGGTACAGGTCCCAGTGTGCCATCAGGACTTCCTTCTTCTTCTGGCAGTTCTCAGGCACTGAAACACAGGAAACAAGGAGGCTGGACTGATGTTGGGTCCAGGACTATGTTTGTGTGTTGCTAATGCTGCACTCAGCAATATCCTAGCTGTATGACAGCGGTCTGTAAAAAATTGTGTCTGGACCAAACAATTCAGTGATTGATATCATGAACATTGAGCCACGCATATGGGATACGATGACATGTGAGTCTGACCATCCGATCCTGTTAGTCGCCTCTTACAACAAGCAAGGGTTGCTGAAGATCTATTTTTAACCTGGATCTTCACGGGGGACAAACATGGGTTGCTGAAAATTTATCTTAACCTGAATCTTCATAGGGCACAAGCATGGGTTGGTGAAGATCTATCTTACACTGAATCTTCCTGGTCACCAGGACAATACATCTCCCCATAACGACAAACCCGGAGTTTAAAAACATTATATGGGTAAAGATGGCTCGAATAACATGAAAGCTTATTTATATGTCACCATTCAAATACTCTGCGTATCTTGTCAAATCATCACCCTGTGCATGTATCTCTATGGTAATGCCACTTGCTGAGAGAACCACAGGACAATGCCAATACCCATTTTCATCATGGCCAGTGAAGGAGATGTTTGTTTTAACACAAAGCAGTTGAGAATTCTTTTTGTCTTTATGTTTTAGTCTTAAAAACTGGTTGTCAATGTACAGAAACTGATTCAGTGACCGAGTCCTGATTCTCCAGCAGGCGGCCACAGGAACATAGTAGACACAAATCTGTGATTTACTGAGGTTGGTGCATATACAACATGAAAAATACTGTGGTCATGTGAAGTACAGATATCTAGGATATCTAGGTCAGTATATAGGTCTCCACCAATACGTGTATGAAAGATGATACTCACTGTAGGGTGTGACACACTTGTTGCCACAGCTACCACAACATTTCTTGTCCCCCTCGCAGTCGGCATCATCGTGACACGTCATGTCGCAGTTCTGCATCGTCTCCATGAACATCCGCCTCAGAGTCTCCATAGTGGGAATAGAATCCATTGGGCACATGCCATGTTTCATGGCTACAACACAAACACCAGCATACAGACAGGGGACTGCAGCTACAGTGGAGTACAGATATGCAGTGCATGATACCAGTCCAAAATCTAACTGGCCAGTGGGTGAGTGAGTTGGGATTAACGCCGCTTTTAACAGTATTCCAGTCATATCGCGGCGTGTCAGCTTAATGTGGGAGGAAAGACTGAAGTGATATGCAGGTCTCAGACGTTTACCACTTCGGTGAAACCCACGATCACGGGTATGGTGCTGACAAACCTAGAAACATAATCGGGGCGAATCAGGATTCGAAACCCACAATCATAGGTTTCTGGCGTGCCAAAGGGATGCAACTCTGCACAGCGAATCACAGCGCCTAAGATGACTGGGCCACCCGTGCCCCCTAACTGGCCAGGGCATCCAGTGGACATGTATTGTATTTTTTTGTTTGTGCCATCGCGTACACTGAATCACATGCTAACAATGGTAATAATTATGGTCTGCAATGTGATTGGTTCAGAGGATGCAATCATCCAAACTTGTTATCATTTAAAAGTTTGTTTGTTGGTTAACGCTGCACTCAGCAATATTCCGGTCCGTAAATAATTGAGTCTGGACCAGACAATCCAGTGATTGATAACACGAGCACTGATTCAAGCAATTGGGATCGATGACATGCATCAACAAAGTCACCTCTTATGGCAAGCATGGGTTGCTGAAGACCTATTCTAACCCGGATATTCACAGGTCCCATTTACAAGTACATTAGGAATGCTAATTAAACTGCTGGACTTTACTGGACAGGTTGGATTCGGGGCTTGAGAGAGATAACTGGCCCTCTAGAAAATTACTGGCCGCAGGATAGCGGGCAGACAGCTATTTAGAATGCTGCAGATTGCGGCACATACCATGTCTGAGTTACAACACGACGGTGACACAAATAGGGGTGCACCCAGACAATAACAAGATTAATGGAGGAGGAGGAACATAGGCCAGACCTTCAGGGTTTTTATAGATAACAGGATGCTGAAGGACCACTAGCCTGAGACACAATTAGGAAAGAAATGCCATCTTACTGCGTCTGCACTCTGGTCCACCACGGCCACTGCCCACACAGCGGGCTCCCTTGGGGCACATCATACCCTGGAAATACAAGCAGTCAGTCAGTCAGTCACTGAGCCCAGGTTCAAGCTTCTTTGTTTACTATTCCTGTAATATGACTGCAGGACTAAGAATAGGCTTCCCACTTGTAGTGAAATGTACCCAGGTGTTCAGTGTGGTGAAATGTACCCAGGTGTTCAGTGTGGTGAAATGTACCCAGGTGTTAAGTTCGGTGAAATGTACCCAGGTGTTCACTGTGGTGAAATGTACCCAGGTGTTCAGTGTAGTGAAATGTACCCAGGTGTTCAGTGTGGTGAAATGTACCCAGGTGTTCAGTGTGGTGAAATGTACCAAGGTGTTCAGTGTGGTGAAATGTACCCAGGTGTTCAGTTCGGTGAAATGTAGCCAGGTGTTCACTGTGGTGAAATGTAGCCAGGTGTTCACTGTGGTGAAATGTAGCCAGGTGTTCAGTGTGGTGAAATGTACCCAGGTGTTCAGTGTGGTGAAATGTACCCTGGTGTTCAGTGTGGTGAAATGTAGCCAGGTGTTCAGTGTGGTGAAATGTTCCCAGGTGTTCAGTGTGGTGAAATGTACCCAGGTGTTCAGTGTGGTGAAATGTACCAAGGTGTTCAGTTCGGTGAAATGTACCCAGGTGTTCACTGTGGTGAAATGTAGCCAGGTGTTCAGTGTGATAAAATGTACCCAGGTGTTCAGTGTGGTGAAATGTAGCCAGGTGTTCAGTGTGGTGAAATGTACCCTGGTGTTCAGTGTGGTGAAATGTACCCTGGTGTTCAGTGTGGTGAATTGTAGCCAGGTGTTCAGTGTGGTGAAATGTAGCCAGGTGTTTAGTGTGGTGAAATGTACCCAGGTGTTCAGTGTGGTGAAATGTACCCAGGTGTTCACTGTGGTGAAATGTACCCAGGTGTTCACTGTGGTGAAATGTACCCAGGGGTTCAGTGTGGTGAAATGTACCCAGGGGTTCAGTGTGGTGAAATGTACCCAGGTGTTCACTGTGGTCAAATGTACCCAGGTGTTCACTGTGGTCAAATGTACTAATGTGTTCTGTGTGGTGAAATGTACCCAGGTGTTCTGTGAAAATGAACACCATTTCATAGGTTTCTGGAGTGCCCAAGGGACGCAATTCTGCACAGAGAATCGGGGCATCTTAGACGATTGGGCCACCCTTGACCTATTATTAGATCATGTATCAATACCCAGAGTATAATGATGGTCCAGGCAGGAGACTAGGTTAGTCAGTTTCTTCAGTTAGTTACTTTCCTAAGTGTAACTTAGCTACTCACATCACAGGGCTTTCTACATTCGCATACAGGGCATCCTCTCATATCCTTCCTTAATCCATGAGAACAGTTCAGATCACACAAGACTTCATCACACTGGGGCTGGGTACCTGATGGCATCACGGGGAATACAACATAGGGTCATCATTGGCAATATAGCATAGGGTCGTCATCATTGGCAATATAGCATAGGGTCATCATTGGCAATACAACATCGGGTCATCATTGGCAATACAACATAGGGTCATCATAGGCAATATAGCATAGGGTCATCACTGGCGATACAACATAGCGTCATCATTAGCAATATATTATAGGGTCATCCCTTTGCAATACAACATAGGGTCATCACTGGCAAAATAACATAGGGTCATCACTGGAAATAAAGCATAGGGTCATCACTGGCAAAACAACATAGGATCATCACTGGCAATATAGCATAGGGTCATCACTGGCAATACAACATAGGGTCATCACTTGCAATATAGCATAGGGTCATCACTGGCAATACAACATAGGGTCATCACTCGCAATATAGCATAGGGTCATCACTGGCAATATAGCATAGGGTCATCACTGGCAATACAATATAGGGTCATCACTGGCAATATAGCATAGGGTCATCATTGGCAATACAACACTTACCGTTACAACGTGGGAAGCTGGGCGCCATGGTGTGTGTCCCGGGGACCACCCTACCTTGGGGACTGTAGCAGTAGCAAGCATGTTTCTCTCCTGAGTCCAGGAAGTATTCACACTGTCAACATAACAACCATACCTTACTGTCAGTACAACAGTATCACACTGTCAACACAACAACAGTATCATACTGTCAACATAACAACCATACCTTACAGTCAGTACAACAACAGTGTCATACTGTCAACACAACAACAACACCTTACTGTCAGGACAACAACAGTATCACACTGTCAACACAACAACATTATCATACTGTCAACACAACAACCATACCTTACCGTCAGTACAACAACAGTATCACACTTTCAACAAAACAACAGTCTCATACTGTCAACACAACAACAGTATAACACTGTCAACACAACAACCATACCTTACCGTCAGTACAACAGTATCATACTGTCAACACAACAACCATGCCTTACCGTCAGTACAACAGTATCATACTGTCAACACAACAACCATACCTTACCGTCAGTACAACAGTATCATACTGTCAACACAACAACCATACCTTACCGTCAGTACAACAGTATCATACTGTCAACACAACAACCATACCTTACCGTACATAAGAAGGACCTTGGGGAGGAGGATCAGCTCTTATGCACTTGCATCATGCTGATGTTTCAAGGATTACAGGCATGTTGATTGTCAAACAGCTGAGACCCATATTCACATTAACAGGTTTTATGTATACATTGATGATTTATAGAAGTACAAAAGTCCAAAGATATCTTTGAAGCCGAGCGTGTTCTTTAAGAAAACCTTCTGTATTTCACTCTATTGACCCCAGAATCACTCCTCGGACACATGAATATGTTCATCAGTCTAACAGTCCCAGTAGTGTGAAGTAACATGTATATCAACAAGCACATGTAGCTGCCTCCAACTCGACTCCAACTAGCCGACTCACCTGCATTGAGGCAAACTCCCCTGAGAGGGTACAGTTGGGCCTGATGACTGTCACCCTGGTGGTGCCGTTGTTGTTGACAGTCATGACAGTCCTGTTGCCCATGCCAGGGGTGGAGACCGGAAGGAAGGAGGTCATAATACCTGTATAGAAGGAGGACATCAGAAAGTCCCTGTCGATGGTCATGTTGCCAATGTTGAGGGTGAGATTCCTGTTCATGACAGCCATCATCATGTTGTAGGAGTCTTGACTGAAGGTACACATTGTGTAGTTCTCCTGTTTCTCTGAAAGGCAAAGGTCGGCAGATGAGTGGAACACACCAGGAATGATCTGCTGGTTCTCAGAGTAGACATATTTCTCAAATATAAAAAAACCCACAAAACTGGCAGTACTGATGTATCCAGGCCCTACCCTCACCTACATGTGATCCCTCTCGGCCCTTCCCTCACCTACATGTGATCCCTCCAGGCCCTACCCTCACCTACATGTGATCCCTCCAGGCCCCACCCTCACATAATGTGATACCTGCACGTACAACCCTCACCTACATGTGATCCCTCCTGGCCCTACCAACACCTACATGTGATCCCTCCAGGCCCTACCCTCACCTACATGTGATCCCTCCCGGCCCTACCGACACCTACATGTGATCCCTCCAGGCCCTACCCTCACCTACATGTGATCCCTCCAGGCCCTACCCTCACCTACATGTGATCCCTCCAGGCCCTACCCTCACCTACATGTGATCCCTCCAGGCCCTACCCTCACATACATGTGATCCCTCCAGGAACTACCCTCACCTACATGTGATACCTCCAGGCCCTACCCTCACCTACATGTGGTCCCTACAGGCCCTACCCTCACCTACATGTGATCCCTCCAGGAACTACCCTCACCTACATGTGATCCCCCAGGCTCTACCCACACCTACATGTGATACCTCCAGGCCCTACCGTCACCTACATGTGATATCTCCCGGCCCTACCCACACCTACAAGTAATCCCTTCAGGCCCTACCCACACCTACATGTGATCCCTCCAGGCCCTACCCTCACCTACATGTGAAATCTCCAGGCCCTACCCTCACCTACATGTGATACCTCCAGGCCCCACCCACACCTACATGTGATCCCTACAGGCTCTACCCTCACCTACATGTGATACCTGCACGTACTACCCTCACCTATATGTAGTCCCACCTACCTCCAGCTTCTGATCTCCTCTCACAAAGGATTCCTTCATAGCCATAAGGGCAGGCACACAGCTGGGGTGTATTGTCCAACTCTCCAACACATGTACCACCATTCATACAGATGTTTGTCAGGGTGCTGCATATGACTTTGCTGATGTCAGCTGGGTCAGGTGCTGTAATGAATGGAGAGGCAGCTTTGCATCAACAGTACTGAATTTGTTACTGAAATGCATTGACAGGGAGTTATGTATCAACAGTACTGTATTTGTTACTGAAATATATAGACAAGGAGTTATGTATCAACAGTACTGTATTTGTTACTGAAATATATAGACAGGCAGTTATGTATCAAAAGTACTGTATTTGTTAATGAAATATATAGACAGGCAGTTATGTATCAACAGTACTGTATTTGTTACTGAAATATATAGACAGGGAGTTATGTATCAACAGTACTGTATTTGTTACTGAAATATATATAGTTATGTGGCAACATGTGACTTACCTGTGCATGGAGGGTGACCTGGGATTATGGTGACATTGGTGTAAATCTCCTGTCCCTGACTGTTGGCACAGTAACACCTCTCAGCACCGGTGTAAATGTCTCGCAGACACTGCTGTGGGGCGAAGTCTCCATTAACGGAGCAGTTCGTCAGTGGAAGCTGGGTACTGTTTAATACTTCCATCATGATTCGCTCCACTAAGTAACTGGTATTGGTCAAGCCAGGCACAGTCATTGTCCCATTCCGTATGCGCAGGACGGCGCTGGTCAGGTCTTGCTGGCGCTGGCATGGGGTGGCAGCTGAAATTGTCAACAATCACCTGTTTGTGAATTTCTTTTGACATAATGAACATAAATGTGAAGAATGGGCAAGTGTGGGGAGGAGTAGGACACCACATATGGGAGTTGGGGTTGGGTGTGACAACTCAGCTGTCTGAGACATTAGGTACACCTGGATAAGGATAGTCGTAATAAGATGAAAGCTATTTAGCTTGGAAAAGAGTGTCTGGCAGTAATGTGCCAAGGACATTTCTACAGGAGCACTACATTGTGTGTCTTGCTACAGACCTGTTCCCAGCCTTTCACAGAACGCTCCACGACGACCCTCGGGGCATCTGCACAACATCCCATTCTTGACATCACCGACACACACTCCATTGTGGCAGATGTTCACAAAGCCGAACATAGAACACACTTGGGCTGAAATAGGAAGAGAAGGATTTTTTGTTGGTTTGTTGTTTAATGCCGCACTCAGCAACATTCCAGCTATATGACCACGGTCTGTAAATAATCGAGTCTGGACCAGACTGTACTGGTGTCAACGGGTGTATCCTGCTGTACAGGTGTTACAGGTGTATCCTGCTGTACAGGTGTTCCAGGTGTATCCTGCTGTACAGGTGTTTCAGGTGTATCCTGCTGAACATGTGTTACAGGTGTATCCTGCTGTACAGGTGTTCCAGGTGTATCCTGCTGTACAGGTGTTACAGGTGTATCCTGCTGTACATGTGTTTCAGGTGTATCCTGCTGTACATGTGTTACAGGTGTATCCTGCTGTACATGTGTTACAGGTGTATCCTGCTGTACAGGTGTTCCAGGTGTATCCTGCTGTACATGTGTTTCAGGTGTATCCTGCTGTACAGGTGTTACAGGTGTATCCTGCTGTACAGGTGTTACAGGTGTATCCTGCTGTACAGGTGTTACAGGTGTATCCTGCTGTACAGGTGTTACAGGTGTATCCTGCTGTACATGTGTTTCAGGTGTATCCTGCTGTACATGTGTTACAGGTGTATCCTGCTGTACATGTGTTTCAGGTGTATCCTGCTGTACAGGTGTTTCAAGTGTATCCTGCTGTACATGTGTTTCAGGTGTATCCTGCTGTACAGGTGTTTCAGGTGTATCCTGCTGTACATGTGTTTCAAGTGTATCCTGCTGTACATGTGTTTCAGGTGTATCCTGCTGTACAGGTGTTACAGGTGTATCCTGCTGTACAGGTGTTTCAGGTGTATCCTGCTGTACATGTGTTTCAGGTGTATCCTGCTGTACAGGTGTTTCAGGTGTATCCTGCTGTACATGTGTTTCAGGTGTATCCTGCTGTACAGGTGTTTCAGGTGTATCCTGCTGTACAGGTGTTAAAGTGTATCCTGCTGTACATGTGTTTCAGGTGTATCCTGCTGTACAGGTGTTACAGGTGTATCCTGCTGTACAGGTGTTTCAGGTGTATTCTGCTGTACAGGTGTTACAGGTGTATCCTGCTGTACAGGTGTTACAGGTGTATCCTGCTGTACAGGTGTTTCAGGTGTATCCTGCTGTACACGTGTTTCAGGTGTATTCTGCTGTACAGGTGTTACAGGTGTATCCTGCTGTACATGTGTTTTAGGGATATCCTGCAGTATTGGTAATATCCGGGTATATACATACAAAAACATATAATATGATTCTGTATTTTCATGTTTTTGAGTTATTTGGTATTTACGGTTTTGTCCCCTGACAACACAACTGCCCCAATGGTACTCACTGTTGGTCTTGCATAGGAGCCCTGTATATCCTTCGTAGCAGTTGCAGTAAAAGCCTTGACCAGCCCTCGCCACACACTGACCATTGGCGCCACAGGGCATCATGTCACAGGGGCTGCTTTCGTTGTAGCCTGACAACCACAAACACCTCAAACTATTGTTTCCATGAAGGAATCTACTCAGCACTGTTGATCTTCTAACCTTATTCATTCAATACAATCAAGGACAAGAAGTCATACTTTTCACTATAAATGAATGGTCATCATTGTCAAAATAAATCAACTTAGGAGAATCTTTCAAAGTGATAGCTCACAGTCACACACTGCCAGATCAATGAAGGTCACAGGCACACACTGCCAGACCACTGAAGCTCACCGGCACACACTGCCAGACCAGTGAAGCTCACAGGTACACACTGCCAGAGCACTGAAGCTCACCAACACACACTGCCAGAGCAATGAAGCTCACCAGCACACACTGCCAGAGCAGAGAAGCTCACCAGCACACACTGTCAGAGCACTGAAGCTCACCAGCACACACTGCCAGAGCACTGAAGCTCACCGGCACACACTGCCAGAGCACTGAAGCTCACCAGCACACACTGCCAGAGCACTGAAGCTCACCGGCACACACTGCAAGACCACTGAAGCTCACAGGCACACACTGCAAGACCAGTGAAGCTCACTGACACACACTGCCAGAGCACTGAAGGTCACCGACACACACTGCCAGAGCACTGAAGGTCACTGGCACACACTGCCAGACCACTGAAGCTCACAGGCACACACTGCCAGACCACTGAAGCTCACAGGCACACACTGCAAGACCACTGAAGGTCACCGACACACACTGCCAGAGCACTGAAGGTCACCGACACACACTGCCAGACCACTGAAGACCACTGAAGCTCACAGGCACACACTGCCAGACCACTGAAGCTCACAGGCACACACTGCAAGACCACTGAAGGTCACCGACACACACTGCCAGAGCACTGAAGGTCACAGGCACACACTGCCAGAGCACTGAAGCCCATCTGTACACACTGCTAGAGCAGTGAAACTAACGGACACACACTGCCAGAGCATTGAAGGTCACAGGCACACACTGCAAGAGCACTGAAGGTCCCTGGCACACACTGTCAGAGCACTGAAGCTCACAGGCAGACACTGCCAGAGCACTGAAGCTCACCGGCACACACTGCCAGAGCACTGAAGTTCACTGGCACACACTGCCAGAGCACTGAAGCCCGTCCGTACACACTGCTAGAGCACTGAAACTAACGGACACACCCGCCAGAGCACTGAAGCTCACAGGCACACACTGCAAGACCACTGAAGGTCACCGACACACACTGCCAGAGCACTGAAGGTCACCGACACACACTGCGAGAGCAGAGAAGCTCACGAGCACACACTGCCAGAGCACTGAAGGTCACTGGCACACACTGCCAGACCACTGAAGCTCACAGGCACACACTGCCAGACCACTGAAGCTCACAGGCACACACTGCAAGACCACTGAAGGTCACCGACACACACTGCCAGAGCACTGAAGGTCCCTGGCACACACTGTCAGAGCACTGAAGCTCACAGGCACACACCGCCAGAGCACTGAAGCCCGTCTGTACACACTGCTAGAGCACTGAAGCTAACGGACACACACTGCCAGAGCACTGAAGTTCACTGGCACACACTGCCATATCACTGAAGCCCGTCTGTACACACTGCTAGAGCACTGGAACTAACGGGCACACACTGCCAGAGCACTGAAGCTCATAGGCACACACTGCCAGAGCACTGAAGGTCACCGACACACACTGCCAGAGCACTGAAGGTCACCAGCACGCACTGCCAGAGCAGAGAAGCTCACCAGCACACACTGCCAGACCACTGAAGCTCACCAACACACACTGCCAGAGCACTGAAGCTCACCAACACACACTGCCAGAGCACTGAAGCTCACCAACACACACTGCCAGAGCACTGGTCACCGACACACACTGCAAGACCACTGAAGGTCACTGGCACACACTGCCAGACCACTGAAGCTCACAGGCACACACTGCCAGACCACTGAAGCTCACAGGCACACACTGCAAGACCACTGAAGGTCACCGACACACACTGCCAGAGCACTGAAGGTCACCGACACACACTGCCAGAGCAGAGAAGCTCACGAGCACACACTGCCAGAGCACTGAAGGTCACTGGCACACACTGCCAGACCACTGAAGCTCACAGGCACACACTGCCAGACCACTGAAGCTCACAGACACACACTGCCAGAGCACTGAAGCTCACCAGTACACACTGCCAGAGCACTTAAGGTCACTGGCACACACTGCCAGATCACTGAAGCTCACGGACGCACACTACCAGAGCACTGAAGGTCAGAGGCACACACTGCCAGAGCACTGAAGCCCACAGGCACACACTGCCAGATCACTGAAGCTCACCAGCACATACTGCCAGAGCACTGAAGCTCACGAGCACACACTGTCAGAGCACTGAAGCTCACCAACACACAATGCCAGAGCACTGAAGGTCACTGACACACACTGCCCGAGCACTGAAGGTCACAGGCACACACTTCCAGAGCACTGAAGGTCACAGGCACACACTTCCAGAGCACTGAAGGTCACAGGCACACACTGCCGGGGCACTGAAGCTCACCGTCACACACTGCCAGAGCACTGAAGGTCACAGACACACACTGCCAGAGCACTGAAGCTCACCAGTACACACTGCCAGATCACTGAAGCTCACGGACGTACACTACCAGAGCACTGAAGGTCACAGGCACACACTGCCAGAGCACTGAAGCCCGTCGGTACACACTGCCAGAGCACTGAAGTTCACCAGCACTTACCAACACAAATGTTTGTCTCCCTGCATCTGGATGAATTACAGTGTTCTTTCCTCACACACCGCTCCCCAGGGCCACACTGCATGGAGGACAAACAGGCTCAATCAAGATCTTATCAAATGATGAAATATGATGTAAATGAGTAAATTTGCTTCAACTTTGTGATTACTAACAAATGATACACTTGAAACAGGGCACTACATCAACAATCATTTCCAAAACGTAAAGAATGGTGCTATCAATAATTGGTCACTAAGGACTAAGTTGTCAAGTTGTTCATGTCAAAGTCTTGTGCCACATTTCCTAGCAAGTAGCAATCATTTAAGGCAAAGAATACTCCACAATAATACATTACAAACATTGTTGGAGTAATATTCAATGATGTGAGGTGTAGATGGATGGCAGGGTCTGTGATGGAGGTGCAGAGGAATGGTTGGGTCCATGGTGTAGATGGCTGGCTGGATCTAGGGTGGACTTGTAGATGGATGGATGGGTCTGTGGTGAAAGTGTAGGGGATGGCTGGGTTTGTGGTGTAGGGGGATGGCTGGGTCGGGGGTGGAGGTGTAGAGGGATGATTAGGCCTATGGTGTGAGGTTTTAGAGGGATCCTTCTCACCTGACACCTGTTAAATGGAACATTCTCACAGTTATAGCCATAGCTGGGGGGGCAGTTGCATTCATAGCTCCCATTGGGACGGCTATAGCAGGTGAAGTTGTTCTGGCAGGGGTTACTTTCACATGGGTTCACAACTGAAATTATACACAGCACAGCATTTGAGTCATCAGATATATATACTCACAACTGTTGGGATGCACAAAGTGATGATATCTCTAGGACTATAGTGAGTAACATTTCACACCACAATTTTCGAGCAATGACCACTCTAGAAAACCAGATGACTGCTTCATACAATGTATTCATCCTCATATTTGCAGCAGCTGCTTTAACCAATAGGTAACAGACATTTAACAGACAGTCTACAGTCAGGTGAAACTGTTCAGCTACCTGCCTCTACAGACAGGTGAAAATGTTCAGCTACATGCCTCTACAGTCAGGTGTAAATGTTCAGCTACCTGTCTCTACAGTCAGGTGTAAATGTTCAGCTTCCTGCCTCTACAGTCAGGTGAAACTGTTCAGCTACCTGCCACTACAGTCAGATGAAATTGTTCAGCTACCTGCCTCTACAGACAGGTGAAAATGTTCAGCTACATGCCTCTACAGTCAGGTGAAACTGTTCAGCTACCTGCCTCTACAGACAGGTGAAAATGTTCAGCTACCTGCCTCTACAGTCAGGTGTAAATGTTCAGCTACCTGTCTCTACAGTCAGGTGTAAATGTTCAGCTTCCTGCCTCTACAGTCAGGTGAAACTGTTCAGCTACCTGCCACTACAGTCAGATGAAATTGTTCAGCTACCTGCCTCTACAGTCAGGTGAAATTGTTCAGCTACCTGCCTCTACAGACAGGTGAAACTGTTCAGCTACCTGCCTCTACAGTCAGGTGTAAATGTTCAGCTACCTGCCTCTACAGTCAGGTGAAACTGTTCAGCTACCTGCCTCTACAGTCAGGTGAAACTGTTCAGCTACCTGCCTCTACAGACAGGTGAAAATGTTCAGCTACCTGCCTCTACAGTCAGATGAAAATGTTCAGCTACCTGCCTCTACAGTCAGGTGAAACTGTTCAGCTACCTGCCTTACAGTCAGGTGAAACTGTTCAGCTACCTGCCTCTACAGTCAGGTGAAACTGCTCAGCTACCTGGGGCGGTCGGGTAGCCTAGTTGTTAAAGCGTTCGCTCGTCACGCCAAAGACCCGGGTTCGATTCCCGACATGGGTACAATGTGTGAAGCCCATTTCTGGTGTCCCCCACCGTGATATTGCTAGAATGCTGCTAAAAGCGGCGTAAAATCAAACTCACTCACTCACTCGCTGCTCAGCTACCTGCCTCTACAGTCAGGTGAAACTGTTCAGCTACCTGCCTCCACAGTCAGATGAAAATGTTCAGCTACCTGCCTCTACAGTCAGGTGAAACTGCTCAGCTACCTGCCTCTACAGTCAGATGAAACTGTTCAGGTACCTGCCTCTACAGTCAGGTGAAAATGCTCAGCTACCTGCCTCTACAGTCAGGTGAAACTGTTCAGCTTCCTGCCTCTACAGTCAGGTGAAACTGTTCAGCTACCTGCCTCTACAGTCAGGTGAAACTGCTCAGCTACCGGGACGGTCGGGTAGCCTAGTGGTTAAAGCGTTCGCTCGTCACGCCGAAGGTCCGGGTTCGATTCCCGACATGGGTACAATGTGTGAAGCCCATTTCTGGTGTCGCCCGCCGTGATATTGCTGGAATAATGCTAAAAGGGGCGTAAAATCAAACTCACTCATTCACTCGCTGCTCAGCTACCTGCCTCTACAGTCAGGTGAAAATGTTCAGCTACCTGCCTCTACAGTCAGGTGGAAATGTTCAGCTATCTTCCTCTACAGTCAGGTGAAACTGTTCAGCTACCTGCCTCTACAGTCAGGTGGAAATGTTCAGCTATCTTCCTCTACAGTCAGGTGAAAATGTTCAGCTACCTGCCTCTACAGTCAGGTGGAAATGTTCAGCTATCTTCCTCTACAGTCAGGTGAAACTGTTCAGCTACCTGCCTCTACAGTCAGGTGAAACTGCTCAGCTACCTGCCTCTACAGTCAGGTGAAAATGTTCAGCTACCTACCTCTGTCACAATCAGCTGCATTCAGGAGTGCTTGTGGCATCTTGTTCCCTCTGATGTAACCATAGTTGTCCACACAGTAGCACAAAGTTTCACTGGTAAACATATTCACCTCACACTTGGGGGAGATGTACTGTGAGGGATTCTGGGTGTTACATTTGGGCTTCACATATGATGTCAGGTTGAACTTCTGCAATATTCCAATCAAATTGGTTGCCTTGGCAGAGTTGATGGGAGGCGGAGCGGCATTGTTTTGGATAACCTTCTCCAAGTATGTTGAGAAACGTTCTAGGACTTCACAGCCCCAAACAGCTTCTGTGGGATGAAAGATCATAACAAAAATAACAGTCAGTGTGTTTGTTGTTTAACACTGCACACAATAATATACCAGCTGTATGATGGCAGTCAAATCAAATCTGGACCAAACAATCCAGTGATTGACTTCATGAGCATAGAACTATCCAACTGAGATACAATGACATTCATCAACCAAGTCGGCAAGCCTGACCACCCCATCCAATTAGGCGCCCCTGAAGGAAAGCATTGTCACCCCTTACAGCAGCATAGTCACCCCTTACAGCAACATAGTCATCCCTTACAGCAGCATAGTCACCCCTTACAGCAAGCAGTCACCCCTTACGGCAGCATAGTCGCCCCTTACAGCAGCATAGTCACCCCTAACAGCAGCATAGTCGCCCTTTACAGCAGCATAGTCACCCCTAACAGCAGCATAGTCCCCCCTTACAGCAGCATAGTCACCCCTTAGAGCAGCATAGTCTCCCCTTACAGCAGCATAGTCACCCCTTACAGCAAGCATAGTCGCCCCTAAACAGCAAGCATAGTCGCCCCTTACGTCAGCATAGTCACCCCTTACAGCAGCAAAGTCACCTCTTACGACAAGCATAGTCACCTCTTACAGCAAGCATAGTCACCTCTTACAGCAGCATAGTCACCTCTTACAGCAAGCATAATTGCCTCAGTTTGTGAGTGAGTCCTGATCATAGCTGCCACCCTCAACAGTACTTCAGTCTCGAACTCTTTCATTCATGTCGGATAGATATTCAAAGAAAAAGGATTTAATGAGAGTAAATACAGCATAACTGATCACAGATTATTCGTTAACGATGGGGAAAACTAATGCATGTGTGGACCACAATATTTGTAAATGTAATTTATAAACAATACTCAATTTGAAACACTTCTACAGCTGCTGCAGTCTTGACTATGAAGATGGACTCACCGTGACCCTCCTCTTCACAGAAGAGTCCTTTCCTGAAATTTCCACACTGACAGATTTCACCCGTGATGACATCACCAAGGCATGAACTGCCCGTGCCCAGGCACATATTGGAGTTGAAATAGTCACACAGTCTCTCTGTAAGACAGTAAGGAAACTACATCACTGCATGTCTCTCCAAGGAAATAGATGTGGCACAGAAGATGCTGATACTGTATATGCAATATGTTATATTTACTCTTTCCCTGTATCACACAGAACACTCCTTCAACCTTACCCTCACAGTTGGTGCCGGTCGCTCCGCGGGGGCAGATGCAGCTGTAGCTCATGTTCCCTTGAGGCAAGCAGCTCCCTGCATTCAAACATGGGGAGGAGGAACATCCATCTGGGGGACACAGAGAGGCACTGATGAGGCACCTTACACCAGGAACATAGCCAATGTACCTCACAGGGCACTTTACACCAGGAACATATCCAATGTACCTCACAGGGCACTTTACACCAGGAACATAGCCATTGTACCTCACAGGGCACTTTACACCAGGAACATAGCCAATGTACCTCACAGGGCACTTTTCACCAAGAACATAGCCAATGTACCTCACAGGGCACTTTACACCAAGAACATAGCCAATGTACCTCACAGGGCACTTTACACCAGGAACATAGCCAATGTACCTCACAGGGCACTTTACACCAGGAACATAGCCAATGTACCTCACAGGGCACTTTACACCAGGAACATAGCCAATGTACCTCACAGGGCACTTTACACCAAGAACATAGCCAATGTACCTCACAGGGCACTTTTCACCAAGAACATAGCCAATGTACCTCACAGGGCACATTACGCCAAGAACAAAGCCAATGTATCTCACAGGGAATCTTAAACCAGGAACATAGCCAATGTACCTCACAGGGCACCTTACACCAAGAACATAGCCAATGTACCTCACAGGGCACTTTACACCAGGAACATAGCCAATGTACCTCACAGGGCACTTTACACCAGGAACATAGCCATTGTACCTCACAGGGCACTTTACACCAGGAACATAGCCAATGTACCTCACAGGGCACTTTACACCAGGAACATAGCCATTGTACCTCACAGGGCACCTTACACCAGGAACATAGCCATTGTACCTCACAGGGCACTTTACACCAGGAACATAGCCAATGTACCTCACAGGGCACTTTACACCAAGAACATAGCCATTGTACCTCACAGGGCACTTTTCACCAAGAACATAGCCAATGTACCTCACAGGGCACTTTACACCAGGAACATAGCCAATGTACCTCACAGGGCACTTTACACCAGGAACATAGCCAATGTACCTCACAGGGCACTTTACACCAGGAACATAGCCAATGTACCTCACAGGGCACATTACGCCAAGAACAAAGCCAATGTATCTCACAGGGAATCTTAAACCAGGAACATAGCCAATGTACCTCACAGGGCACTTTACACCAAGAACAAAGCCAATGTACCTCACAGGGCACTTTACACCAAGAACATAGCCAATGTACCTCACAGGGCACTTTACACCAAGAACATAGCCAATGTACCTCACAGGGCACTTTTCACCAAGAACATAGCCAATGTACCTCACAGGGCACTTTACACCAAGAACATAGCCAATGTACCTCACAGGGCACTTTACACCAGGAACATAGCCAATGTACCTCACAGGGCACTTTACACCAGGAACATAGCCAATGTACCTCACAGGGCACTTTACACCAGGAACATAGCCAATGTACCTCACAGGGCACATTACGCCAAGAACAAAGCCAATGTATCTCACAGGGAATCTTAAACCAGGAACATAGCCAATGTACCTCACAGGGCACTTTACACCAAGAACAAAGCCAATGTACCTCACACGGCACTTTACACCAAGAACATAGCCAATGTACCTCACAGGGCACTTTACACCAAGAACATAGCCAATGTACCTCACAGGGCACTTTTCACCAAGAACATAGCCAATGTACCTCACAGGGCACATTACGCCAAGAACAAAGCCAATGTATCTCACAGGGAATCTTAAACCAGGAACATAGCCAATGTACCTCACAGGGCACCTTACACCAAGAACATAGCCAATGTACCTCACAGGGCACTTTACACCAGGAACATAGCCAATGTACCTCACAGGGCACTTTACACCAGGAACATAGCCAATGTACCTCACAGGGCACTTTACACCAGGAACAAAGCCAATGTACCTCACAGGGCACTTTACACCAGGAACATAGCCAATGTACCTCACAGGGCACTTTACACCAGGAACATAGCCAATGTACCTCACAGGGCACTTTACACCAGGAACAAAGCCAATGTACCTCACAGGGCACTTTACACCAGGAACATAGCCAATGTACCTCACAGGGCACCTTACACCAAGAACATAGCCAATGTACCTCACAGGGCACTTTACACCAGGAACATAGCCAATGTACCTCACAGGACACTTTACACCAAGAACATAGCCAATGTACCTCACAGGACACTTTACGATAAGAACATAGCCAATGTAGTAGGTATGTTGTACGATACAACCTACCCTCCATCCACTCGCCTCACCTGTAGTAGGTATGTTGTAGAATACAACCCACCCTCCATCCACGGGCCTTACCTGTAGTAGGTATGTCGTAGGAGAGAGTCACTCTCTACTGCATGTATTTACCTACTTCAATGCCTGGTATCACTCTCTACTGCATGTATTTACCTACTTCACTGCCTGGAGTCACTCTCTACTGCATGTATTTACCTACTTCACTGCCTGGAGTCACTCTCTACTGCATGTATTTACCTACTTCACTGCCTGGGGTCACTCTCTACTGCATGTATTTACCTACTTCAATGCCTGGAGTCACTCTCTACTGCATGTATTTACCTACATCACTGCCTGGAGTCACTCTCTACTGCATGTATTTACCTACTTCAATGCCTGGAGTCACTCTCTACTGCATGTATTTACCTACATCACTGCCTGGAGTCACTCTCTACTGCATGTATTTACCTACATCACTGCCTGGAGTCACTCTCTACTGCATGTATTTACCTACTTCATTGTCTGGAGTCACTCTCTACTGCATGTATTTACCTACTTCACTGCCTGGAGTCACTCTCTACTGCATGTATTTACCTACTTCATTGTCTGGAGTCACTCTCTACTGCATGTATTAACCTACTTCACTGCCTGGAGTCACTCTCTACTGCATGTATTTACCTACTTCATTGTCTGGAGTCACTCTCTACTGCATGTATTAACCTACTTCACTGCCTGGAGTCACTCTCTACTGCATGTATTTACCTACTTCATTGTCTGGAGTCACTCTCTACTGCATGTATTAACCTACTTCACTGCCTGGAGTCACTCTCTACTGCATGTATTTACCTACTTCAATGCCTGGAGTCACTCTCTACTGCATGTATTTACCTACTTCAATGCCTGGAGTCACTCTCTACTGCATGTATTTACCTACTTCATTGCCTGGAGTCACTCTCTACTGCATGTATTAACCTACTTCACTGCCTGGAGTCACTCTCCACTGCATGTATTTACCTACTTCACTGCCTGGAGTCACTCTCTACTGCATGTATTTACCTACTTCATTGTCTGGAGTCACTCTCTACTGCATGTATTTACCTACATCACTGCCTGGAGTCACTCTCTACTGCATGTATTTACCTACTTCAATGCCTGGAGTCACTCTCTACTGCATGTATTTACCTACTTCATTGTCTGGAGTCACTCTCTACTGCATGTATTTACCTACTTCATTGTCTGGAGTCACTCTCTACTGCATGTATTAACCTACTTCACTGCCTGGAGTCACTCTCTACTGCATGTATTTACCTACTTCATTGTCTGGAGTCACTCTCTACTGCATGTATTAACCTACTTCACTGCCTGGAGTCACTCTCTACTGCATGTATTTACCTACTTCATTGTCTGGAGTCACTCTCTACTGCATGTATTAACCTACTTCACTGCCTGGAGTCACTCTCTACTGCATGTATTTACCTACTTCACTGCCTGGAGTCACTCTCTACTGCATGTATTAACCTACTTCACTGCCTGGAGTCACTCTCTACTGCATGTATTAACCTACTTCACTGCCTGGAGTCACTCTCTACTGCATGTATTTACCTACTTCACTGCCTGGAGTCACTCTCTACTGCATGTATTTGAGAGTATTTAAAATTACAGATGTGCACAAATCAATTTTTTTCCTCCATTCATTTTTTGTTCTGTGGATACCAGCAACTAACTTTTAACAAAAGTGTTTGCCAGAATGTAGTCTTACCCGCACTCAGAGTGAAATTATTGCAGAATGTTCCTGTATAGCCTGGTGTACAGTAGCAGTAGCCCCTGTAGCATGTGCCTCCATTGACACACTCGTCATTCACGAAACACAAGGAGTCTGAAACAGGAGGATATACAGTATGTACGGAGGTCTGGTCTTATCTGAACACAGGTCTTTATATATACTTGTGTTTCTGGTTTTGTTAGGCAATGTATAAGGGTCAGTGGTTGGACAAATTAATTAACAAAATTTCAAACATGTTGGCTTTCAATGACCTGAATTTAATAGCATTTAGTGATTAGAACTAAATGCCTTTTTGTTAGGCTTGGCACAGTTGCTAATATTATTACAGCGAAATACCTTCATTCCGTGCGGCTACGTGCTGTTTTGCATGGTGCCATCGTCTCTGGCCTAGATCCGCTCTTGGCACGTCCGGTAAAGGAGCGTTTGTTTATATTTTCTATGACCTGTTGTAGCGTGACATCAGCTCACGCAGTACTTGCTCTCCAGCTTTCAGCCGTACAACACACATAGTTATATTCGCGCATTCATCTATAGTTCGTTGCAATTACCATTAAGAATGCCACCAAAAAGACGGGCCACCTTAAATCATCGCCTCGTAAGGAGTGGGAAAATAGCCAGGAGGGAACCAAGTGTCCGGCAAGCGACATCGGCTACTGGTAAGTCACGGGGATCAGCTAGATCTCCATTGCACAGACCCCCCTTGCCAAGTGTACAAATAGCTGCTAACTTGCTAGTTGAAGCAGATGATTCGGACAATTCAAACGTTCTCCCGCGAGTCGATCACGGAGACATCGAAGAGCCCCAACAAGTGGTGTCGCCCGTTCCGTCGATGCTAGCTATATCGAGCCAACTCAACAGCATACTGGATATGCTAGGCAAACGGATGGCCCAAGATACTTCTCGGAGCTTTACTGGCATGCGAGGGGTAAGTACAAATGATCTGGGGGTAACGGGGTCGGTGGTGTCAAGAAATCCTGATGTGATGTCATTTAGCAGTGCACACTCGCGCGAGCCGGGAGTTTCCCGTGACGTCACACCACGCTCAGAGTCAGGAGCGGGGTCAACCAATCAGGGAACAGGGGATTCCCTGACCTTCCAGGCGGATGCTATCAGCGCTCACGTCCGTCAAGTTTTACGGGAGAGAGTATGGAGAGGGGAGTTTGTGGAGTTGACTACATTGTTGCCAGGCGCACAGTCGCATGACGATGACGATGCATTTAAGATGCAGATGGATTCGTCGGGTAATCTGCGATTCTCGCCGGCCAAGCCGGCTAACGCCAGGGCATTAAGCATAGGCCAATGGACGTCAGCTTTCCACATATATATGAGCATTTACGTGGTGAAACATTTTTGTCAGTCCACCATACAGGGCATGTTGGCATACATGGAAACAATCCGTAATGCCGCAGTCCGCTCAGGGGGTTTTGGCTGGTCAAACTACGACCAGCAATTCCGACACCGTATGGCACGAGACCCAATTCGGGAGTGGGGCAAGATAGACGGTGAATTGTGGTTGAAGCACATGACACCGACTATGTCCCGTGTTCAAGAAAATAAGACTGAACACTTTACAGTGCCTTTCAGCAAGGGCCGTGACTTTACAGTCAACGCATGCTGGGACTACAACAGGTCAAGGTGCGCCAGGCCAGAATGCAAGTTTATTCATAAATGCTCCAATTGTGGCGAACAACATCCCGCCTATTCTTGCTTTCGCGCAAAGGGGTGTCGTAGACCCTCCAAACAACTTAACTCCACACAGGCAACCCATGCTAAAGGCACTGGCCCCAACTCCACTCATACTCACTAGATTTAAGCGACATTTGCAACTGTACAAGCATTCTAACCATGCCCATGCCATTTATTTATTACAAGGTTTGGAATCAGGTTTTCAACTGGAATATAGTGGGGCACGCCTAAGTCGTTGGTCTGAGATTCTACGCTCAGCCAGGGATCCCATTTTACAAGAGATAGTAGCTGCCAAATTGAAAAAGGAAGTAAAATTAGGTAGGGTGGCAGGTCCTTTTGAAACGCCGCCCCTGCTGAACCTACAAGTTTCACCCATCGGTCTCGTACCCAAAAAGCAAACGGGTAAGAATACACCACCTTTCTTATCCTCAAGGCAGATCAATCAACGACAACATAGACAGCGAAGCATGCTCCGTGTCATATGCACGGTTCGACGAGGCTGTGGGGTTCGGCGCATACTATAACGGGAACTGGGCAAACGGGCTCTGGCCCCGTGAGTGGGTGGAGGACGGCTCAACTCGTGACATGACACTGCTGGAGTTGTTTCCGATTGTGCTGTCAGTTTGTCTGTGGGGGACAGTCTTTGCTAACAGGAAAGTACTTTTCTTTTGTGATAACCAAGCTGTAGTGTCAATAATAAATAAACAGTCTTCAAAGGCACCCAGAATCATGTCACTGATTAGGCAGCTAGTGCTGCAGTGCCTCAAACACAACATTTTGTTCAAGGCCAGATATATAACAACACACGACAATATTATCGCAGATGCGCTGTCGAGATTTCAGTGGGAACGATTCCGCAATGCAGCTCCATCAGCCAATCTGCATCCCACACCACTTCCAGACAATCTCTGGCAGGGCTAACAATCGAGGCAGAGAGGCTCCTTCAGCGATCATTGGCGGCAAACACGTGGGCAGCTTACCAGGCAGGAACCCAAGCGTTGCAAGCATTCAGGGCATCACAAAACCTTGGAGATGTCTGGCCGGTTCCAATAACTCATCTGGTACATTTCATTGCTCACCTGTCAGTGTCAGGACATGCACCGAGTACGGTAAGAACGTATATGGCCGGTATCTCAACGTACCATAGGCTACACAGCATGGAAGACCGCACCGGCCACTTTGTTATTACTAAAATGATAACGGGGATGCAAAAGTGTCAGGGGAGGCAGGATCACAGAAAACCAATAACAATAGACCTGCTCAAAGTAATTGTAAACAACCTGCAATTTGTCTGCTCTTCTACCTATGAAGTAAGATTGTTCAAAGCACTATATTGCTTGGCCTTCTTTGGTTTCTTTCGGGTGAGTGAACTCGTGCAAACCAAACTTTCTCAGCCAGGGTGCGCTTTCTTGGACCTAGAAGTCCAAGACACGACTAAGACAGTAACAGTCGCATACCTGCAAACACTTAAATCGCCAACCATGCAAGAACAGTTTTCTTCCTATTGATTCATGTTTTCAGTATGGTTGGTTGGGTCCAGCTTCCTGACCCGGGCGAGAGAGCACCTACAGGACAGTGACTTTGGTATTCCAGGGGGATGTCTCTGGTTGGCAAGGGGCGGCATGAGGTGGGAGGAGCTGACCGAGCTGATAGATGCCCAGGTCAAAGCGATGCAGACACCACCAAAGGCGGTGGTGATTCACCTTGGTTCGAACGACCTGGGTAAGGTAACCACGTGTCAGCTATATCATGAGATCAAGCTGGCACTCCTGAGGATACACCTCCTCCTACCTGGTGCTGTCATTCTGTGGTCAGACATGCTGCCACGGAGGTACTGGCATGTAGCCAGCCGTGCCCGGGACCTGGACGGGGCCAGGCAGAAGCTGAACAGACGAGTGGGGAACAGGGCCCGTGAGCTTGGGGGGATACGGGTTCCCCACACAGTGTTCAACCGGCAGGAGCAGCAACTGTACCTGCGTGACGGGGTTCATTTGTCACCGGCCGGACTTGATCTTTTCACACAAAACATTGGCAGCTCCCTTTCCGCAGTATGCTTGTAGGAAACATTTTCAGTATAGGATAACACGGTGGGTGTACATGAGCGCGAATGGTCGTGGTTGTGGGGACTGCATTACAAGTTACATTTGGCGTCTTGGGATACATCCCAAATTATAAATTATTTAGGATAGGGTTACCCGCTTTACAGCAGGAACCAATTTATCCATTCTGCTTTACAGCAGATGGCTTAGTGTCCGCTTTACAGCGGATGGTCAGCTTGGCAACAATAGTTGCCCTCGCTCATTGTTTGGCAATGGTACGGTTGCTTGGCAACGGTAGTTGCAGGGCAGCGGCGCTGCATTGGTAAGCAACATGGGTTGCTTGGCAACGGTAGTTGCAGGGCAGCAGGCGCTGCATTGGTAAGCAACATGGGTTGCTTGGCAACGGTTGCTGCAGTTGGGGTTGCTTAACAGGGGTTAAGCTCATTGCCGTAGTCCACCAGTACCTCCACATCCGCGACCATTTCATCCAATAATATCTCTTGTCTTAATTTGAAGCTCCGCTATCATGCATGATGTCGGAGCCTGTCATAATGGAGCCATGTCCTTATATAATTGTCTCAAGTGAAATAAAGAAAACTCGAATTTGAAAGAAAAAGATGTTTAACGAATGAAAGGCTGGGAGGGTTGTTGTGAAACATTGTGAATGTATAAGGCGGGGCTTGTCTGATACATGCACACTAAACATGGAAAGGACTGGAGATAGCATTATGCAGAGATAGCTGAAAATACAAAATGATGACACAGAACTGAGATTTGCTTCTGCTGACAGCACATCGCTCCACAACTTGCCCCTGTTTTACCACAAATAATTTCAGATTCAAGACTTTTAGCAAAACATTAAACTTCTGGTTAAAACACGAGATGTTGCTGGGAAAACAGTAGCTAAAAATATCAGCAATGATCCACATGCCATGGAGGTACAATTAGGAGATAAACCTTCTGTGTTTTGGAATTTGATGTCATCTCAACTCTTGAATAGATACCTCTTCTTTATTATTTGGAGCCAGCCGACGGACAGAGATTTCTGACACAGCTTGGAATGATGACCATGACAAAGTATGACACGAAGACCATCACAGAATATTCACTGCCTACTACACGAAGACTATCACAGAATATTCACTGCCTACCACACGAAGACCATCACAGAATATTCACTGCCTACTACACGAAGACTATCACAGAATAGTCACTGCCTACAACACAATGACTATCACAGAGTATTCACTGCCTACGGCATAAGACTATCACAGAATATTCACTGCCTACAACACGAAGACTATCACAGAGTGTTCACTGCCTACGACACAACGACTATCACAGAATATTCACAGCCGACTGCACGAAGATGATCACAGAATATTCACTGCCTACGACACGAAGACTATCACAGAGTATTCACTGCCTACGACACAACGACTATCACCGAATATTCACAGTCGACCGCACGAAGATGATCACAGAATATTCACTGCCTACCATACAAAGACTATCACATAATATTCACTGCCCACGACACAATGACTATCACAGAATATTCACTGCCTACAGCATGAAGACTATCACAGGATATTCACTGCCTACCACACAAAGACTATCACAGAATATTCACTGCCCACGACACAATGACTACCACAGAATATTCACTGTCTACTACCTGAAGACTATCACAGAAAATTCACTGCCTAACCATACAAAGACTATTACAAGATATTCACTGCCTACAACACAAAGACTATCACAGAATATTCACTGCCCACGACATGAAGACTATCAAAGAATATTGACTGCCTACAACACAAAGACTAACAGGGTATTCACTGCCTACCACACAAAAACTAACAGAGTATTCACTGCCTACCACACAAAGACTAACAGGGTATTCACTGCCTACAACACAAAGACTAACAGGGTATTCAGTGCCCACCACACAAAGACTAACAGAGTATTCACTGCCTACAACACAAAGACTAACAGGGTATTCACTGCCCACCACACAAAGACTAACTGGGTATTCACTGCCTACAACACAAAGACTTACTGGGTATTCACTGCCTACCACACAAAGACTAACTGGGTATTCACTGCCTACCACACAAAGACTAACTGGGTATACAGTGCCTACCACACAAAGACTAACAGGGTATTCAGTGCCCACCACACAAAGACTAACTGGGTATTCAGTGCCCACCACACAAAGACTAACTGGGTATTCACTGCCCACCACACAAAGACTAACAGGGTATTCACTGCCTACCCGAGTTGTTGTAAGGGCTAATGCAGGTGTGTCCACAGCCGTTGTTGCAGCAGAGAGTCTAAATCCGGATAATCATTCTTAATTTACCATACCAAATAATGAATATGATCAGTTACTTTGCCTTTGAGAATGCTTAAATTGCCGCCAGTAATTACCTGATTTAACAAAGCTATATCTGGTCCCATCAATCCAAACAGGGTCATCTTCTATGGCCTTCCTCAGGGAAACCAGCTGGTGGGTTAGGTTTGAGATAGGGGTGCTGAAATCCACAGTGAAGTTCACGCCAACGCTTCCAGGCCTGGATGGAATAGTGAGTGAGTGAGTTTAAACATTCTATGTTTTTAATACAGAGCTATGTTAGCTGCAGTTATGATGGTGCAAACTTGGGTTTTTGAACACAAAAAAAATCAGTAAAAAAGAAAAGAAACAATGCATAACTTTGAATAACATGGGTGTCACCATTCGTATGAGACCTGGCATGCTTAGCTTTAGCTCTAGGATCCCTGCCAGGAGCAAGACCGGTATTAGTTTGTGTTCCAGGTACATTGAGGATTTCTCTTTTACTTGAAAAAAGTCCTTGGATATATATTTCATTGATATTTCAACAGAAAAAATAGTTATTAACTGTTTCCTAGCATAACCAAAAAACTTCCAACATTAGTTGAAAGGCCAAGAAAAGTCACTCTGTGTCACATGAGCAGCAACACAAGCTTGCTGACGTAAAGCATCTCTGCTGCAAAACAAACAATAACATGGAAATGGGGGAACTACATTTTCAAACACACAAACTTTTAAAGACATTACCAGGAATTGTGTATTGCTCACAAACAAGTGTTTATATGCATACAGAATTTTCACTCATCAGATACCAGAACTATTCACTTGTTTCATACAATTGGTACTACACAGGAGCAAGTTTAGTATTTTATTATTTCTTGCTATTTATAACTTTTTAAAATTTCACTGTTGTGTGTATTACGTAATTTAGTGAAATTTTGTTGCAAGATACGCCAGAACAACAATACCATGTGACATCAGCCTTGCAACAGGGTTGCTGGGGTCATGAAGTGTGCATAATAACATTTAGCAGTAATTCGCTAGATGGGTTTATAGGCAGCATTTATCTTACATTCCACCACTTATCCCTCCTATAAGGAACCCTACATAGGTAAATAATATGAGGTATATAACTCATATTGTACAGTTTCTTATATTCCTTGTACATATAACAATTCATACAATAAACTAGGTGCCGGCGGGACAGCATATCTATATCAAATTAACACTGGGTTCTTGGCTCCAGCTTCTACAGCGGCAGTCCAAATCGTGCCTGCTGTTTCCGCGGGAGGGAGTACAAAGATCCCATTCCTATACCCATCTGCCATGCCACGGCGGAGGGTCACAACTATGCTGCTCATGCCTACTGTCCCGTCAGCACCATCCACACCGCACCCTATTTTCATCCACAATCCTTTTTGTTTCATTTATTGCATTATATTGCTGATAAACTTTAGATTTTACCTGCATACAATATCACTATAAAAGTCTGCATATAAACTCCTCCCAGTGATCTATCATCTCTACAAGCAATGTCACTGAATAAGCCCAGGAATGTTGAGAGCGATACTACTAAGTTTCCACACTACACATGATCATGCTCTGGCTTTAAACACAGTGCAATAGCAACTTATTGTTATTGAACAGTGGTATCTTTAACAGGCAAGTAATTAAAAAAAGGTTTCAAACTTACCAAAATCCAGTGACAGTTACGTTCTTGAATCCAGGAATGTAGGCATACGCTGACAGCTGTAACAAGGAGAAGGCAACAGCATGAACTAACCTTCACCTTGCACCCAGTAGCTCACCAATGAAAGAAATGCTGAACCTGACATGAACACACTAATATTTGGGTAGTATTATACACTCTGTAGTCCTAAACCCAAACACTGAGTTTGATCCACTGTCATTCCTAAAGTCAAGTACATGCGGCCGTGGTATGTATTACATAGAATGTACAAAGTTTCTGCCGTCAGAGCATTGTGCTTTTTGAGAAGAAGATAAGTAAATATTTTGTTTGTTTCTAACTTAAATAGCGTGACTTTTAAATTTGGAAGCTTTGGATAAACAACTTGATGATGGCCAGGAATATGTATAGAAAAACTAGCAGTGACAGCAGTGATGTGACAGCTCAGTTGTTGATATCTGGGGAGTGACATGACACCTCGGCTGTTGATATCAGGAGTGACATGACACAGCAGTTGTTGGTATCAGGAGTGACATGACACCTCAGTTGTTGATATCAGGAGTGATATGACACAGCAGTTGTTGATATCAGGAGTGAGATGACACCTCAGTTGTTGATATCAGGAGTGACATGACACCTCAGCTGTTGATATCAGGAGTGACATGACACCTCAGTTGTTATATTTGGGGAGTGACATGACACCTCAGCTGTTGATATCAGGAGTGACATGACACCGCAAATGTTGATATCAGGAGTGACATGACACCTCAGTTGTTGATATCAGGAGTGATATGACACAGCAGTTGTTGATATCAGGAGTGACATGACACCTCAGTTGTTGATATCAGGAGTGACATGACACCTCAGCTGTTGATATCAGGAGTGACATGACAACTCAGTTGTTGATATCAGGATATACAGTATATATACTACTCAAAAGAAGTTAAAGAACACCAGATATATAATACACGATTTAGCAAATTGGTCATGGCATTATGTGTTATAACATTACTATCATCTAATGTTTGGCAACATGTTGCACCACGTCTGGGGTATTGCTGATCCTCCTGACACTTTCTGGAAACACTTCTGGTAGTCATGCAAATGAATTGAAAACATGAGCAAAACACAGGAATATTGTCGCCCAAACACAACGCTGCACCTGTCCTTAGCAACAACCAACACAATTTTCATGCTCAGCATATGAAAGTGGTGATGTTCATGGTGCACGTGCATGCTTTCCCTTTAAGAAGGCGATGATGATGATCGTGTTATCACACTTTCCAAAACCATGCCACAGAGACGACATCTGACTGATGTTGATAGAGGACGAGCTATTGGTTGGCTCCAGGATTGCCTTTCTTTACCTGAAGTGGGCAGAAGATTGCAGGTGTCTCCCTCTGTCATTCACACCTTTGGCATCGTTTTGCTGCCACTGGCGGAGTGCAAGAGCGACATCGTTCTGGACGGCCAAGGTGTACCTCACAACGTGATGACCGATACCTGGTTCTCCAAGCACTCAGGCAGCGTACATCAACAGCAAACAACCTCAGGTTACAGTTAAGGGCTGTCAATAACACAGTCGTTAGGGATCAGTCGGTGCGAAACCGTTTACGAGCTGCGCACTTGAGAAGTCGACGACAAGCAGTGAGACCACCTTTACGTCCAGTTCACAGAACAGCACGTCTGGCTTGGTGTCGACAACATGTGCGTTGGAACAGACAGCAATGGTCTCGTGTACTGTTTACAGACGAGTCGCGATTCTGTTTGCAGCTCAATGATGGAAGAATACGGGTGTGGCGTCGTACTGGAGAGAGATTCACTGATGCCACAGTACGTGAACGTGTCGCTTTTGGTGGGGGATCAGTGATGGTATGGGAAGGAATCAGTTGGAATCATAGGACTCCTCTGTACCATATTGTCGGGAATCTGAATGCTGCCAGGTACCGTGATGAGATTCTTGAACCCCTGGTATTGCCCACACTTCGTCAGATTGGTCAAGGTGCTATCCTTCAGGACGACAATGCAAGACCCCATCGCGCTCGGATTATCACTGACTATCACAGACAAAGGCAGATTACCGTTATGCAATGGCCTGCTTATTCGCCAGATCTGGCGCCCATTGAACATCTTTGGGATGCCTTGGGAAGAGCCGTTCAAGCTAACCACCCAACTCCTGTTAATCTCCAGCAACTGTTAGGATTTCTTCATCAGGAATAGCAAGCAATTCCACAGACAACACTGCGGCAGCTTGTTCGATCTATGCGTAGAAGATGTCAGAACTGTATTGCTTCCAGGGGTGGGCCTACCCGATATTGAAGGAACAGGATTATCCTGAACTGTAGTGTGTGACTTTTGATTTATAGGGTACATGCAATGCATATTGATTTGCTCTGGTCAGCTGTATGCCAGCGTTTCTTTCGTCAATGAAATGTCATGATTAAATACTTATCTTTCCCAATCAGTGTTGTTCCTGTGGCCACGATTTATTTTTTGAGTGATTTTGATAACTTATTTGGGTGTTCTTTAACTTCTTTTGAGTAGTATATATAAATTCCATATGTACATAACAGTATTCAACGACAACATTCATATCTAAATTCCACATCTAAAGCTTGATGCCAACTTTTATTAATGGACTATGAAGTGGATTCTCTACACATTAAAAGAACTGGATGATAACCACAGACTGTCAACACTCACTTTATTGCTCATGGCTGACTTGACACTTAAGTAGAAGCTTGAGGCTGGGTTCAACAGATCGTTTCGCCAAGCCATGTCAAGACGAACAGAGTCGTTGTACTTGTATGTCTCTGAAAACATTATTTTTTTAAAATCATCTAGTCCTTCAAAAATGGTGTTTCGAGACATGACCATAAATAGATTTTCTATCTTTCCAGCAACTGACAATAGAGGGAAAACATTATCTCTTTCACTCTTGCATAAGTTTTGCTCAACACAAAGGAAACACTTATCAGAAAATGTAAGTTTTAACATACCACTGAGTCATTGTGTCAAAACAGGCATCTATGTACTGTACTGTACTTGACACTGAACACAAGACTAAGGGTTGATGAATGTTCAAGTACTGTACTTGATACTGAACATGAGACTGAGGGTTGATGAATGTTCAAGTACTGTACTTGATACTGAACACAAGACTGAGGGATGTTGAATGTTTAAGTACTGTACTTGATACTGAACACGAGACTGAGTGTTGATGAATGTTCAAGTACTGTACTTGATACTGAACACAAGACTGAGGGATGTTGAATGTTCAAGTACTGTACTTGATACTGAACATGAGACTGAGGGTTGATGAATGTTCAAGTACTGTACTTGATACTGAACACTACCTGGAGTGTGAAAATCAATTTTTTTCCTCCATTCAGTTTTTGTTCTGTGGATACCAGCAACTAACTTTTAACAAAAGTGTTTGCCAGAATGTAGTCTTACCCGCACTCAGAGTGAAATTATTGCAGAATGTTCCTGTATAGCCTGGTGTACAGTAGCAGTAGCCCCTGTAGCATGTGCCTCCATTGACACACTCGTCATTCACGAAACACAAGGAGGCTGAAACAGGACGATATACAGTTTGTACGGAGGTCTGGTCTTATCTGAACATGGGTCTTTATATATACTTGTGTTTCTGGTTTTGTTAGGCAATGTATAACGGTCAGTGATTGGACAAATTAATTAACAAAATTGCAAACATGTTGGCTTTCAATGACCTGAATTTAATTGTCTCAAGTGAAATAAAGGAAACTTGAATTTGAAAGAAAAAGATGTTTAACAAATGAAAGGCTCGGAGGGTTGTTGTGAAACATCGTGAATGTATAAGTTGGAAAGTTGTAGCCATGGAAAATATATTACCCACACATCATATTTGGAGATAGCATTATGCAGAGATAGCTGAAATGCAAAATGATGACACAGAACTGAGATTTGCTTCTGCTGACACCACATCCCTCCACAACTTGCCCCTCTGTTTTACCACAAAAAAATTCAAATTCAAGACTTTTGGCAAAACATTAAACTTCTGGTTAAAACACGAGATGTTGCTGGGAAAACAGTAGCTAAAAATATCAGCAATGATCCATATGCCATGGAGGTACAATAAGGAGATAAACCTTCTGTGTTTTGGAATTTGATGTCATCTCAACTCTTGAATAGATACCTCTTCTTTATTATTTGGAGCCAGCCGACGGACAGAGATATCTGACACAAGTATAGGACAACCATGCACCCATACTCCCAGCTTGGAATGATGACCATGACAAAGTATGACACGAAGACCATCACAGAATATTCACTGCCGACGACACAAAGACTATCACAGAATATTCACTGCCTACGGCATAAGAATATCACAGAATATTCACTGCCTACAACTCGAAGAATATCACAGAATATTCACTGCCTACAACACGAAGAATATCACAGAATATTCACTGCCTACCATACAAAGACTATTACAAGATATTCACTGCCTACAACACAAAGACTAGCACAGGGTATTCACTGCCTACCACACAAAGACTAACAGGGTATTCACTGCCCACCACACAAAGACTAACAGGGTATTCACTGCCTACCACACAAAGACTAACAGGGTATTCACTGCCTACCACACAAAGACTAACTGGGTATTCACTGCCTACCACACAAAGACTAACAGGGTGTTCACTGCCCACCACACAAAGACTAACAGAGTATTCACTGCCTACCACACACAGACTAACAGGGTGTTCACTGCCCACCACACAAAGACTAACAGGGTATTCACTGCCCACCACACAAAGACTATCAGAGTATTCACTGCCTACCACACAAAGACTAACAGGGTGTTCACTGCCTACCACATAAAGACTAACAGGGTATTCACTGCCTACCACACAAAGACTAACAGGGTATTCACTGCCCACCACACAAAGACTATCAGAGTATTCACTGCCTACCCGAGTTGTTGTAAGGGCTAATGCAGGTGTGTCCACAGCCGTTGTAGCAGCACTTGGTGTCCCTGGCACAGTCTCCATCAGTGGTGCAGCCGTGTACACAACTTCCTGTCATGTTCCTCAACACCGGTGGACACACACCGTCCTTCTCTGCAATAACAATACAGAAAATCATCATTGTACATTGCGCAGTCCTGACAGTGATGATGAATCAGGTTGCACAGAGATACACACAGACATTAATCATTGGAACATAAATGGAACAATGTTTATGAAAAAAGTCACACAATAACTATACAATTACTTCAAAAACACAGGACTAAAGCTGAATGATGCAAAGTCTGTTGTGAGAGGACTTCAAACATGGCTGCCAGTGTTGGTTAAACATGTGATTAATTTTCTTCGGTCAGTAAATAACAACATGAATAGTTCACCACATAGAGGTCATACATACAGTCAAAACCCACTAGTCCAGACCCTGTTAATCCCGAATCTCTGCTTTCTGGACAGTTACTGTTTGGTACAACTGTACGAACCTAAAGCAATATGACAGCATAGCCATACTTTGTTTCTCCTGAAACTTGCTTATCCAGACAATTTGACCTGGAATAGTACTGCCTGGTTTAAGAGGGTTTCACAGAAGATGAATTCCTAAATATAGCAATGTATACACTCAAAGGCAAATCTAACTGTGATCATGTGGAACTTAGCCTGAGATGGACACAAGACAGGCAAAAATATTCTCAATATTCAAGAACTTCTGCCTGGCAAATATCTGAATACATCTCACAAGCAATGATGGAGTGTCCAGTTTTCTTCTTCATTGGAATAGAGAAGTTTGAAAAGGTGAGGTGAGGTGAAATGGGGTTTCACGTTGTGTCCAAGATTATTGCACTTATATAGCGATGTGCATGCACGTGTATGTGTGTGTGGCTGCTTGTACTAGTCCGGACTGATGCCGATTTATAGTGCTAGCACACTGAGATACCATGCTGCAGTTTAACATGAATACCCCACTCAGACACAGTATACTGACTCCGAGCCGACCAGTCCTTGTTTTAGCCCCTTAATGCCGAGCGCCAGACAGGGTAACAACAAGTACCATCTTTTAATGTCTTTTGGTATGACGCGGCTGGGGATCAAACCCCAGACCTTCCGCTCTCCGGGCAGACGCAGTTTGAAAAGGAAAGAAATATTAATGTACCACTTAATTATCCCACCCTGCATTCACATGGCAAAAACTACCCATGTACAGAGAGTCTAAATCAGGATAATCATTCTTAATTTGCACATACCAAATAATGAATATGATCAGTTACTTTGCCTTTGAGAATGCTTAAATTGCCGCCAGTAATTACCTGATTTAACAAAGCTATATGTGGTCCCATCAATCCAAACAGTGTCATCTTCTATGGTTTTCATCAGGGACACCAGCATGTCAGTTAGGTTTGAGATGGGGATGCTGAAATCCACAGTGAAGTTCACGCCAACACTTCCAGGCCTGCATGGAATAGTGAGTGAGTGAGTGAGTTTAAACATACTATGTTTTTAATACAGAGCTATGTAAGCTGCAGTTATGATGGTGCAAACTTGGGTTTTGAACACACAAAAAATCAATAAAAAAGAAAAGAAACAACGCATAACTTTGAATAACATGGGTGTCACCATTCGTATGACAGCTGGCATGCTTAGCTTTAGCTCTAGGATCCCTGCCAGGAGCAAGGCCGGTATTAGTTTGTGTTCCAGATACTGAGGATTTCTCTTTTACTTGAAAAGTATGTAGGCCACCCTCCCCAAGTCCTTGGATATATATTTCAACAGAAAAAATAGTTATTAACTGTTTCCTAGCATAACCAATAAACTTCCAACATTAGTTGAAAGGCCAAGAAAAGTCACTCTGTGTCACATGAGCAGCAACACAAGCTTGCTGACGTAAAGCATCTCTGCTGCAAAACATACAATAACATGGAAATCGGGGAACTACATTTTCAAACACACAAACTTTTAAAGACATTACCAGGAATTGTGTATTGCTCACAAACAAGTGTTTATATGCATACAGAATTTTCACTCATCAGATACCAGAACTATTCACTTGTTTCATACAATTGGAACTACGCAGGAGCAAGTTTAGTATTTTATTTATTACTTGCTGTTTATAACTTTTAAAATTTCACTGTTGTGTGTATGACGTAATTTTGTGAAATTTTGTTGCAAGATACGCCAGAACAACAATACCATGTGATGTCAGCCTTGCAACAGGGTTGCGGGGGTCATCAAATGTGCATAAGCTCCTCCCAGTGATCTATCATCTCTACAAGCAATGACACTGAATAAGCCCAGGGATGTTGAGAGTGATACTAGTTTCCACACTACACATGATCATGCTCTGGCTTTAAACACAGTGCAATAGCAACTTATTGTTATTGAACAGTGGTATCTTTAACAGGCAAGTAATTAAAAAAAGGTTTCAAACTTACCAAAATCCAGTTACAGTTAGGTTCTTGAATCCAGGAATGTAGGCATACGCTAACAGCTGTAACAAGGAGAAGGCAACAGCATGAACTAACCTTCACCTTGCACCCAGTAGCTCACCAATGAAAGAAATGCTGAACCTGACATGAACACACTAATATTTGGGTAGTATTATACACTCTGTAGTCCTAAACCCAAAGACTTGAGTTTGATCCACTTTCATTCCTAAAGTCAAGTACATGCGGCCGTGGTATGTATTACATAGAATGTACAAAGTTTCTGCCGTCAGAGCATTGTGCTTTTTGAGAAGAAGGTAAGTAAATATTTTGTTTGTTTCTAACTTAAAAAGCGTGACTTTTAAATTTGGAAGCTCTGGATAACAACTTGATGATGGCCAAGAATATGTATAGAAAAGCTAGCAGTGACAGCAGTGATGTGACAGCTCTGTTGTTGATATCTGGGGAGTGACAAGACACCTCAGCTGTTGATATCAGGAGTGACATGACATCTCAGTTGTTGATATCAGGAGTGACATGACACCTCAGTTGTTGATATCAGGAGCGACATGACACCTCAGTTGTTGATATCAGGAGTGACATGACACCTCAGTTGTTATATTTGGGGAGTGACATGACACCTCAGCTGTTGATATCAGGAGTGACATGACACCGCAAATGTTGATATCAGGAGTGACATGACACCACAGTTGTTGATATCAGGAGTGACATGACACCACAGTTGTTGATATCAGGAGTGACATGACACCGCAAATGTTGATATCAGGAGTGACATGACACCGCAGTTGTTGATAGCAGGAGTGACATGACACCTCAGTTGTTGATATCAGGATTAATATGACACCTCAGTTGTTGATATCAGGAGTGACATGACACCGCAGTTGTTGATACCAGGATTGATATGACACCTCAGCTGTTGATATCAGAAGTGACATGACACCTCAGCTGTTGATATCAGGAGTGACATGACACCTCAGCTGTTGATACCAGGAGTGACATGACACCTCAGTTGTTGATATCAGGAGAGACATGACACCTCAGCTGTTGATATCAGAAGTGACATGACACCTCAGCTGTTGATATCAGGAGTGGCATGACACCTCAGCTGTTGATATCAGGAGTGACATGACACCTCAGCTGTTGATACCAGGAGTGACATGACACCTCAGTTGTTGATATCAGGAGTGACATGACAACTCAGTTGTTGATATCAGTATATACAGTATATATCTAAATTCAGTATGTATATAACAGTATATTCAACAACAACATTCATATCTAAATTCCACTTCTAAAGCTTGATGCCAACTTTTATTAATGGACTATGAAGTGGATTCTCTAAACATTTTTAAGAACTGGATGATAACCACAGACTGTCAACACTCACTTTATTGCTCATGGCTGACTTGACACTTAAGTAGAAGCTTGAGGCTGGGTTCAACAGATCGTTTCGCCAAGCCATGTCAAGACGAACAGAGTCGTTGTACTTGTATGTCTCTGAAAACATTATTTTTTTAAAATCATCTAGTCCTTCAAAAATGGTGTTTCGAGACATGACCATAAATAGATTTTCCATCTTTCCAGCAACTGACAATAGAGGGAAAACATTATCTCTTTCACTCTTGCATAAGATTTGCTCAACACAAAGGAAACACTTATCAGACAATGTAAGTTTTAACATACCACTAAGTCATTGTGTCAAAACAGGCATCTATGTACTGTACTGTACTTGATACTGAACACAAGACTGAGGGATGTTGAATGTTCAAGTACTGTACTTGATACTGAACACAAGACTGAGGGATGTAGAATGTTCAAGTACTGTATTTGATACTGAACACGAGACTGAGGGATGTTGAATGTTCAAGTACTGTACTTGATACTGAACACAAGACTGAGGGTTGTTGAATGTTCAAGTACTGTACTTGATACTGAACACAAGACTGAGGGATGTTGAATGTTCAAGTACTGTACTTGATACTGAACACAATACTGAGGGATGTTGAATGTTCAAGTACTGTACTTGATACTGAACATGAGACTGAGGGTTGATAAATGTTCAAGTACTGTACTTGATACTGAACATGAGACTGTGGGTTGATGAATGTTCAAGTACTGTACTTGATACTGAACATGAGACTGAGGGATGTTGAATGTTCAAGTACTATACTTGATACTGAACACAAGACTGAGGGATGTTGAATGTTCAAGTACTGTACTTGATACTGATCACAATACTGAGGGATGTTGAATGTTCAAGTACTGTACTTGATACTGAACATGAGACTGAGGGTTGATGAATGTTCAAGTACTGTACTTTATACTGAACATGAGACTGAGGGTTGATGAATGTTCAAGTACTGTACTTGATACTGAACATGAGACTGAGGGTTGATGAATGTTCAAGTACTGTACTTGATACTGAACATGAGACTGAGGGTTGATGGATGTTCAAGTACTGTACTTGATACTGAACATGAGACTGAGGGTTGATGAATGTTCAAGTACTGTACTTGATACTGAACACGAGACTGAGGGTTGATGAATGTTCAAGTACTGTACTCGATACTGAACATGAGACTGAGGGTTGATGAATGTTCAAGTACTGTACTTGATACTGAACACAAGACTGAGGGTTGATGAATGTTCAAGTACTGTATTTGATACTGAACATGAGACTGAGGGTTGATGAATGTTCAAGTACTGTATTTGATACTGAACATGAGACAGGGATGTTGCATGTTCAAGTACTGTACTTGATACTGAACACAAGACTGAGGGATGTTGAATGTTCAAGTACTGTATTTGATACTGAACACGAGACTGAGGGATGTTGAATGTTCAAGTACTGTACTTGATACTGAACACAAGACTGAGGGATGTTGAATGTTCAAGTACTGTACTTGATACTGAACATGAGACTGAGGGTTGTTGAATGTTCAAGTACTGTACTCGATACTGAACATGAGACTAAGGGATGTTGAATGTTCAAGTACTGTACTTGATACTGAACACAAGACTGAGGGATGTTGAATGTTCAAGTACTGTACTTGATACTGAACACAAGACTGAGGGATGTTGAATGTTCAAGTACCGTACCTCCACCCTGGGCTGAACATGAAGAGAAGTCAAAGTTGAGCCTGCTCCTGACCGCGGCAGAGTTTTCGATGAGGGCGCGGGTAGTGATATAGGATGGACATCTTGTGTACAGATACACACAGGAGCCGATGGTCGGCAACAGGCTGCGGAATCAGGCAAAACAAAACAAATTCAGGGAAATAAACAATTGTGCAGTTGTGGTTTCAAGAAATGAAGATTACACTAACATTTCTACACAGAGTCCATCAAAGCAATTGTGCCACAAAATATCTCATTTAAACCCAAGAAAACTTTGTAGCACAATGGTGAGTTACCTGCACCGGTCCACTTGCCCGCCCAGTCCGGGCATACAGGAGGAAGACACGGTATACACAGCCAGCAGGTAGGAGTCATTGCACAGCGGCTTCACGCTGTACTCATCAGCCGCAGACACTGCAAAATACAATACAGCTTGTCACACTGTGTGGCACATTGTCCCACGTTGTGAAAACAGAGCCCAGTGTATCCACACTCCCTGTGTGTAATTGTAAGGGAAGCCATTTACACCCATATTAACAACCTCACAGTGATTCCATGGCAGTCGATTGGCTGACCATGCAATTTGTTTATGTGTTTGTTTCTAGAAACCAATACAAACTTAGACCACACACACCAATACATAACTATTTCCTGATTGGCTGATAATTAGAATGGGCGGGACATATGTTGCATTATTGTGCTGAATGATGTCACCGATTTTGTAATTGTTGTCTAATTGTTTTTGTGATTTGTAAATTAATAAGCAGATTTAGAAGTTTTAGCCTTTATTGAGTTATAAACGTAAACACTTTGAGTAAATCCGAGTATGCACACCAGTTTTCATGGTCATAAACATACTAAGCTAATTCTTTAACAACCTAACATTTGTCTTGGGGTGAGGTCGGTCAAACCATTTTCATGCATGAGTGTGCCAAGAAAGATGGCCTTTCCCAATGGGGGTATACTGACAAAACAGATTACTTAACTCTCACAAATACATTCAATATATCCATCACGACATTACTGCCCATTTGTTTCATGACATTCACCTTCCCAACCCTGAACACGTCAAATGTATCTTTTATTTTCTCAAACACTATGATAATGACAGCTGCTTGAGGAGAAGCATGCTGCTGTAACAGACAGGATGGAGGAAAACACATGCTTACCTGGGCAATAGGACAAATTGAAGAATGTGGAATTCAATCCTGCACTGGTGGGCATCGCCATGTAGGGGGCGAGCATTCCGTGGATATCTTCAAGGGAACAATTCATGCCTTTCCTACGGACCATGTGGCTTGCACAGGCCAGTCCAGACTTGTACATGCTGAACACAAGCATACACAGGGAGTAAGACATGCAGTGTGTGGGGGGAGTGAGTGAATGTGTGTGTTGATGGGTGAGTGAATGTGTGGGTGGGTGAGTGAGTGAATGTGTTGGTGGGTGGGTGAGTGAATGTTGGTGGGCGAGTGAGTGAATGTGTTGGTGGGTGAGTGAGTGAATGTGTTGGTGGGTGAGTGAGTGAATGTTGGTGGGTGAGTGAGTGAATGTGTTGGTGGGTGGGTGAGTGAATGTGTTGGTGGGTGAGTGGGTGAATGTGTGCATGAGGGAGAGTTGTATGGATGAGTGAGTGAATGTGTTGGTGGGTGAGTTAGTGAATGTGTGGGTTGGTGAGTGAATGTGTTGGTGGGTGAGTGAGTGACTGTAGGTGGGTGAGTGAGTGAATGTGTTGGTGGGTGGGTGAGTGAGTGAATGTGTTGGTTGGTGGGCGAGTGAGTGAATGTGTGGGTGGGTGAGTGAATGTGTTGGTGGGTGAGTGAGTGAATGTTGGTGGGTGAGTGAGTGAATGTGTTGGTGGTTGGGTGAGTGGGTGAATGTGTGTGAGGGTGAGTGAGTGAATGTGTGTGTGGGTGAGTGAATGTGTTGGTGGGTGGGTAAGTGAGTGAATGTGTTGGTGGGTGAGTGAGTGAATGTGTTGGTGGGTGAGTGATTGAATGTTGGTTGGTGAGTGAGTGAATGTGTTGGTGGGTGAGTGAGTGAATGTGTTGGTGGGTGAGTGAGTGAATGTTGACAGGTGAGTGAGTGAATGTGTTGGTGGGTGAGTGAGTGAATGTGTTGGTGGGTGAGTGATTGAATGTTGGTGGGTGAGTGAGTGAATGTGTTGGTGGGTGAGTGAGTGAATGTTGGTGGGTGAGTGAGTGAATGTGTTGGTGGTTGGGTGAGTGAGTAAATGTGTTGGTGGGTGAGTGGGTGAATGTGTGTGAGGGTGAGTGAGTGAATGTGTGTGTGGGTGAGTGATTGAATGTTGGTTGGTGAGTGAGTGAATGTGTTGGTGGGTGAGTGAGTGAATGTGTTGGTGGGTGAGTGAGTGAATGTTGACAGGTGAGTGAGTGAATGTGTTGGTGGGTGAGTGATTGAATGTTGGTTGGTGAGTGAGTGAATGTGTTGGTGGGTGAGTGAGTGAATGTGTTGGTGGGTGAGTGAGTGAATGTTGACAGGTGAGTGAGTGAATGTGTTGGTGGGTGAGTGAGTGAATGTGTTGGTGGGTGAGTGAGTGAATGTTGGTGGGTGAGTGAGTGAATGTGTTGGTGGTTGGGTGAGTGAGTAAATGTGTTGGTGGGTGAGTGGGTGAATGTGTGTGAGGGTGAGTGAGTGAATGTGTGTGTGGGTGAGTGAATGTGTTGGTGGGTGGGTAAGTGAGTGAATGTGTTGGTGGGTGAGTGAGTGAATGTGTTGGTGGGTGAGTGATTGAATGTTGGTTGGTGAGTGAGTGAATGTGTTGGTGGGTGAGTGAGTGAATGTGTTGGTGGGTGAGTGAGTGAATGTTGACAGGTGAGTGAGTGAATGTGTTGGTGGGTGAGTGAGTGAATGTGTTGGTGGGTGAGTGATTGAATGTTGGTGGGTGAGTGAGTGAATGTGTTGGTGGGTGAGTGAGTGAATGTGTTGGTGGGTGAGCAGGTGAATGTGTGCATAAGGGAGAGTTGTATGGATGGTGAGTGAATGTGGATGGGTGAGTTATTGAATGTTGGTGGATGAGTGAGTGAATGTGTTGGTGGGTGAGTGAGTGAATGTGTGCATGAGGTAGTGCTGTATGGATGAGTGAGTGAATGTGTTGGTGGGTGAGTGAGTGAATGTTGACAGGTGAGTGAGTGAATGTGTTGGTGGGTGAGTGAGTGAATGTGGGTGGGTGAGTGAGTGAATGTGTTGGTGGGTAAGTGAGTGAATGTGTGCATGAGGGAGTGTGTGAATGTGTGGATGGGTGAGTGAGTGAATGTGTTGGTGGGTGAGTGAGTGAATGTGTTGGTGGGTGAGTGAGTGAATGTGTGGATGGGTGAGTGAATGTGTGGGTGGGTGAGTGAGTGAATGTGTGTGTGGGTGAGTGAGCAAATGTGTGGGTGGGTGAGTGAATGTGGATGGGTGAGTGAGTGAATGTGTTGGTCGGTGAGTGAGTGAGTGTGTGCATGAGGGAGAGTTGTATGGATGAGTGAGTGAATGTGTGGGTGGGTGAGTGAATGTGGATGGGTGAGTGAGTGAATGTGGGTGGGTGAGTGAGTGAATGTTGGTGGGTGAGTGAGTGAATGTGTGCATGAGGGAGAGTTGTATGGATGAGTGGGTGAATGTGTGGGTTTGAATCCCAGGTGGAACTCAACCCCCAAAAGTACAAGAATTTGTTCTTTACTAAGAAAGTGTTATACCACATATAACATTTGTTGCAATATTGTTCTAGTTTTCAGTTTTCACTACATCTCTATTAGTTAATATTGTTTGCATGGTGTACGACATACCTGCATTTGTCCAGCTGAGAGAGAGTTGTTTTGACAGCCTCAAAAGGCTGCATGCAGTACTGCAGCATCTCCACCAGCACCCCGGACATGGATATCATGCTGGAGCAAGTCATGTTGCCGCCTGTCACAAACACAAAAATGTCATAATTTGCCAAGTGTCTGTATAAACATGGTACAATATTGACAGGCACATTGCCCATTGAGACACTGAAGACACTGCAAACATGTAGACAAGTAATCAGCCAAGTCACCGCGAGTACAACAGCACGACAGCACAAAAACATATATTGTCTGAAAACTACTCTATAAATTATTTTTTAACAATGTGAAAAAATATTTTGAGGCCACTTGTCATACCTCTAAAAAGAATCTTGCAATTCCACTGGTTAATTCGTACCACATGATGAAACAATACATTTCAATATAGACCCCACAAATCATGTGACACTGACCTCGAATATTGACTCGTCACATGATCAGTATTGACCTGTCACAATATGCTAATAGAAAACAATATGTCATCTTGTACTGACATTTCACAGTTCACAGACAAGTAACTGTAATACAACAGAAGATGGTTTAAAGGCTTAATATACTTTTTAACCTTGTCAACAGTAATCATTCGGCTTGATATACTGAAATTCATGAGGCAGTCCTCTGTTTCATTTCAGTAACTTATCTGTGAACCGTGACACGTCAGTGGCTGATGTCATCTTGTTTCCTAGCAGACAAGTCAATATTCATCAGTCAGTGTCAGTCACACGATTTGGGGGTCTACATTTAAATGTATTGTTTCGTCACATGTTACGGATTAACTAATGGAATTGCAAGAATCTTAATCAAGGTATAACAAATATACATATGCTGGAAAAGTGTTGCAAATATTAATATGAACGATCTACAGTGCAAATATTTATATGAACTATCTCAGGACAAATATTTATATCAACTATCTCAGGACAAATATTCATATGAACTATCGACAGTGCAAATATTTATATGATGTACATTTTCAGTGCAGAAATGTATATCAACCATTTTGGTGAAAATATTTATAAGGGACTATCATTAGTGCCAAAAATTTCCAGCTTTTTTCACATTCTTTAGCTTCTATATGTGCATTTCTTTACAAAGTTTCAAATGATTTGATGGCCTCAGTTACTCGGATTTCAATATACTAGTGTTGGCAATTATAGTTTGTATTTCTTCATAGGTCATAATGAACAAACTGGCCTCAGCTACAGGGATTTCAATATTCTAGTGTTGGCAATTATAGTTTGTATTTCTTCATAGGTCATAATGAACAAACTGGCCTCAGCTACAGGGATTTCAATATTCTAGTGTTGGCAATTATAGTTTGTATTTCTTCATAGGTCATAATGAACAAACTGGCCTCAGCTACAGGGATTTCAATATACTAGTGTTGGCAATTATAGTTTGTATTTCTTCATAGGTCATAATGAACAACCTGGGCATTTCAGCATTTCTCAATACAATGAAATAAAAACCTAATATATATTCAATCAATGTCACAACACTCCCTATCAACACAGACTTCGCTCTATATTTGTTGCAATGGGGATGAGTGAGTGAGTGAGTGAGTGGGGTTTAACACCAGCATGGACAGCATATCAGTTACATCACAGCATGTCAGTTTAATTGATGCAGACTCATCAGTTTTGTGAAACCCATGAGTACGGGTATGGAGCTGACAAACAGAAACATAATCAGGGCAAACCCAGATTCGAACCCACAATCACAGGTTTTAACTCTGCACAGTGCACTGTGGCATCTCAAGACTACTGGGCCACCCATGCCCACACTATAATCCTCTTCAAATCTGGACCCTCACAATTAAGCTTTTCATTTCAAATAAATTGACAAGTATCAAATTAAAGGTAGTTTTATAGCTAAATCTGTACAACATATTTTTGTACATCAAATTTGAATGTGAACTATCCAATATTTTAGGAAAGGTACATTCATTTCAGTAATTGCTTAGGATGATCAAATAACAAAAATTATGACTTTAAATGGCATATGTAAAAGTCTAGTGATGGTAATTTTTCAGATCTCTGTGCACATTGTTCTCTTCACTAACCTTCACTAGGGCCTGGACACTTGGAAAAGTTAAAACCTTTCCTTTGATGGATGACTTGGGCATTGTTGATGACAGCATCATAGATTCTGGAGACTGGACACTTGACTATCATTTGTAGACATGCCACAGAGCCATTCAACAACCTGGAGATTATTATACAGATTACATAACATGTTATCAGATGCATCTCATTCAGCAACCTGGAGATTATTATACAGATTACATAACATGTTATCAGGTGCATGTCATTCAGCAGCCTGGAGATTATTATACAGATTACATAACATGTTATCAGGTGCATGTCATTCAGCAGCCTGGAGATTATTATACAGATTACATAACATGTTATCAGGTGCATGTCATTCAGCAGCCTGGAGATGATTATACAGATTACATAACATGTTATCAGGTGCATCTCATTCAGCAGCCTGGAGATTATTATACAGATTACATAACATGTTATCAGGTGCATGTCATTCAGCAGCCTGGAGATTATTATACAGATTACATAACATGTTATCAGGTGCATGTCATTCAGCAACCTGGAGATTATTATACAGATTACATAACATGTTATCAGGTGCATGTCATTCAGCAACCTGGAGATTATTATACAGATTACATAACATGTTATCAGGTGCATCTCATTCAGCAACCTGGAGATTATTATACAGATTACATAACATGTTATCAGGTGCATGTCATTCAGCAGCCTGGAGATGATTATACAGATTACATAACATGTTATCAGGTGCATCTCATTCAGCAACCTGGAGATTATTATACAGATTACATAACATGTTATCAGATGCATCTCATTCAGCAACCTGGAGATTATTATACAGATTACATAACATGTTATCAGGTGCATGTCATTCAGCAGCCTGGAGATTATTATACAGATTACATAACATGTTATCAGGTGCATGTCATTCAGCAGCCTGGAGATTATTATACAGATTACATAACATGTTATCAGATGCATCTCATTAAGCAACCTGGAGATTATTATACAGATTACATAACATGTTATCAGGTGCATGTCATTCAGCAGCCTGGAGATTATTATACAGATTACATAACATGTTATCAGGTGCATGTCATTCAGCAGCCTGGAGATTATTATACAGATTACATAACATGTTATCAGATGCATCTCATTAAGCAACCTGGAGATTATTATACAGATTACATAACATGTTATCAGGTGCATGTCATTCAGCAGCCTGGAGATTATTATACAGATTACATAACATGTTATCAGGTGCATGTCATTCAGCAGCCTGGAGATTATTATACAGATTACATAACATGTTATCAGATGCATCTCATTAAGCAACCTGGAGATTATTATACAGATTACATAACATGTTATCAGGTGCATGTCATTCAGCAGCCTGGAGATTATTATACAGATTACATAACATGTTATCAGGTGCATGTCATTCAGCAGCCTGGAGATTATTATACAGATTACATAACATGTTATCAGATGCATCTCATTAAGCAACCTGGAGATTATTATACAGATTACATAACATGTTATCAGGTGCATGTCATTCAGCAGCCTGGAGATTATTATACAGATTACATAACATGTTATCAGGTGCATGTCATTCAGCAGCCTGGAGATTATTATACAGATTACATAACATGTTATCAGATGCATCTCATTCAGCAACCTGGAGATTATTATACAGATTACATAACATGTTATCAGGTGCATGTCATTCAGCAACCTGGAGATTATTATACAGATTACATAACATGTTATCAGGTGCATGTCATTCAGCAGCCTGGAGATTATTATACAGATTACATAACATGTTATCAGGTGCATGTCATTCAGCAGCCTGGAGATTATTATACAGATTACATAACATGTTATCAGATGCATCTCATTAAGCAACCTGGAGATTATTATACAGATTACATAACATGTTATCAGGTGCATGTCATTCAGCAGCCTGGAGATTATTATACAGATTACATAACATGTTATCAGATGCATCTCATTCAGCAGCCTGGAGATTATTCTAAGATAATGAAAGTGGCCTCTTTGGTTTATTTCATTTGGACTGTGCCCTGGCCTCATGTTAAACCTTTCCATGGTTGCCCCTGGAAACTATTCCAGCCCATTCATGAATTCAATCAAGATCTGCCCAACAGAGGTGCATTCGGACTGCAAGAAGCTGGCATCACCTACATGCAGGTGTCTGGTATTCCAGGGGATGACTGCAGGCATATGGACTGAGATGCATACAGGGCCAGCCCACGGGAGTCCTCACACAGCGACTTCTGCATGCTGGAGTTGCCTGTGGGGGCTGCAAGGACACAGTAATAATCAACAACTTTGACATTATGTCTGTAGGCAGAGCCAGACAGGTGTTAGTGTTCAATTTCAAATATATTAGGCTTCATCAATGAAAGATCAAATGACCAATGCACATTTCTTCCCAACAGAAATATACCGGGTACATAGAGGTTATCACGCCTGTGTGTTTGGGGATGGTAAATATCCTGCATTAGGAATAAACATTGTATTTAGCGAGCCTTGGCGAGCTAAATACATAGTGTTTATTCCTAATACAGGATATTTACCATCCCCAAACACACACGCCTGATAACCTCTTTATCATATAATGTCATTCTTTAATTCTGTGCTTTAAAATCGCTTTCCCTCTCTCACAAACATTACCGAAACATTGCGAGTTTTCCTGGAATGCGCGCATTAATATTTATTACATCACAGGGTAAGTGCTGTGTCAGTCGGACTGTGACAGTAGCCAATATAGTTCCAACTGAAATCTGTTTCTTATACAGTGGCGAGGCAACATATATGCAAAACAACAATTGTTTTTACTTGCCTTTCGTGGCAATCCATCGGTCTGTCCGCTAGAGAAACTGCTCTTTGTCAAAGGGAAGCTACTCTAACCCTAGTCTATGAGACGTCACGGCCACGGTCAGACGTTGTTGACAGTCGGTCTGTCCTTTCATAACGTTAAGAAGTGTAGTCAGATGTACACACAGCGACAAATCGAAACAAGGTAACAGTTCAAACATATTTTGGCCGAATCCAGCCATTTTGATTTGTGGAGAAGGTTTCAAGCCACAGAGGTCTACAAGCACAGATATGGCTACTGATCCCGCTTGGCTAGGCCTCGTGCCCTGGCAAAATTGTTTCGAAATTTTTATCTCGAAAGTTGCCAAAACTTATAAAATGTCTTAGCTACGTCACAGTTAGACACTGATTTTCAGTATATCAGACTGTTGGTTTGATAATGATAGCAATTATCCCCGTAGTTTATCCAGATTCACGATGGTTAATTCTGACTCGATCACCGAATGACGAGGGCGATGCCATGTTTGTTTATAAACAGTGAAAGTAGTCCTACTTGACCTTTGATATTTGAATCTCTATCCGCATATGACCCCAACGGATATCGTTTTTATCCGTTGGCTTTATCCTGCCGAGAAACCTACCTATTATATGATAAATATTATTATCTAAAACAATTCCTGACATTGTGAATCATCAAACAATAGTTATCATTGTGTATAATTCTGAAAATACTACCTCAATTACATCATTGCCATAATCCTGTTGTTTGGCTATCATCACTCTGTAAAAGCTTTTAGAAGTTCAAAAGATGACCCCTTCAGTGTCACTTGTCCAAATACAGGATTTATGGCTTTGGTGTAATGGGGGTACAGTATTTAAAGGAATTATACATATGTTATAGTTCCTCAGCAAGAGACCGATGGAGAAAGTATTGGTTAAGCTCTATCAGCTATATCAACTATTCACTTCTGTGATTGTGGCAGACTATGTAAAAAAATAACTTAAACATTGTTGATGCTTACACACGGATCCAGTTTAGTGCATTTTACACAATAGCAAGTCTCCATCTCGGCTTTTCATGTTGAAACATGATTACTCCATGAGAACACCATGATCAGACATAGTAGACATCAGCAGACATGACTAGACATGAGTAGACATGAGTAGAGAGTGAGTAAACATAAGTAGACATGAGAAGACATGAGTAGACATAGGAGCAGATATTAGAAGACATGAGCAGACATGAGTAGACATGAGTAGACATGAGCGATATGAGCAGACATGAGCGATATGAGCAGACATGAGTAGATGAGCAAACATATGCATGAGCAAACATATGCATGAGCAGACATGAGTAGACATGAGTAGACATAAGAGCAGATATAAGAAGACATGTGTAGACATGAGTGACACGAGAAGACATGGGTAGACATGAGTAGACATGGGTAGACATGAGTAGACATGAGAAGACATGGGTAGACATGAGACCATCAGTAGACATGAGTAGACACGAGAAGACATGTGTAGACATGTGTAGACATGAGCAGACATGGGTAGACCTGTGTAGATATGAGCAGACATGGGTAGACATGAGTAGACATGATTAGACATGATTAGACATGGGTAGACATAAGGAGACCATCAGTATACAAGAGTAGACATAACAAGACCATCAGTAGACATGTGTAGACATGAGAAGACATGAGAAAAGATGAGAAGACATGCAAACACATGAGAAGACATGAGTAGACATAAGTAGACATGAGAAGACATGAGTAGACATGAGAAGACATGAGAAGACATGAGTAGACATGAGAAGACATGAGTAGACAAAAGCAAGCATGAGCAGACATAGAGCATATATAAGAAGACATAAGCAGGCATAAGGAGACCATCAGTAGACAGTGAGTAGATGCAAGGAGACCATCAGTAGACAGTGAGTAGATACAAGGAGACCATCAGTAGACAGTGAGTAGATACAAGGAGACCATCAGTAGACAGTGAGTAGATACAAGGAGACCATCAGTAGACAGTGAGTAGATACAAGGAGACCATCAGTAGACAATGTGGTAACTGGAGTTTCAGAGAGTACCTTGACACTGAGAGTAGTCTGGGATTGTCATGTTTGAGTTAGACTTTATCAAGTCCAAGTAGGATCTCATCTGGCCATGAAGTTCCATCAAGGAACAGTTATAGTGGTCCTTCCGTAATTCATTTCTTGCACACACAATTGTGGAGGCAAACAACCTGCAACAAAAACAAAGGAGTCACATGTGCTGACAATGTTTGCTGCTTCATGAGTAATACTATAGTTTGTAAACCAGCAATATTTATTGCAAGTATTGACAAAACCAATTCGTTTACCACTCTTACCTTACCATAACAAGCAACACATCTATCATAGGGGTTGTTGTGGGTGTTGGGTGGGGTACAACCCCTACCCTCCATATATATGTACCACCCCTACCTTTCACATACCTGTACCACCCCTACCCTCCACATACCTGTACCAACCCCTACCCTCCACATACCTGTACCACCCCTACCCTCCACATACCTGTACCACCCCCTACCCTCAACATACCTGTACCACCCCTACCCTCCACATACCTGTACCACCCCTACCCTCCACATACCTGTACCACCCCCTACCCTCCACATACCTGTACCACCCCCTACCCTCCACATACCTGTAACACTCCTACTTCCACATAACTGTACGACCCTCGACTCTCCACATATCAGTACAATACCTCGCCTCTATTATAATTTGCACTTTGTTGGAGGAGGTGCGAGCCTGTGGGAGGAGGTGGAGGCCTGTGGAAGGAGGTGGAGGCCTGTGGGAGGAGGTGGAGGCCTGTGGGAGGAGGTGGAGGCCTGTGGGAGGAGGTGGAGGCCTGTGGAAGGAGGTGTAGGCCTGTGGGAGGAGGTGCGAGCCTGTGGGAGGAGGTGGAGGCCTGTGGGAGGAGGTGGAGGCCTGTGGAAGGAGGTGGAGGCCTGTGGAAGGAGGTGGAGGCCTGTGGAAGGAGGTGGAGGCCTGTGGCAGGAGGTGTAGGCCTGTGGAAGGAGGTGGAGGCCCGTGGAAGGGGGAGCAGACCAGTGGGAGGAGTGGAGAACTGTGGAAGGAGGTGGAGGCCTGTGAATGGAGGCGGAGGCCTGTGGGAGGAGGTGGAGGCCTGTGGGAGGAGGTGTAGGCCTGTGGAAGGAGGTGGAGGCCTGTGGCAGGAGGTGTAGGCCTGTGGGAGGAGGCGGAGGCCTGTGGAAGGAGGTGGAGCCCTGTGAATGGAGGCAGAGGCCTGTGGGAGGAGGTGTAGGCCTGTGGAAGGAGGTGGAGGCCTGTGGAAGGAGGTGCAGGCCTGTGGAAGGAGGTGTAGGCCTGTGGAAGGAGGCGGAGGCCTGTGGAAGGAGGTGTAGGCCTGTGGAAGGAGGTGTAGGCCTGTGGAAGGAGATGGAGACCAGTGGAAGGAAGTGGAGGCCTCTGGAAGGAGGCGGAGGCCTGTGGAAGGAGGTGGAGGCCTGTGGAAGGATACGGAGGCCTGTGGAAGGAGCTGGAAGCCTGTGAAAGGAGGTGTAACCCTTTTGGAGGAGGTGTTGGCCTGTTGGTGGAGTGCCCACTTTGTGGATAGAGCATTCACAGTTCAACATACCTGCACACATCAGAGGAGGATAAAGTTGTTGTGTTGAGGGCCATGATGGGAGTGAGGCAGTTGATAGCCAGGTTGGCAAAACCTGAATAGCCCACCAAGGGGACACAGGGTTGCATTGTCATATTTTCACCTGTAATCAGAAAAGAATAGCTATGCATATATCCTAAATAGAAAAGAATTTCACTTTCTGTGGTATGTATGTTGCTTGTATAATAAAAAGCTATCGTGTTGGCAACTGAATATAATATCAGATGTATTACTGTGATAGCTCTCTGCATGAAGACATAACAAACCCTTCATACAAAGCTGAATCAGGGAAAATGAAGAATGCATGGGTTCTTGAGCCAGGGTTTAGATGTCTGCTTTCTGAAAGTATTAAGCTTCATATCCATAATCACCATAATTTGGAAATTTCAATATTATTAAAGGAAAAGCAACACCTCCCTTCAATAGTAAATAGTGTAACTGTAACAACTTCCCCATGGTACTGCCCATTTGTGCTAATTTTCAAGAAATTTCTCACTGCATCACTTTCTGGTACTGAGCACCTAGAAGCATCGATGCTTCTAAACATTGGTTGATGACAAGTTGGAGGTTTTGTCAGGGTTTCAAGCAAAAGGGTGTCACACTTGAGTGAAAGATTGCCCCATGGAAACCCAGGTGAGAAAAGGTCCTCTTAAAACAACCACAAACCCAGTAAAAACCCAAACCAGTAAAGAAAAAAATATCAAAACAACAGTTATCATTGTTAATCATTCTAAGAAAACTATCTCTATTACATCTCTGTCATAAATCCTGTATTTTGGCTGCAATCACACCAAAACTGAACTTTCAGATTTTCAACAATAGTCCTCCTCACTGTCAACTGTACATTAGTTGTATCCCTAATAGCACTCTGGACTACCTCTTCCATGTATAAATTTAGGTAGGAAAATCATCATAATGATGGGAGGGAGTAATTCTGTTGTAATAGAGGTAGAACTACGATTCCTACGATTACATCATTGCCAGAATACACCACTAAGAAAGTTCTGCCTGAAGGACACTCCTTTACAGTTGACAGCAAATCGAGTAGAATCATATTGTAAATCTTTGGACTGCTTCAGATCCTCATGAGGTCATCCTATTCTTCACCTTAAAAAGACCTGGAAATCATCATGCAGTCGAATAATCAGACAATACGTGATACCTTCTCTTGAATTATCGTTATATTGCTGATATCCTTGTTAATGACTCTAGAACCTTCTGAGACATCATAATCTGGTTAATTTAGGTTCTGACATCACTTCCGTACCCATTTTTACAACCCGTCACTTTCACTCTAAATGACATCCCTTCCTTGTAGATGTCATTTCCCTTCTCCTAAAAGTCATGACATCACTTCCAGCCTCTTTGCCAACATTATGACATTTCTTCCAGTCCATATAACTGACAACACTTCTGGTACGATTAACATCATTAATGACCCGAAGCCTGGTTGTGACGTCTGTTCCAGTCTCAATGCTTCTGATTTTGACGTCACTCCTAGTCGGATCTGAGATACATGTAGACATATGACATGTGTTCTTCTAGAACTAATAAATAAATCGTCGCTTACCACCACCCCCACACACACTTTTTTTTTCCCATAGACAGGAGGGAAAAACTATGCCTTAATTAAAGCCTGTGCAGCAATTACAGGTCCTAATGAATATGTCCCCGATAGATCCGGTTGCACATCTCTTAGATAAAAGTGAGTGAAGATATAATGTGAATATTCCTATGGCGTCGATGCAGGTCCATAGCTGCCAAGTATGACTTAAAAGCATAGATAGGGCAAAGTAATTGGGTCCGGATGGTCTGTTGTAGGACCTAGAGCAGGGTAGTGTCTATGTCCTAATGGTCCGGTAACTGTAGGCTGATTCTTGGCCACAAAATCAGGGAGAGCATGTAAGGTGATGGATTTCCAAGATAAGTCATAAGCCGAGTCAGGAATTCCCTGTCTTGTAGGAGCTGACATCTATCCTGATTGACCACTAGAAAATCATCCAGATAACCATGGAGATGGGCAAAACATGACTGGAGCTGTTACCCATGTGAATAACCATGGGGCGAACGACATCCCAAATGGCAGGACCCAGAACTCGAAAAGACAGCCATTAACAGCAAATCTGAGATATCTCTGGGACTTGTCCGTATGGGGTTGAGTAGTTGGGATATAATGATGAATTGCTCACAACATATCCACATAGGAAAACTTTGTCCCTGCTGATGATTATCTGGCTGATGATCCGGACAGTGTTGAAGCCTGTGTGGTGTCCAGGGTGGTTGAGTCTCCTGTTGGTCAATGACTTAAAGCCTGACTGGCTTGTGGAGTAGAGTCTTGACCCCCATCCGGTGGCGCAAGTCCATGATGCTCGTAGCAGACGATGATGATAGGCGAGGCCCCAATGAGGCCTGTCCCCAATGCGGCCCCTTGCCGTGGGGATACTTGTGTGCCTGTTCTGAAGAGGCCTGTTTCATCTTTTCTATTTCTATAGACAAAGCTGACAAAAGGATTCAAAGAGGGTTTCCATGGAGGATTTCTGCTGAGGGAGAAGGAGCTCCAGCATAGCTATGGTGTCTTTTGCTGTCTCCATCGATTGTGTTGTCTAGGGGGTAGTAGGGAGTGTCGGGATTACTTGAGTAGCTGGTGATATGTGAATTGACATAGTGGCGTCCACTTCTTTGCTGCTTCCATTCTCCTGTAAAGTTATCCTATAATTTGGAGAAGGTTTTCTTGGATACGAGATTGCAGAACTCAAAGCAATGATCTTCAGTGCATTAATTTTGCCGAGGAACTAAAAGCAGCCACACTTCTGACACATGGAAGGAACCAGAAGATGCCATAAGAGAAATTACACTACACCAAACACCTCCTGATACTCATGTGAAATGTGTCTCCAAGATATGACCAACTGCTATTTTTAGTAGCATAAATAGTACTAAAACGGATTACTACCTAAACTGAAAAGGAAATAGAAATAGTGAGACTACATGACCGTGCTGGAGTCGGAGCAGCTTCAGTGAAGAAGTGAGGATTTTCCTGCCTTTCCACATGGAAGAGGTAATCCAAAGTGCTATTAGGGATACAACTAATATGTATAGTTGACAGTGAAGAGGACTTCTGTTGAAAATCTAATAGTTTAGTTTCAGTGTGATTGCAGCCAAAATACAGGATTGTGACAGAGATGTAATAGAGGTAGTCTTCTTAGAGTTATAAACAATGCAAACTGTTGGTTTGATATTTTTGTCTTTACTGGTTAGGAAATGTGGAATAGATATGGGTTTGAGGTTGTTTTAAGAGGACCTTTTATCACCTGGGTTCCCATGGGGTAATTTTTCATTCAAGTGTGACACCTTTCTGCTAAGTGTGATTGCAAACAAAAACCAGGACTATGACAATGATGTAAAAGAGGAAGAGGATTCGTAACAGCCATGCATATGTTACACTTACTGGGACGGTGGACACAACAGTCATGCATGTTACACTTACTGGGACGGTGGACACAACAGCCATGCATGTTACACTTACTGGGAGGGTGGACACAGCAGCCATGCATGTTACACTGACTGGGAGGGTGGACACAGCATGTTACACTTACTGGGACGGTGGACACAACAGCCATGCATGTTACACTTACTGGGACGGAGGACACATGTTACACATACTGAGAGGGTGGACACATCTGTCATGCATGCTACACTAACTGGGACGGTGGACAGATGTTACACATACTGAAAGGGTGGACACAACAGCCAAGCATGTTACACTTACTGGGAGGGTTGACACAACAGTCATGCATGTTACACTTACTGGGAGGGTGGAAACATCTGGCAAGCATGTTTCACTTACTGGGACGGAGGACACATGTTACACTTACTGGGACGGTGGACACAACAGTCATGCATGCTACACTAACTGGGACGGTGGACAGATGTTACACATACTGAGAGGGTGGACACAACAGCCAAGCATGTTACACTTACTGGGAGGGTTGACACATTTGTCAAGCATGGTACATTTACTGGGAGGGTGGACACATCTGTCAAGCATGTTTCACTTACTGGGAGGGTGGACACAACAGCCATGCATGTTACACTTACTGGGAGGGTTGACACAATAGTCATGCATGTTACACTTACTGGGACGATGGACACAACAGCCATGCATGTTACAGGAGGGTGGACACAAGAGCCATCCATGTTACACTTACTGGGAGGGTGGACACAACAGTCATGCATGTTACACTTACTGGGACGATGGACACAGCAGCCAAGCATGGTACACTTACTTGGAGGGTGGACACATTTGTCAAGCATGGTACATTTACTGGGAGGGTGGACACAACAGTCATGCATGTTACACTTACTGGGACGATGGACACAGCAGCCAAGCATGGTACACTTACTGGGAGGGTGGACACATTTGTCAAGCATGGTACATTTACTTGGAGGGTGGACACAAAAGTCATGCATGGTACATTTACTGGGAGGGTGGACACATCTGTCAAGCATGGTACATTTACTGGGAGGGTGGACACAACAGTCATGCATGTTACACTTACTTGGAGGGTAGACATAACTGTAAAGCATGTTACACTTACTGGGAGGGTGGACACACAAGTCATGCATGTTACACTTACTGGGACGATGGACACAGTAGCCAAGCATGTTACACTTACTGGGATGGTGGATAGGTTGTTGACAACTGTGACCACATCCATGAGAGCAGCACTTCTCTGCACCTGGACAGCTGGCATCAGAGGTGCAGTATTCCACACACGTGCCCATCATTGTACTGTTCCTTGGTGGGCACATGCCAGACTTATCTGCAAGGAAATATTGAGACATCAACTTCTCCTCTGGGGCACAAACAAAGCATTGTAAATTTTAGTTTCACTTTGCATTTTTACCTCCATTGTTTACCATTCCAACAAATTACTGGAACATGCAAGTATAACAACCCAGATATGTAAGGCTGAAAACTTTATGTATCCCCTCAGATTTAACACATGAACCAAAAACCCATGTCTACTCCATATTTCCTAACTAAACAAACATTGCAAAAATGTATTTACTTGACATTCTTGACTCGCAGTTGTATCCCCTGTAACCATGTGGACACAAACAGTAGCTTGAGCCATTAAGGACCACACAAGTTCCTCCATTGTAACATGTGAGGGAGCATGAACCTGGAAACAGATGGTTTTGACAGTTAGCTTTTGGACTCTTTATGGACTGCAGGCTGTCCAAGTGGTAATCACATGACAGCATTTTCATACTCCCGATTGGTCAAATAATGATGACCTGATAGCGTGATGAGTCTCACAGTTTGTTGACTTTGTCCAATTATCATCACAGGTCAATGAGAAACCATATTTCACTCACATACATAACTTTTTACATGAAACCTGAATAACAGATATCAATCTAACATGGAGCCTGAATAACACTGGCACATTTACTGGGATGGTGGACACAGCATGTTACACTTACTAGGAGGACACATCTGTCAAGCATGGTACACTTACTGGGACGGTGGACACATCTGTCAAGCATGGTACACTTACTGGGACGGTGGACACATCTGTCAAGCATGGTACACTTACTGGGAGGTCGGACACATCTGTCAAGCATGGTGCACTTACTGGGACTGTCGACACTTCTATCAGCATGGCACACTTACTGGGAGGGTGGACGCATCAGTCAATCATGGTGCACTTACTGGGAGGGTGGACAAATCTGTCAAGCATAGCGGACTTACTGGGATGGTGGACACAGCATGGTACACTTACTGGGAGGGTGGACACATCTGTCAAGCATGGTACACTTACTGGGATGGTGGACACATCTGTCAAGCATGGTACACTTACTGGGACATCAGACACATCTGTCAAGCATGGTACACTTACTGGGAGGTCGGACACATCTGTCAAGCATGGTGCACTTACTGAGAGGGTGGACACATCTGTCAGTCATGGTGCACTTACTGAGAGGGTGGACACATTTGTCAATCATGGTGCACTTACTGGGAGGGTGGACACAGCTGTCAAGCATGGTCCACTTACTGGAATGGTGGACACAGCATGGTATACTTACTGGGAGGGTGGACACTTCTGTCAAGCATGGTACACTTACTGGGAGGGTGGACACATCTGGCAAGCATGGTGCACTTACTGGGAGGGTGGACACATCTGGCAAGCATGGTGCACATAGTGGAAGGTTGGACACAGCTGTCAAGCATGGTACACTTACTGGGAGGGTGGACACAGCTGTCAAGCATGTTAAACTTACTGGGAGGGTGGGAACATCTGTCAAGCATAGTGCAGTTACTGGGATGGTGGACACAGCATGGTACACTTACGGGGAGGGTGGACACATCTGGCAAGCATGTTTCACTTACTGGGATGGTGGACACTTCTGTCAAGCATGGTACATTTACTGCGAGGGTGGACACATTTGTCAAGCATGGTACACTTACTGGGAGGGTGGACACATCTGTCAAGCATGTTACACTTACTGGGAGGGTGGACACAGCAGCCATGCATGTTACACTTACTGGGAGGTTGGACACAACAGTCATGCATGGTACACTTACTGGGAGGGTGGACACATCTGTCAAGCATGGTACATTTACTGGGAGGGTGGACACAACAGTCATGCATGTTACACTTACTGGGAGGGTGGACACAGCAGCCATGCATGTTACACTTACTGGGAGGTTGGACACAACAGTCATGCATGGTACACTTACTGGGAGGGTGGACACAACAGCCATGCATGTTACACTTACTGGGAGGGTGGACACAATAGCCATGCATGTTACACTTACTTGGACGATGGACACACAAGTCATGCATGTTACACTTACTGGGACGATGGACACAGCAGCCAAGCATGTTACACTTACTGGGATTGTGGATAGGTTGTTGACAACTGTGACCACATCCATGAGAGCAGCACTTCTCTGCACCTGGACAGCTGGCATCAGAGCTGCAGTATTCCACACACGTGCCCATCATTGTACTGTTCCTTGGTGGGCACATGCCAGACTTATCTGCAAGGAAATATTGAGACATAAACTTCTCCTATGGGGCACAAGGAAAGCATTGTAAATTTTAGTTTCACTTTCCTAACTGATGAACAATATTGATCATTTTTTATTAAACATAGTGCACATGCAGTTCACAATTCTAGACAAGAGTTCAAGAATACTTACTGATGTTCTGGTTTGGTATCCTTGTCTCGCACTGGTATCCTGTGTAACCTCGGTGACACAAGCAGGAAGTAGAGTTCCCCAGGGGCATGCAGGATCCCCCATTGTAGCAGGTCATGTTGGTACAAGGATCTGCAAACAAAGTGTGGAAGATAAACTATCCCAGGGGTCATACATTGGGAGCACACAATACACATGGATCAACAAGCACATTAAAGTTAGTGTCCACTTACTGGGAGGGTGGACACAACAGCCATCCATGTTATACTTACTGGGTGGTTGGACACAACAGTCATGCATGGTACACGTACTGGGAGGGTGGACACAACAGCCATGCATGTTACACTTACTGGGAGGGTGGACACAACAGCCATGCCTGTTACACTTAGTGGGAGGGTGGACACAATAGTCATGCATGTTACACTTACTGGGAGGGTGGACACAATAGCCATGCATGTTACACTTACTGTGAGGGTAGACACAACAGCCATGCATGTTACACTTACTGGGAGGGTGGACCCAACAGCCATGCATGTTAAACCTACTGGGAGGGTGGACACAACAGCCATGCATGTTACACTTCCTAGGAGGGTGGACACAGCAACCATCCATGTTACACTTACTGGAATGGTGGACACAACAGCCATACATATTACACTTACTGGAATGGTGGACACAACAGAGATGCATGTTACACTTACTGAGAGGGTGGACACACCTGTCATGTATGTTATACTTACTGGGAGGGTGGACACAATACCCATGCATATTGCACTTACTGGGAGGGTGGACACATCTGTCATGTATGTTAAACTTACAGGGAGGATGGACACAATAGCCATGCATGGTACACTTTCTGGGAAGGTGGACACAACAGTCATGCATGTTACACTTACTAGGAGGGTGGACACAATACCCATGCATGTTACACTGCCTGGGTGGATGGAAACAATAGCCATGCATATTACACTTACTGGGAGGGTGGACACACCAGTCAAGCATGTTACACTTACTGGAATGGCGAACACATTTGTCAAGCATGGTAGACTTACTGAGAGGGTGGACACAACAGTCATGTATGTTACACTTACAGGGAGGGTGGACACAACAGCCATGCATATTACACTTACCAGGAGGGTGGACACAACAGCCATGCATGTTACACTTACTGGGAGGGTGGACACAACAGCCATGCATGTTACACTTACAGGGAGTGTAGACACATCTGTCAAGCATGTTACACTTACTGGGAGGATGGACACAATAGCCATGCATGTTATACTTTCTGGGAAGGTGGACACAACAGTCATGCATGTTACACTTACTAGGAGGGTGGACACAATACCCATGCATGTTACACTTACTGGGTGGATGGAAACAATAGCCATGCATATTGCACTTACTGGGAGGGTGGACACAGGAGCCAAGCATGTTACACCTACTGGGAGGGTGGACACAATAGCCATGCATGTTACACTTACTGGGAGGGTGGACACAACAGCCATGCATGTTACACTTACTGGGAGGGTGGACACAACAGCCATGCATGTTACACTTACAGGGAGTGTGGACACATCTGTCAAGCATGTTACACTTACTGGAATAGCGGACACATTTGTCAAGCATGGTAGACTTACTGAGAGGGTGGACACAACAGTCATGTATGTTACACTTACAGGGAGGGTGGACACAACAGCCATGCATATTACACTTACCAGGAGGGTGGACACAATAGCCATGCATGTTACACTTACTGGGAGGGTGGACACAACAGCCATGCATGTTACACTTACAGGGAGTGTGGACACATCTGTCAAGCATGTTACACTTACTCGGAGGATGGACACAATAGCCATGCATGTTACACTTTCTGGGAAGGTGGACACAACAGTCATGCATGTTACACTTACTAGGAGGGTGGACACAATACCCATGCATGTTACACTGACTGGGTGGATGGAAACAATAGCTATGCATATTACACTTACTGGGAGGGTGGACACAACAGTCATGCATGTTACACTTACTGGGAGGGTGGACACACCTGTCATGCATATTACACTTACTGGGAGGGTGGACACAATACCCATGCATGTTACACTGACTGGGTGGATGGACACAATACCCATGCATATTGCACTTATTGGGAGGGTGGGCACATCTGTCATGTATGTTAAACTTACAGGGAGGGTGGACACAACAGCCATGCATATTACACTTACTGAGAGGGTGGACACATCTGTCAAGCATGGTACACTTACTGGGAAGATGGACACATCTGTCAAGCATGGTACACTTACTGGGAGGGTGGACACAATAGCCATGCATGTTACACTTACTGGAACGGTGCACAGAACAGCCATGCCTGTTGCCCTAACTGGGAGGGTGGACACAACAGCCATGCATGTTACACTTACTGGAACGGTGCACAGAACAGCCATGCCTGTTGCCCTAACTGGGAGGGTGGACACAACAGCCAAGCATGTTACACCTACTGGGAGGGTGGACACAATAGCTATGCATGTTACACTTACTGGGAGGGTGGACACAACAGCCATGCATATTACACTTACCAGGAGGGTGGACACAACAGCCATGCATATTACACTTACTGGGAGGGTGGACACAACAGCCATGCATGTTACACTTACTGGGAGGGTGGACACAACAGCCATGCATGTTACACTTACTGGGAGGATGTACACAATAGCCATGCATATTACACTTACGGGGAGGATGTACACAATAGCCATGCATATTACACTTACCAGGAGGGTGGACACAGCAGCCATGCATGTTACACTTACTGGGAGGGTGGACACAACAGCCATGCATGTTACACTTACTGGGAGGGTGGACACAACAGCCATGCATGTTACACTTACTGGGAGGGTGGACACAACAGCCATGCATATTACACTTACCAGGAGGGTGGACACAGCAGCCATGCATGTTACACTTACTGGGAGGGTGGACACAACAGCCATGCATGTTACACTTACAGGGAGTGTGGACACATCTGTCAAGCATGTTACACTTACTGGGAGGATGGACACAATAGCCATGCATGTTACACTTTCTGGGAAGGTAGTAGTATAGGTAATGGGGGTTCTGGACCACTTCCACTGTAGCTGGATTTATATACCTATACTGCTACTACAGATGGAATTTTTTATGTCAAAATGAATTATGTGATTTAATGATAGTCATGAGATTAAGTTAAATTGGCTCCAGTTCACCACCACCTGGGGCCAATGATATAAATTTTTATAGGTAATAAGGGTTCTGGCTCACTTCCACTGGAGCTGGATTTATTACCTATACTGCTACTATAGGAGGAATTTTTTATGTTAAAATGATAATGTGATTCAACGATGAGTCTAAATGTGATCAAACGATAGTAAGCAATCTATTTTTAATCTCCAACCAGTTCTTTGGTTTTGACACGGAATAACTGACGCGCTTGTTGCCTCCCCTGTTCTATGAACTTTTTTTTCTCGTCTTCGCTAATACCACTGGTCTTACGAGATTTTGATCGAATCTCCTGCTTCATTGCGTTGTATTTGGTGAGTTCCGACAGCACTAAACGAAACTCATCCTCGGATATCTTACAATCGGCCATTGCTGTTGAAATATGATCCTCAATGCTGTTCAACTTTGCTTCGGCGAGTATCCGAATACTATCGTGTTTTAATGCTTTCTTTTGTAACCTATGAGAAATGAATTTTATCGCTATTCCTGCCAGTCCCGAGACTCCAGCGGTTATTTCCATGCCGAGCACGATAGGTGCGGCGATTATAGTTGATAGTAAACCGATACCCGCTACACCGAGTCCCATACCAGATACTACAAGCGCGGTGTCAACTCCGTCCAGAGCATTCACGGCTCTGCGATACCTTTTATACAATCCAAGTCTCAACTCCCTATCCTTCTCTATTCGATGTTTTATGTCGTTTATTTGATGTAATCGAAATCCATCAACAGTTTCCATCTTTTCAAATGCTTCACCGAGCGCCGGATATAAACTCATAGTGTATATTATGATCATATAATAGTCTTTAATTGGTCTTGCTTAAATGTTTTGATAGTATACATCAATCTTATCAAATGTATATTATACGGCAAGAATATCTTAGTAAGAGAAATACTACCACTTTTAATAATTTGGACCCCCTCGAGGGTTGCAACGGGTGATGCTCCGATATGAATAATACTGCAACGTTGACGTTGGTGTTTCTTAAGCCATTTAATTGATAGACCTGGTAATATTTCGAAGGCATCTACCGGTACATCTCCGAACAAGACTTCAATAATAAGCGTAGAAATATTAGGTATTGCACTCAGGTTAACTTTAATATCTTCGAATTCAGTAACCAAATTTAAACTAATGTTTTTTAAGGCCGGACGACTATATATCATATGACCTGGGTTTTCTGGCAGGGGAGTAACCAACACACTTTTTCGTTTTGATGGGATATAAGCCGCGAGTACGATGCCACTATTTATTATCTTAGTTAAATTATGTCCCTTACCAATCATCACATAAGGTGGGATAATGACGATATTCAGTAGCCACTCGATGTTTGCTTCGACCATAGTCCATTTATTATCATCGTTGCGAGTAATATTGTACGAAGTGTTTTTAAGGAGTCTACTAACATCGACATCGCTTAAATCTTCTAGATTACCCGTGAATGTGACTTCTTTCCGCTTGTATACATTATCGTGTAAGTGTAAAGCGTATAACTTACCATTGGTACCGGGTTTACCAAATCCTTCCGTGTCTCCGAGATCGGAAAGCGCAATTGTATTACATTGTCTTACTGTTCCAGGGCCTGATGCATCAACCATTATTTATAATATGGAGTGTTACGCTTAAGTATCCTATATGTACAGGTTGATGTTTTACATCTAATACAGAAATTTTGAAGTCTGAAATAATACCCCGCTTCAATTTTTTATATTGTAATGATGAGAAAGATTCCGTTCTACCGCTATTATATTTTTCATCTTTCACTGGAACACTTCTAAGCAGAGTTGAAGGACTTTCTAGTTGAATATTATTTGTTGTACTGATTTGATCAAGATGGATGCACAACTCTTTATAGGGAACTAAATCGGGTAATGTCTCT